GTTGGGTTGTAGCATCTAATGGAACCGGTGTTGCTTGTTGTGGGAGTTCGGTTTCTTTTGTTGTTGGCTCTTTCCCAGCTGTAGGGCGTTGCAGTGCTACTCCCTGCGAAGATCTGTTCATTGGCCAACTGTCTCGCATCGACATGAACAATGCGAGATTCGTTGTTGCAAGTAGTGCGGTATCCGTAAGACGAGCGAGGTGGTAATTAGGTCTATTAGTACAAACAATCAGGCCATAAGGATGGATATAGTGCAAGACACACTCACCGGACCAAGGTATTTTCGTACTAGATTATCGTTCCTCCTCTTCATGCTGTCTAGATCACGGCTGTATTGCTTGCCTAGCATTATAATATCGCATGCCAGCGTCTGTTCTAACTCATCCTTGCCGGTCTGGATCTTCGTATTCGGGACTGTGGCGAGCGACTTTGTGGTAAAAATGGACCGCTCATGGGTGACTTCCTCAGTCTATGAGTTGGCCAATGCCGACTGAGCGTCGTTGATCTCATTGAGGTTTTTTTCCAATTCACTAAGCCTCTCTTTGATTCTAGCGGCTGCAGCCGTCCCGCGGCTCTCCTCTAGAGCAACAAGTCTGTTCCTAACATTGATAGGTGCGACAGTTCCGACGTCCGAGCGTGATTTTAATTTGTCAACATCAAGTCGAAGGTCGCTTAGTTCAGAAGCACTTATCTTTGCTTCTAGGTGCATCGACGTAGCTGTCTGCAATGCGGCGGAAACTAATTCCACTGCGTTCAAACGGGCGTATAGGGGTTCGAGCATAGTCATTGCGGCCTCGCAAGCTTTGATCGCCGTCCCAGGTGGATCTTGCACGGCCTTGATCTCTTCGATGCGTCGATTGATACGCTCTGTTTCCTTGGCAGTCTTCTCGAACGTCTCCGTGTGCTCGCTCACCTGTGATTGTACCGTCTTCTGAGCGCAAGCGAGATGTTTCGTCGTTGAATCAATCTTTCCTGCTGTTTCGATCCGAAAACTCTCTATGCCATCGACTCAGGTAGTATGGTTGTGACACAGGCCTTCTTGGGCGTCAAGTGTTGTCTCGAAGCGACGCACTATTTCCAGTGCTGATCCATCAATTCCCTAGCTATCGATGTTGCTGCTACGTTCCAACGACTCGAGTCTCTGGCTGTCCACATTGCTGTTATCCTCCAGTGATTCTATCCGTCGAGCAAGTTCTTGCGTAATCCGATCTACTTTTTTGAAGCTGGTATTGACGAAAGTCTTGTTTCCGACGGCTTGATTGGAGGTTGTCTATGCGATAATTGAGTTGCACCGCAGTGTCTAGTAGAGGCGCTTCTTTTTGCGAACTTCGTCGTCGTTCCTTATCGAGAGGTGTATGAACTACCGGCATGGCATTCGACCGTAGAGCGGTGACCGAACGGCCTAATTCGGTGAATGACTGCATGAGCTTTTCAATGTAGACTTCTGGTTGATTGTTCCGCACTTTCTGAACATCAAAATCGCTTCGCAACCACTCGATGTCTACTTCAGCCTTTTTCTCAACGTCGGTTATAAGCTGCTTGTGACCGTTATTCTGCTTTTCTTGCGCAACAACCTGAGCAGTGATCGTTTCCATCGTCTTCCGATTTTCGCAAATCTTTTTGCTATGCCGTTCAAGTTCATCCCGGTGCAACCTGAGTTTCGAAGAGATATAGTCGAGATTCTTACTCACCTCCCTGAGGTTTGTAGTGTTGTCGAACCACGTTCGAAACGAAGAGGCAAATCTAGCTTCGGTCGACGTCATGGTGTTGGCTCTTGTCTTCGCACTTTTGGTAGTCCGTGCAAATTTCTTATGCAAGTTGTGTATCTGTTTAGCCTAGCGCGTGATAATGTAATAACATACAGATTGCCTCAACTGCTAACGTCGGAGTGCTTGAACTTTACAGCTTGGGATGCGGTTAGTTTCACGGACACGCGTGGATCGCGGCAATAAACGGTATAGGTAGTGAGGAAAATGTAGTGCATAAGGTCACGACCAATTGCTCTTGCTTTAGAGATCTCCATATCCCTGTACGGATGATTCAAACGTGCCAAGATGATTATCCTTGCTTCAAACAGGAGCATCTCTTCAATCATATGGTCAAGGTCCACCGTTACTATCAATACTCGAAGGTAGGCAATGACAGCTCATTCCCTCTTGTTCAATACCACAAGGCGAGATGCAAAAAGGCGTTTGTCGTTATCGAAATAGTGACTGATAGGCAGAGCATTGCAGGAGCAACTGCATGACAGCAGGGCTATGGTTGGATGGTATGGTATGTAAGCTTTGACCCGCCGGACTGGGAATTGTGCATACCGATGGTGCTGTTTGGAACTGTTTGCTTCATGGCCGTCTAAACTCGCGGAAAGTAAGTGGAGGCAGTTTACGATGATTGACTTTGGTGGGTTGTTCGTAGTGACATCGCTAGGCATGCAGCTGCACGTGCGCATAGCAGGGGGTGCCTACAAACACAGCACACGTTGCAGATTGAGCTGACTTGATGTCGTACAACAGTGTAAAAGGATGTGATAGCCGTAAAGGAGAGGGTAGGACGAAGCGGACCTGTGCGGTGCTACCGCACACTAGCAACAGCTAGCTTCTGTAGTAAGTTAGCCTGCATCTCCCCCAACATCCCCATGCCACTCGCATACTTTTATTTTCACAGGCTGCGTGCAAGTTTGATTGTCAGACCTTGCTGCAGTGACACGTTTTCGCTTTCTCTTGTCTGTTTGACCGCGACCGCGCCGCCGTGGCGTTTTTGTGGCATGTCGATAGAACCGCCCTATTCTCAGTTCAGAACATTGACACTCGCCGAGAACATGCATTGATACTGATAGACGACATGTGCGTTAACTCGATATTTCCTACGAAGATGCGCGCTATAGTATCCCTCTAGGGTTGACGAATTAAGACTTCGACTTCATCATGACGCTGTCAAATGTCCCTATGGCAAGCTGCCTATGATCTGAGCACGATGGCGCTAAGGAAGCAAGTATGTGTGCAAACGAGCTCGTGTTTGCTAGACCGTACCCCAGATACCATGTTTCACCGTTCAATACCGGTGTTTCGATTAGCTAAATAAAAACCTCTCATCATACAGCATGAACAAATCATTTTCCCTCTCAAAGCTGTGATCCAAGAGCATTCTCTTAGGTCACGACATCGAACTGACACGGCTCTGGGATGTGTTCAAGTATATTCCTTTGGAAACCCAAAAGGATCCATTAGAAGCCTACAGATACGTTGGTAGGATTTTGACAGGAAGAGAAAGACAAGGTGATAAGACAAACCCTACTAAAATGATCATTTGCTCGATTATCTGGAGTATGGAAAAAAAGCTGTCTTTATCATAAACGTAAAGGAACAGATCCACAATACAGAACTTCCACGAATAAGAGACCGTCGCAATGCCTGATGAAGTGGACGCAGGACTACAACTACGAATCACTACCACAACGATTTGAAGGTGCCAAGGGCCGTAATGCTGACATACAATCAGTGGCAGATGGCTCTTTCGCGTATACAATATGCGCATGCATTCGAAACTAATCAGCCCCCTTGCACAGCCCTTTTGCTACACGACTGGTGGCGGATGGTTCAGTCTCGTAAGTGCGCAATGCAAGCCAGCCAGTGCTGGACTAAACCCCACACGTATCAGCGCCTACATGATAAGTCAGGCTGATGTTAGAACATAGACCTGGTTCACTACTGCGATGCGTATCATTGGCTGCTACATCATACTTCGTAGCGATCCAGCTACGTGGTACTCGGATCGCAGTACACTCCCGCGGCCATGGTCTGGAACTGGTCATCCCTAAAGCAATACGCTAGTTCGTCTCTACGTAGGTAGTGTCGAGACTGGTATGCGGACCGCTTCCTAGAAGCGGCCTGCATGCTCAAGTTCTGATACTTGACGATCTTACTCGTAGAAGTTCTAGCCCAAAATCATTCCTTACAGTGCCGCGACAATGATTACTGCTCATAACAAGCAGCATTCATGTTCCTTCACCGAAGGGTAACAGTAAAACGGAGCATCACACGTCTAGACAATTCAGTGGTTGCTGCACTCGTTTATCTTGTGTTGACGTTGACGTTCAACTCGTGTGTTTCTTATTTACGATATCTGCGCCTTGTCTAACGGGCATTGCCACAAGGAGGATTCAATGGTATGCGTGTGTTGCATGACATGTTAATGAGGACCCAGACTGTTTCGTGACCCACCGGCGCTTGCCAGGACTAGCCATAGTTCCCGATATTCGCCGCTCGCACGAGTCTAGTCGTGTCAAACAGGTGATTTTAGGTCAACCGAGCGTTTGATTTGTGGGTTGGACACGATTCTATGCGGCCAGCTTTGCAGTCCTCAGGTTCTCATCTGGAGTCGATTTCGATCGCGCCTCACTCAAGTGGAAAAGGTCTCCTCTCTAGATGCCCGTTAGATGTTCGTAGAGCCCCAGCGATGCTACCATACTTCCTCGAATCCGACCTCGGTATTCCTTCCTTAACAACCTATCCGACCCGGAGCCACACGCGGCGTACACGAGGTCTAGCAACGTTCTACACCCGTTATTCAGCCTCACTAATACACAACAAGGAGTACTTCCGCAAGACGAGTACTGCACAGCTTGTCCGACCGCCGTTATACGGCAAGCTCACCTAAACAAGCTACTTCTGCTTGTTAGCTTTCGAATTTCGCATCAATAGGAACACTGCAAGTGACTACGGTTCCGGCTAGATAGTCCTACGCGGCTCTGCTCGGACCCCGGCCTCTTCCTACCCCAAGGACCCACCAATAAGGACCCATGAAAATGACAAGCATCCTTGAAAGCTTGTCGCGGGGCCCCGTGGGCTTGATAGCAGAGTGTACCCACGCCGAGGCCCACTCCAAAAGTGCGTTGAGTATATAAGCTCTCCCAAGCTCACCATGTCTGCTTGGCTTCATCGGCCTTTGCTTATTCGTTCTTCGCTTTTCGTGGCGTCCAATAACACTGCACGCTAACTGAGAATGACGGGCTTTACCGAGCCCAAGCGAGATGCTACCCTTGCGGCTGACGATGGCGCCTTGGAGAAGAGCCTCAGCCATCAAGCGGAGATCTTTGAAGACAAGGAGCTCATGACAGATGCTCAGGCAGCTGAAAACCGCGAGCATGATATGGGCATGTGGGAAGCAGTCAAGGACCATCCTATGGCCTGCTTTTGGGCTTTCATCTTCTGCTTTACTATCGTAAGTCTTAGCGCTCTCTTAGCGTCCTTATCAGGTCGTTGCTGACACCAAACAGGTCATGGAGTCTTTCGACATGTTCTTGAACGGTAACTTCGTTGCTCTCGGCGCATTCAAAGAACGATACGGTGTCCAAGTCGCTGGCGAAGTCGGCAAAACCATTCCTACCAAGTGGCAGAGTTCACTATTCCAAGCCGGCCAATGCGGTGCCTTTATTGGAGTATTCCTCGCTGGTCCCATCACCAATCGTCTTGGTTACCGGTGGACGACCCTCTTGGCTCTCACTCTCATGAATGCGACCATCTTCATCTCCTTCTTCGCTGATTCACTCGCTGTTCTTGTCATCGGACAAGCTTTCGAAGGCATTCCATGGGGCATGTTTATCGCCAACTCGCCTGCCTACGCAAGTGAGGTTGTCCCTCTCGTCCTCCGTGGTGCTTGCACAGCCACTCTCCAGATGTCTTGGTCGATCGGTAGCATCATCGTCGCCGCCGCCACCTACAGCTATAACAAGCGCAATGACGAGTGGGCATGGCGAGGTCCTCTGGCACTACAGTGGGTTTTCCCCACCCCTCTCATGGTCCTTGTATTCTTCGCACCCGAGTCGCCATGGTGGCTTGTGCGTAGAGGGCGCAAAGAACAGGCGCTGAAGTCCATCAAGCGCCTCGGTCGCAGGAACGGAACACAGGCGGCCGCCGAAGACACGCTTGCTATGATGGAGCGCACAGTGCAGATTGAAGCTCACAAAGGTGGTGAGCCTTCTCTCCTTGACCTCCTCAAGGGAACCGATCTTCGCCGAACACTCATCACCTGCTTGATCTACGCATCGCAAAACTTCGCTGGTAACTTGATTGCCAACCAGGCGACCTTCTTCTTCGAGCAGGCTGGAATGTCTTCCGACTTCTCTTTCAAGCTTAACCTGATCAACTCGTGTCTGCAGCTAGTTGCCAACATCTGCGCGTGGCCACTGAGCAACTGGTTCGGCCGTCGAACAATCTATCTTGGGGGTACTGCCGTCAACGTCTGCCTGCTCTTCATCCTTGGAATCTGCGCCTCGATTCCCCAGAACCAAGCAACCAACTACGCCCAAGCGTGTCTAGGTATCCTCATCTCGTTCGTCTTCGCAGGAACTATGGGTCCAATCTCATACTCGATCATTGCCGAAACATCTTCAATCCGTCTCCGCGCTTTGAGCACTGGTGTTGGTCGTGCTGCATACTACGTCGCGGAAATTCCCATGATCTACTTAGCCTCGCAGATGCTCAACCCCACCGGCTGGAACATGGCTGGTAAGTGTGGATACGTATGGGGCGGTACAGCTTGCGTCTGCTTTGTCAGCGCGTACTTTGGCCTTCCCGAGCTGAAGGGCCGCTCATACCGTGAGCTCGACATTCTGTTTAACCGCAAGGTCTCCGCTCGCAAGTTCAAGTCGACTATCATCGATGTCAGGGACAACGAGTAAATTATCACACGTAGAATAGCCTATGAAGTTTTGTACAGTCACTTGTTGTAAGGAATAGTGTGTCGCGGTAGAAACTGGAGCATGGGTTCTCAGGCGCGCTTTTTAGGGTGGCTGGCTTATTGAGGGTCAATGCCCGTGCTCATTTGGAGGGGAAGCTACCTAACTACTCTTGAGCTTCATACGAATGCAACGATCAATCACAAGCAACACGTATTATTTGCATCCGTTCATCTGTTCCGTTACTTGCTCGTAGTCACTATGCAGAAATACTAGAATGAATTAATGTTTGACATGCTCTTCCTGACGTTTCGGGATGGGTACTTATCCCAGCCATCGCGTAGCTCAGAGCTACCTCGGTAATGACTGATCGTCCTCTACGTTCTGTGGACGTTTAGCTCGACGGTTGTCTTGATATCTTGCATCGTGAACACAAGCAGGGCATTCCTTGCCATCAATGTACGTCGGTCTGCTCATGCAGCGGTTGTACCGAGAGATGTAGGTCAATCACGCCCGGTCGGCTGCATCTATCCCGAAGCTTTCATGTCACACTTCATCATTTTCCAGCAGGAAACAAGTTGTGTCATCTCAACAAGAGAGCTTGAGGATCTGGTAGTTGACTTTTCATCAACAGAAGCTCTGATTGATGCATCGCTGCGGAGGCCGAAGATACGGTGTCGACCGGTCCATGTCGGAGATGAGTACCAACCGAGCTCATTCTGGACTAACCCCCGTCTTCCAAGCACTCCACACCATGTCATGATCGCGCAAATCTTTCTACACTTTCCCCGGTTTCCTGTTCCTCGTCTTGGAAGAACGGAAACAACGTAAGATCTCCGCGATGCTAACCTGTCTGCGCAATCCATCCGCCTCCGATGCTAAGTTGACTACGTTTACCCGGGCCTCGGCGCACCCAGTGGAGCGTTCACAGAAGGGCATCTCAATTCCACCATTGAGACGACCTTGACATCCCCGCAACCCACGATGCATTCTATCATAGCGCAGCATTAGCGCCTTATTCGTAATTCGGGGACGGCTGGGGTTCGGTACCTGCGTACTGCTCATAAACCCTCAGCATGTCCGATACAACGGTGGCAGCGCTCATTGGCCTCGACATCTTCATCCTACATCCATCATGAAGTCTCTCGTAGGGCTCTCGTGGCTCTCGGCCTTGTCTTCATTGGCTACTCTACCTAATGGCCCTGGTGTCAATGCTCAAAACAACACACCTAGTGCTTGGCCCTTACACGACAATGGTCTGAACGACGTTGTGCAGTGGGACCATTACTCCTTCAAGGTCAATGGAAAACGTCTCTTTGTCTTCTCTGGAGAGATTCACTACTGGCGCATTCCTGTCTACGAGGTTTGGGAAGATCTGTTGGAGAAGATCAAGGCAGCGGGTAAGTTAATACATTCGCCACGCACCATTAGTCGGAAATAACAATGATTAGGCTTCACGGCTTTCGCCTTCTATGGCAACTGGGCTTACCACAGCGCAAACAACCAGACACTGGACTTTGAGAGCGGCGCCCACGACTTCACCAAGCTTTTCGAGATTGCGGAACGCGTTGGCTTGTACGTTATTACCAGACCAGGCCCTTATGTCAACGCTGAAGCCAATGCTGGAGGCTTCCCGCTGTGGCTCACCACTGGAGCGTACGGAGAGCTCCGAAATGACGATCCAAGATACCTCCAAGCCTTGGACCCTTACTTCGCTAAGTTCTCTGAACTCACCTCCAAGCATCTTGTAACCAAAGGTGGCAATGCACTTGTCTACCAGATCGAGAACGAGTATGGCGAGCAGTGGGAGGATACCAAAGAGAAGATTCCCAACGACGCTGCCGGACGATACATGCAAGCACTGGAGGACTCTGCACGAGCCCACGGTATCGATGTTCCTCTTATTCACAACGACCCCAACATGAACACCAAGAGCTGGAGTAAAGACTTTGCGCCCGGCGCTGTTGGCAATGTCGATGTTGCTGGATTGGACAGCTACCCGTCTTGCTGGTCTTGCAACCTTGACGAATGCACTGGGACCAACGGAGAATACGTAGCCTACCAGGTCATCGACTACTACGACCATTTTGTTGAAGTTTCTCCCACTCAACCATCCTTCTTCCCAGAATTCCAGGGTGGATCTTACAACCCCTGGGGTGGACCTGAGGGTGGCTGCCCCGGCGACATTGGAGCTGACTTCGCAAATCTCTTCTACCGCAACCTTATCTCTCAGCGTGTAACCGCAGTCTCACTCTACATGATGTTCGGAGGAACCAACTGGGGTGCTCTAGCTGCTCCTGTCACAGCTACCTCCTACGACTACAGCAGCCCGATTAGCGAGAACCGTGAGATCGGCGCAAAGTACTACGAAACTAAGAACTTGGCTATGTTCACCCGCGTTGCCGACGATCTCACCGTCACCAACCGTCTCGGTAACTCGAGCTCATACAGTACAAACTCCGCTGTTGAGGCTAGTGAGCTCCGCAACCCCCTTACCAACGCTGCTTTCTACGTTACGATCCACTCGACCTCTTCTTCCGCCACTAAGGAGTCGTTCAAGCTTCACGTTAGCACCTCGGTAGGAAACCTGACTATTCCACAGCACGCCGGTTCGATTGTTCTTGATGGTCACCAGTCCAAGATCCTTGTTACAGACTTCGCCATGGGCAACAACACCCTCACCTACTCTACCGCTGAGGTTCTCACATATGCCATAATCGATTCTAAGCCAGTCGTTGTACTGTCCACTGGTGTCGGCGAGTCTGTTGAGTTCCACGTCAAGGGTGCTTCCAAGGGCTCTTTAGCCAGCAACGGAACCAGCTCGAACGCGACCTTCCATGCAGAAGCCCACGGTCTCACAACCAACATCCAGAAGGTTTCCGGCATGAATGTGTACCAGTTCGACAATGGCGTGAAGGTTGTTGTTGCTGACAAACCCACCGCCTACTTGTTCTGGGCTCCCAACCTGTCAAACGACCCTTTCGCGCCGGTTGACCAATCGGTGCTTGTTCAGGGCCCATACCTCGTCCGCAGTGTCGCTCTAGATGCTGGTGTTCTCGCTCTCAAGGGAGACATCATGAACAGCACGAACATCGAAGTCTTTGCCGCTGGCAGTGCGCAGACACTTTCTTGGAACGGAAAGGAGCTAGTGACTTCTCGAACATCATACGGCAGCTTGAAAGCCCACGTCGCTGCATTCAACGGTACTATCAACCTCCCTTCCCTGGAAAACTGGAAGATGAACGAAGGACTCCCAGAGAAGACGCCAGAGTACGATGACAGCGGTGCCGCGTGGGTTGTCGCCGACCATCTTACCACTCCCAACCCGACAAAGCCCGACACCCTGCCTGTTCTCTATGTTGACGAATACGGCTTCCATAACAGTTTCCACCTCTTCCGTGGTTACTTCGATGGCGCAGCTACTGGTGTGCAGCTCTCCGTTCAGGGTGGTCTCGCTTTTGGCTGGAGCGCATGGTTGAACGGTGAGCTAGTTGGTTCATGGTTGGGTAACACCACCCTTGGCGTTGGCAACATGACATTGTCGTTCGCCAACGCAACTCTGCACCAGAACAGCACCAACGTCTTGCTCGTCGCACAGGACAACACTGGTCACGACCTCCGTGGTGGTGCTACCGATCCCCGCGGTATCCTCCGTGCTACTCTAGAAGGCGCAAACTTCACATCCTGGAAAATTGCCGGTGAAGCAGGTGGCGAAACCGAGCTTCTCGACCCAGTACGTGGACCTCTCGCTGAAGGCGGTCTCACAGCCGAGCGTCTCGGATGGCATCTCCCCGGCTTCGACGACTCTGAATGGGCGTCCGGTTCACCATCCACCGGTTTCGAGGGTGCAGACATCAAGTTCTACCGCACCACCATCCCTCTCGACGTCCCCGCTGAGGTCGATGCCTCTTTCGCTTTTGTATTCAACGCCGTTGGCTCTAAGACTATCCGTGCACAGCTCTTCGTTAATGGCTACCAATATGCGCGCTTCAACCCGTATGTCGGAAACGAGATCAAGTTCCCTGTCCCACCGGGTATCCTCAACTACTCAGGTGACAATGTGATTGGTCTGAGCGTATGGGCGCAGTCAGAGGAGGGTGCACAAGTTGACGTGCAGCTTGTGCAGGAGTATGCGATTGAGAGTAGTTGGAGCTCGAGGTTCGACTCGGAGTACTTGAGGCCAGGGTGGACGGAGGAGAGGTTGGCTTATGCTTAGACTTTGCTATCACTCAAGCTACCTATATGCTCACAAGCCTATTGAACAGATATCACATGCGCACTTTATTGTCTGAAATATGTTGTCCTTGACCTGTAGAGTGAACAATCTGAAGAAATCGTAAAGTCTGTTGTATCGAGCATTGCTTCTGATGCGTATTCATTTGCGGATAAGAGGTGACCCGTCTCGATGACGGAAAGTGACATCTAGTTGCCAGCGAGTAAATCCTTGCGAATCTAACGTCTTCCTGGCTCGAACCACAAGCGCGCGTGTCGAATCGATATTGAGAATTGCATGGTCTCGGCAAAATTTTGACGGCTGACCCGCTTTCATGCCCACTTCTAACTGTTTCATTGAGCAGTCGATGGACTTCGTCAACTCCGAACCATTCTCCAACCCTCTCAGCGACAGCGGTCTATCTACAGGTTTCGTCACATGCCAATTGTTTGCAAGAACATTCAGCCATGGGCTGCCTTGTCGGTGACCAAGGATGATTGTGAGGTTGACCCCACCATAGACGAAAACTATTCCAACGGCCTCAAGCGGTTGTAGATGATTTTCAAATGATATCTCAGAATCATCTCCCCAGACCGGCAACGTCTGACTCTGGAGACCTCCGCGTCGAGCCCTATACAAAGCCACCATTTTGTTAGCAGTCATCTCTACGTATTTCGAAGCCCTGATCTTGAATGTACACGGATGAGATTCAAGTGTATCATCCCTGCGATCTTTGTCTTCCGCAACAAGTTCTTTGTCCAGTTCTGTGAGTATGAATATTTCTCTGAGTTCTGCTTTCAGAGCTTCTGAACCATCTACAGCCGATAAGCCTTCATGCAGGTCCCTCACGAAGCGCTGGTCGCCCAGTCGCTGCAATCGAACCCCAATCAGCATATTTTTGTCTCGCTGGCAGTTTAGTACTGCTACAAGTGTTTCAGGACCGACGTCAATGCAAGGAAGAACGATACGAAGTCCCACGTTTGTGACGTCGTGCGTGCTACCCTGTATTGTTCGCGGCGAGCATGGTTGAACATCAGCCAAATCTGCGTATTGGAAACCCCTTGGTGATGTAGCTAAAAAACCAGCGTATCTGAACGAGGGGTGGTTCAAACTATCATATCCTCGATTCGATGACCATGCAAATATGGTATGATCCATCGTGGTTTTGAGAAGTTCGACTTGCAATCTGTGAAACGCCCGCTTTCCTTCTCCGTAAAGCAGTGGCATATTGACTTCAAGGATTCCGAATAAGCAATAAGCTATATCTTCGTCTCGTGTAGTTTGTCTCTCAGATGCCCAACTGAGACGAAGTCCTATGTTTGCCCATTTGATGGTATTCCTGTCGAGGATATATTGAATCTGCACCTTGGTCGCCGCTTCGATGAAAACTGCCAGACTCGATTTCGTACCTATCATGTTCCATTCTTGATTGTAGAACTCAAGCGTCGCTGGAGCGAGGAGCTCTTGGAGTGTCCAGCCTCTCCTGAACCATCTTGAATCTTCGAACGCGGGTATTCGTTGGGGCGTTTCCAAAGAGCTTGAGAGTCTGGCGAAGTCATTGTAGATAACGTACATCCATCCAGGTCTCTTTCCGACACCAAGTTTATTCAATCTAAGAGTTTTGTCGTCTTTCATAAGTTCATCCTCTCCAATATACACATCAGAGAGGTATGCGTAGCACTTCTCAGCCTCCCAGTAGTATCTGTACATTGAATTGATTGCTTCCGAGAGCTCAGCACTGCTTCTCTTGTCAATGCAACAGGTATCCACCCAAGCCCAGCTGTAACCATCCTGTTTCGCCTGCTCGCAGCACTTCTTGATCTTCGCATAACCCTCCAAGGCTTTCGTCAATGCGTCGGGCTTGTACATACTTTCGAATGTGACTTCGTCATCGCCCCATGTATGTGACAAGATGACGTATTTGGGGATATTGCCGTGGAATGGATGGATCTCGATGGTAGTGGTGTTGATAAGGTACATGATTTGCGTTTGTGTAATGTAATCGCACGCACGATGAGCGGCAGAATGAGAAGAAAACCCAAGCTCGTGAACAGGTGCAAAAGAATGGAGGCCTGAACACCTATCTTGGTCTGGCGCTTAAGTACTTTTCATCGGATGCGTGACAAAATGATGGTGATACCTTTCCTAGTGATAGGAAACGCGGTAGAGGAAGAGGGTAGCAAGATAACGAACTCTGATCAGCAAGCATGAAGATGGATGTGAGAGGTATGATGACAATGCAGCACCGAGCAGGGAAACTGAGACCAAGACTGCTGGCTGTACGGCTGAGCGAAACGACCACGGGATGATATTGGAGGCTGAGACTGAGGCTGAGCTCCGACCCTGCCCCGCTTCCCCCTCACCCTCACTGACCCTTTTCAGAAAGGCGCGAGCTCACAGTCATGCAATCACGATGCGATCCACATCTTGATACTTATCAGTACTGCCGGCCAATGCATATAAGGTCAGCGTTCCTCCGCACTACTATACTCTGCCATGGCATGCATCTACCATTTTCCTACGTACTCAAGGTTGAGATGGACCTTCCACATCAAAAGGTCCACCAATACCTCCTATCGCCGGAGGAGTAAGACCCAACGCACCACCTCCTTCTGCGTCAACTAGCACATCCACAGGGCCCACCAGCCCTGCACTCATAAACCTAACCCCATGCTCCCTACAAGCACTTTCCAACTTGTCCAATCCTAGAACCAGATCGCGAACAAAGCAAGAATGCAAAGCGAGCTCTTGTATCTCAAATAGCTTGAACACCTTGAGAATCCGCGTCTTGCCAAAGCCAGGGAGAGCAATTTCCGCCAGTATATCCCTGTTTTCCACAAAAGGCCGGCCCATCATAGCTCTGCCTCTGACCTCTAGGCCGTCACGTAGTATGAGTAGGTCCTCTCCTCCCAGTGGTGGTTCCGGAATCGCGTCCTAGGAGAAAGCGGAAAGGCTGTTCGGTGGTCTAGGATAAGGCTGGGCGATGTACGGTAGGATCTCTTCCCATCGAGCAACGATTGCGTGGAGGGTTTCAGTGAGCCATTCGGCGTGTTTGGAGACTTCGGGGGAGGTGGTGTATCCGTGGTGGCTTTTGAGCCAGTCTAATTTGCGGATTTGGGAATGGTAGGCATCATATCCTCTGTAGACTATAGTTGTTTTTCAGTAGCGCTTTGAGTGTGAACTTTGGCTATCAGACTAACTTTTCTCAAAGCGATCGAGTTCTTTAGGCCGTTCGTGAGGTATTAAGACATCATTGCTTTGTATAGGATCGTCCGTTGTTGAGCGTTCTGAGTCGTCAAAGTCAGACAGTGGCGGTAGTAGGTATTCAGAGCTGATACTTGTGGTAGCCGATATACTTGTAATGTCGCATGGCGCAAACATATCGATAGTGGGCTTTTGAGATTGGAAAACGAGGTGAGATGGGAGCAGGAACGACTCTCTCATGCAAGGGCATGTAGGTGGCATCGCGCAAGGCGAAGGGAAGATGTTAGGTAGTCTGTTACTGCGTTGACTGACGTTAATACTATGGAAAAGGCAGTCAGCTGCTACAACTGAAAGAGCCATACAAGCAAGTGGGAGTGGGCAACAGCGAAGTAGAATGAACGACCAACGTTGGAGTTCACAACTTGAGCCACAGTAGAACACAGGGCTGGAATAGACTTCTTGAATTTTACGGTTGAAATTGCAAAGACATGACGCCTACAAAACTCGCCGTATGGTACAAAAGAATCACCTATCGCTTCAATATAGTTGCTATCGTTCCAAGCCAAGACACAATGCAACGTGAGAAGCGTAATAGTAACACAGAACCCAGCTCAACTGATCCCGAGAGCGAGGAGATGATGAAAGGAAACAAAGTAGGGAGAGAGACCGTTGCGCCATCGCTGAATATTCATATCGAAAACATGAGACTCGTTATTCGATCGAGTGGCTATAAGCCACCCTTTGTTTTGAGTGGCAGGCAATTTATTCGTCCTTGTTAATTGCCCTTGGAGCCGCCAGTGGGCGGCCGGCGAGGATGGCTTCGCGGTCTTGTCGCATGCCCTCCAGTACCCCAACAAGGCCGCCTTCCCGCATACGTTCCAAAACGACTTTCATGCCTTCACGCGCGTTGGGTTGGCTTCGTTGCGCACGCGTGAGACCGATCTTCTCGATGTTGCGCTGCAGGGCCGCGGTGCCCCAGCTTCGCAAGAAGCCCATTTTTTGTGGCTGTTCGTCCTCCACAGCGTCCTCCTTTGCGGCCTCACGCTTCTTCTTCCAGGTCTCGCCAATGTGACTGTGTAGTGTGACAGAGCTTGTGACGTCGGTAGTCTCACCGGAATCTTCAATTTTGGCACCAGCCCCCTTGCCGCCAAAGTTGATGAAGCCATGACGATGTGCAGTGCCCTCCATGCCCTGTCGCATCTTCATGTCCTCAGACACTAACGGCGAGGGACGCACGAACTTCTGCCTCTCTACAACAGATAGGACACCCGTCCATTCGAGGTTCCGTGACTCAGTGTCCATCCATCCTTCCTTGATATCTACAACTGACTTTTCAAGAATGTAAGTCTGCGATTCTCCGCCAGCCGAGGCGCCAAGTAGAGACCGTGGTACAAGCTTGAGGACAGCGGAGGGAAGCTTTGAGCGTTTTAAATGGAGGCGAATGGTTGTTAGGCGCTGGGTCTCGGCATCGTAGTGACGGGCGATGGTGTCGGTGGAAAGCACGTGAGTGGAGTAAGGATTCGGGTAGCGGAGGAAGTAGGCGAGTGAGACGGCAGGGAAAGGGTACGAGTAAGTCTCGTTGGAAGAGTAGAATTTGACCATGTTGGCGTCCCAGTGGTCAAATCGGAGTCTCTTTGGGCGTGGTTTGGCGGTAGAAGACGGTAGAAGTAAGATTGTAGTAGGTAGGAGCTCAAGGCAGCCTGTAACGCGCGGTCTTCTATCTCAGATGATAGAGTCGCATCGTCAAGCACATCCAACTGCGATGTGACAATTGGACAAGCCGGTGAGTCGCGTTGAGGTGGGGTAAGGCGGTACGTCGGTATAGGTGGTGTGACGATCAAGGATAGAAACGCCTGGAGCTCTCACGACCATGGTGCCATGACGAGTTTTGCTGACATGCCGTCGGCATCTCCTCCCGCCAACGCCGACGTGGCTGAGTCGTGGCGCGTGCATGTGGCGCAGTGCGGGGCAGCTCTAGGCCTAGGCAGGAACGCCAAATTGAAGTGGGGTCCTTAATTGTCGAATAGTGAGTCAACTTCAACACTAAAGAACCGCAACACATAGACTCCCCCATTGTTTACCTCGGTTGGGATCTCTCCACAGCACACCGTACAACCCTCAACTCGGACTTCAACACAACCGCCACAATGACTGAGCCCGAGCCCCCGGCCGTCGCCGCCCTATCACTTGCCGATACAGCGACACAGCCCGTCTCAAAAGCAACAGAGCAGAAGATTGACCCCTGGGATGTCTCAGCAGGAGTCGATGAGGAGGGAAACGAGAAAGAATTTGACTACGTCGCCATCTCGAAGCAGTGGGCCACAAAGCTCATCGACGAACCGCTGCTTGAGCGATTCGAGCGCATCACAGGCCATAAGCCGCATCGCTGGTTACGGAGAGGCCTCTTCTTCTCACACCGTGATTTGGAGCTAATCCTGGATACATATGAGCGCGGAGACGACTTCCTCCTATACACTGGTCGCGGCCCTAGCAGCGATGCCATGCATATTGGTCACACGATACCCTTTGAGTTCACAAAGTGGCTGCAAGATGTCTTCGACGTTCCCCTAGTCATCATGTTGACCGATGACGAAAAGTTCTTGTTCAAGGAGAAGCTGAAGCAAGAGCAAGTCTATGAGTTTTCACGGCAGAACGCCAAGGACATCATTGCCATTGGTTTCGACGTCAAGAAGACTTTCATGTACATTGACTCCGAGTTCTTCTCGTCCGGCTACAACCGACACTTCAGTCTCAACACCACCGAGTTCGAGAAATTGATAACCAACAACCAAGTACGGGGCGCATTCGGTTTCCATGGCTCAACCAACATTGGCAGTAATGCCTTCGCAGCCAAGCAATGTGTTGCTGCTTTTGCTTCATCATACCCTTTCATCTGGGGCGAAGATCACAAGACCTACAAACGCTCCAAGAAGCTCGCTTCCATGCCCTGTCTGATCCCCTGTGCCATTGATCAAGACCCCTACTTCCGCCTGGTTCGTGAGAACTGCCACCGGATGGATCTCCCCTCACCAAAACCAGCGCTTATCCACTCCAAATTCCTGACTTCATTGCAAGGTGCTGGTGGCAAGATGAGTGCATCGGATGCCAACACTGCTATATACATGAGCGATACGCCGAAGCAGGTCAAGACCAAGATCAACACGAAGGCCTTCTCTGGTGGCCAAGAAACACTAGAACTCCACCGCGAGAAGGGTGGAAACCCTGATATTGATGTACCGTATCAATACATCGCCTACTTCGAAGACGATGACGAAAAGCTCAAGAAGCTAGCGGAAGACTACCGTAAAGGTGAGCTGTTGACCGGCGAGATGAAGAAGGAATGCGTAGATATCATGACTGTGTACGTCAAGCAGTTCCAAGAAGCAAGAGCAAAGGTCACAGACGAGATGCTAGATGAGTTCCTCCGGCCGCGGAAGTTAGATTGGAAGGGTAACCCCAACCCTACCAAGCCGAAGCTCGAACAGCCGGCCCAGGAAACTGAGAGTGGTGGCCCTACGTTGGACGCTGACGGAAAGCCGATGACTAAGAATGCTATGAAGAAGGCGGCTAAGATGGCTGAGGTCGAGCGCAAAAAGAAAGAGAAGGAAGCTGCTGCTGCTTCGAAGCAGTGAAGCATGTCAAAAACTTGAAATTTCGTTGAAGAGGTAGTTGCGCGATACCAATATACCTAAGTCGATTTCACCTGCAGCCTACTCATAGCGTTCCGCAGACATATTCATTGCGATGTTTCAGCACAGTGTACCTCCCGATCAACCACGCGATGTAACATCATGTATCGCATTGAAGGAGCATGCTAACGCGATCTAGACATTGGCAAGCATCACTGCTCATATCTACTGGGTGGTGATGTGAAATGTACCAATCGATTCCTGCATTCCTGCCCGCCGATCTTAGCATTTGGGTTAAACGACACGAGGACGGGTCATATTGTGGAGTCTACCATTCCCTGGGCTTTGCCAATAACGGTACGCCGGTCGAGTGTTCCTTTCCAGCCCGTAACAGCTAACCGTAAAGCTTGAAGCTGCCTCGGAGTCAACCTGTGTTTGCATCACCTCGACTACTGACAACCAGTTCTACCTTGAGCTACTAGATATTCCTGCAACCACGATGCCTTCAAATTCTGACCGGTTCTCTTTTTTTGATCGGCTAACGCCTTAGTCGAGAGACTCATCGCTCGCTCGCTCGTCCGCCCGCCCGCCTGTGTATGCGACCTTCCGCCGCTGCCTGTCGCAATTGTCCACTTAGTGTACTCATTCTAGGGTTCTGCTCAAATTAGCTCGCTCATTTGAGGTCATGGGGATGCCACGCCGACTGCTCTCTAGTCAACCTGCGTCACAATGCCTCTTGACCCCGCGGTCTTCCTGACTCCGCATCCCCGCGTGTACATCATATCTGGAGTATGACAGTCATCACCCCTTTTCTTGACTGGATTACAGTTCTTTCCCTTCTTCTGGCTTCCTCCAAGTAGCGCTGTTGCTTGAGCTCCCATCCAAGACAATCTCAGACGAGGGCATTATGGTATCTGTTATGGACCAGAAGCGACATGGTATCGTCGACTTTGATCAGCAGGTCATGGAGCGAGGCCACTCGGATGCGCTAAATTCCGACAGCACAACAGAAACTTTTACCTTCGTACCAACGATACCGAAACTCGAGTCGACAGACCAAATGTTAGAGGTATCTGCAACTATCGTTGAGACTAACAACGAAGCGGAACGCTCTATGTCGCTTCGTGAAGGCATACGCCTCTATCCCAAAGCGATAATATGGTCGGTGCTGTTGTCGATGACACTCGTCATGGAAGGGTTCTCTACCATTCTCGTACCAAATCTATTCGCGATGCAACCGTTTCGAAAACAGTTCGGCAGCTTACAACCGAGCGGACTGTACGAGATCAGCGCCGAATGGCAAAGCGCACCCGTGAACGGCGGCTTGGCTGGTCAGATCGTAGGGCTCTTTGCTACAGGAACACTGGCAGAGCGCATTGGGTGCCGTTACACACTCATGGTAGGATTGGTGGCGATGAGCCTGTTCATACTTGTGCCTTTCTTCGCTACAGATAAGGCAGTCCTGTTGATAGGTCAGTGTCTACTAGGTATGCCCTGGGGCATGTTCCAATGCATATGTACAGTATATGCTGCGGATATCTGCCCAGTTGCCTTGAGGGCCTACCTGACAACGTGAGTATCAGCCTAGCCTCTCCTTGGACTTCTCAAGTTCCATGAGAATTCTGTAACGCTAACAACCCCAAGCTACGTCAACGCATGCTGGGTACTCGGCCAACTAATAGCGTCCATCGTTATGCGCGGCATGATTGACAATACCACGGCCTGGTCCTACCGCATTCCCTTCGCACTACAATGGATCTTTCTAATCCCGATTTCCTTCGCCGTCTGGTTTGCGCCCGAATCGCCTTGGTGGCTCATCCGACAGAATCGCTTCGAAGATGCGAGAGCAACCCTACGTCGGCTTCGCACAAAACCAGCGACGATTTCGGACGACGAATTCGCTACGACACTGAGGGCCGCAATGGAGACCATGATGCAGACAAACGAGAGAGAAAAAAAGATGCAGAGTGGTACAAGCTACAAAGACTGCTTCAATGGAGTGGATAAACGTCGAACAGAGATTACATGCATGGCCTGGATTATCCAGACGTTATGTGGTAGCACCTTTATGGGCTTCTCCACGTACTTCTGTAAGTCACCAGACCTCTGTACACCCCCACCACATGTCTGATATACTAATCATTTCCAGACGAACAAGCTGGTCTGGGCTCATCCCACGCATTCACTCTCTCACTAGGCCAATTCGCCCTGGGTCTTGTTGGCGTTTTCATCTCCTGGGCCCTGATGGCACACTTCGGGCGGCGTACACTATACCTCTCCGGCCAAGTCATGACATGCATCTTTGTGCTACTCATCGGCATACTAGCTTGCATACCCCAACACCACAACTTCGTCGTCGTCCGGTCAGCCGCAGTGGGAACCTCCTCCAAAGAGGTGAACGCGCATCCTACAGCACTGAACTGGTTCATCGCAGCGCTATTACTCGCTTTTACACTAGCCTACAACGCGACACTAGGCCCTATCTGTTACTCTCTTGTCTCAGAAATTCCGTCAACGCGCCTCAGGAGCAAAACTATCGTTATAGCGCGCAACTGCTATAACATCTCTGGTATCATCACCAATGTTATCACGCCACGCATGTTGAACCCGACAGCATGGGGATGGGGTGCCAAAGCAGGCTTCTTCTGGGCCGGTACCAGCGTGCTTGGTATCTTGTGGAGTTGGTGGCGGCTTCCCGAACCGAAGGGTAGGACATTCGGAGAGCTCGATGAGTTGTTTGAAAGGAAAGTACCCGCACGCAAGTTCAGAACTACGGATTTTACGATTGGCGGGGTACATGCTGCAGAAGGGAAGAAGATCAGGATGTAGAAGGTTAGTCAATACAAGGAACATGGAAGAAGACCAGGGATGCACGATGTAACGAATCTACGAATGTTTGTTTCCGCTGCTCGACTGCCAGAGCTTATATGATCGCAACTAGGAGTCAGTTTACAGGCGCGATATCATGCGGAATAGTTTTCCTTTTGCGATCCACTGTCTTATTGTAGCCTCAACGAATTCACATATTTGATCTCGTCAGCAAGTAGCTCAGTCAGTCCACACCGCCGCGGTATTTCTAAAGTCGCCTCTGCCACCAAACCAAGCCCCTGTTGAACCACATCTTCTCTTCATCTAGCTCGGCATACGCTTCTGCCCTCGACGGTAAAACCCCTATCCTTCGTACTATATCCTCCACCTGGGCAGCTCTTTTCTCACGCAAGAGCCTTAAAGTATTGGAAACAGTCGCGCGTCTTCTTCTTGTATCCTCAGCTGCCTCTAGTAAACCAAATGCTTCGGCTTGCTCCGCCAAACGTTCTGCGTTCTGTAGTCTAGTATGGGCAACTGCACCTGGAACGACCCTTCCGGAGCTGCCGAGATCGGGGCCAGAGTCGTGGGCGAGAAAGGTTGCAGTTCTTTGCCTGACTAACGGTAGAGTTGGGGACGAAGATACTACGAAATTGGGTCCCAGGCTGACTCTTTCCGAGACTGTGATCTCGGCAGAGGATGTGGTCGAAACGTAGTTTGGTGGCGGCGCTTCCTCTGTCTCCAATCCATCTTCGACCTCGCGCAATCTCCGCTGTCGTTCTCTTTCCACTGCTTCTCTCGCTGAATTTTCAATCTCCCGCTGGCTATGCTCTAGTGCTCTTTTCGCTTTTCTTTCTGCTTCTTCTCTATCACTTCTTCTCTCTTTCCTCTCCTCAGTATCCCTCACAACCATCTCACCGAGATCTGCGATCATGTTTTCCACACCTGCTACCGCCTTCCTTCCTTGAGGATACCTCTTCTTCACTTCGCTCAGCAATGCGAACATTGAAAGGAAGAGACCCGGAAGTTCTTGAATCTCCGTCGATACTTCTATTGGCTTCATGGGGAAGAAGTCTTTGCGACACAAGGGGCAAGTACCTGCTGTGTCGAACCAGGTTTCAATGCAGGATGCGCCGAAAATGTGAGAGCATGATGGCATCTGGAGGGCGTGATGGGTTGATCCGATGAAGGACGAGGTACAGATCTCGCTACAAATCGGGCAAGATGGAGACGGGTCGTTTTTGGAGGTGCATGTTTGGGTCGTAGTGGTGTAGAGGGCGATGTTGCTGAAAGTCTCGCGGGTGCTGTAGAGAGATGCCATTTTGCAGAGTTGTGCGAACGTACGTTTGCCGATAAGTATCTTTGAAACTACGTTTGGAGTATTCGCGAGGATACAAGTGTACAAGAGTTTAGGAATTGCGAGACATGTTTGTGCTTCGCGACCATATTCGTCCCCTGGTTCTGAGTGCACAGCCTGATAGTCTGAATTATGGTTAGCGACAACCTTGTTTGGCACTGACGAACCACAACGATAGGACCATAGTATGAAGCCTAAATTTGGTACTTATTGTGCTGATACCATAAATTTAATGAGTTTTACTTTAAACTCTGTCGGAAACATGTCTGAGCATCGGCCAAAAAACATGGTAACTAACACGTTACAGGAATTATCGTACCCGGTTTTATTCAACGACCCTTCCAAACCCAAACCCTCTGACCCCATTACTAACCCACACCCCCTCCTCCACGCTCACCGTCTCAATCCCAACCGGCTCCTCCATACAATAACCACTCCCCAGCGCCCACCTCCGACTTGTACCTCGCTGCCCACCCGCGCCCACCTTCGCACTCCTGGTAGAATGTCCCCAACGCCCCGCAAACGGTTTTCTCAATTCCCCCTCATCAGCCCCGTCGTCTTTCAAGGTCTTACTCGTGAACTCGCCAGACGGCACGCCAACAGGCGGCGTCACCCACCTTCCGCCGCGGAAGAGATACAGAGATGTTAGGGTGCCTTCTGTGAGTTCGTTGACTTCGTTGTAGAGCATTACCTCACGGTAGGCAGGGCCGGCTGGGTTTTCGGGTAAGGCGCGTTCACGGGATTGGTCGTACATCTCGCGTTTTGTGGTTTTGAGGAGGGTGAATGGGGAGGAGGGGGTAGGCTCGGTGTCCAATTTGATCTTCCATTCTGGTGGGGGAGGCGGTGTTGATGTGGCAGCTGGAAGAGAGTCCGAGGGTCCGAGTGTGAGGGCGCCGCCTGTTAAGGGAGAGGGGGTGAAGGTGTTGGCCGGGTGTTGTTGGGTGGGGGGCTTTGGGGGGTCCAGGGATGGGGGATAGAGTGTAGAGAGTGGTACGGCAGGCACTGGGGTGAATTCCACGGTTAGATTCGCAGCTTTGTCGTAGAGGAGTCGAAGCTGGACATTCTTAGTATTGTGCAGTGATGCCTCGGTGCATGTCATACCTTCATTGCTTCATCTTTTCCTGTGTTCTTGATCTCCTCTTGTACCCGCCTCAACAACTCCTCGTGTAAAGCTTTTCCATCTTTCAATTGTTTCTCCACCTCAAAGAAGTCAAAGTGCTGTGCAGCTTCCACCATGCGATCTCGATGGTAGGCAAGCATGTAGAAAGGTGAAGGTGCTACGAAGTTCAAAATCTCTCTTGAGTTCTCGCCCGATTTGAGAAGTAACGGATCATATCTCAGGGAAGTGAAGAGCTGGAACTCGTTCTCTGATGCCATGATGCGCGACTCGTGATAGTGATGACTCTTCGTCAAGGTTGCGATACTGGTGATTGTAGTTTTGGTACTTGTATCTGAGCTTGACTGTTCGGACTTGGTTTATGCTTGCGCTGGATATAGATCCGCAGCAATGTTTATACTGTGTGTAGGACTTTGAATGTACAGCGGATGTGCTGTCATCGATGGTGGGTCAGAGAGATGATTATCCAATCCTTTGCGAGCGGAGTCTGACCCGCATCTAGTGCCGAATTCGGCTCATTGGTCGATTCGGGTACTTTACAATAGCATAGTCAACTTCACATTCATGCTTGCCGCAAGTAGCGTTTTGTAGTATTTGATCAGTCGACATATTTACAAAGAATCTGATCATTGTTAGGTCGCTGCGTTCAAAGAAGATTTAGGTGTAGTGTTGCACACACAAGCATGCTGAACATTGCTCGTCCATTCCGAAAACAACTCATTAGCACAACCACAATATCAAATTACACATAATTGGAGACAGAGAATCCGGTAATCAACATTCATTGGCCCGGTGGGACCTCCGCTACAATCCACGAAGGAATGTTAATTACTAGAAAGGGGAATCAAGTATTTGCATAGAAGGTCTACTTCGGAACTTTGTTCCGGAACTACAGTGAAACACAGGTTTAGAAGCAAGGTGGTGTTATGCTGACATCAGGCTGATTTGGGTGGACGTGCTATGAGTCGACAAGGACCTGCGCACTATGTGTTTGTTAAACGCTGGTTCACTGTTCTTCCCGATACACGACTGTGGTGATGAAGTCGTGAAGTACGTTATACCAAACTCTATATTGCGAGTGTTCCGCAAGGAAAGAAAGCAGACGCATTACTGTATGCGCCAAGTCCTTGCTGACCCCCCAAGAGCATCGGATGTCACACGCGTCATCGCGAGGTAATATGGATGATAGCGAGGCTTTCCAAGGTCTAAGTGCAACGCCCGCCATCACCTTGTGCGTGACTTCACCGTGTGTTTCGTCACTCGAAACGGAGACGGTTGCGCAGCAGCAGGTAGGCTAGACGATGAGCGACCTCTGGTTGGCTTCGCTGAGGCATAATCCACTGACGCGTCCTTTGGTATGCCGTATCTCACGGCATCAATGACAGCCCCAGCCTCTGCGCGTACATCTACGTACTTGGCAGGAAGCAAAGGAGCTTGTACATGCAGCCTCAGGCTTCCCTTCAGATCTAGTGTCTTTCCCGCAGCTACCCCGGCCATCAAGTCTGTCTGCGTCTGCGTCTGCAGCTTGTTGAGATTGACGTACTTGCCATTCTCGTCGTATCCGCGAGCTTTCAGCTCGTCTACTACAGCCCTGCGCAGTCGCCGTCTAGCCCATGCTCTTACACAGCTAGACTTGTTCAAGTCAACACCTGTTGTCGCATGCCACCATAGTCCCTCTTTCTTCTTCTCGGCTTGTCTGCGGCGCTGCGTCTCGTGGAGGGGATGCGAGGGGTCGATCGCGACGTGATTTATGATAAAGTTCTTGTACTGTGGCGCGTAGCTGACTTTGAACGTCTTCGGCGGCTGCTTGGCGAGGAGTGAAAAGACACTGTTCATGGCGTTCCCATTCTTCGCATGCACATGCACGGTGACGTAGGATGAAAGAAAGACGGGTGGGGGTGAAATTGCAAGAACCACGAATGGATTATTTCGGGTGAGCGACAAAGCGCTAGACTGAAGCAGGGTTAGGGCGTGCTCTTAGCGCTTAATCTCAAAGGCTCCCACAGTGAGTCGGAATCCACACTGCAAACAACCGGGTTGGCCACTACATAAAGACTTGCGCCCTGCGAAGCTCCTACTAGAAACACGAACTTCAACTCCACCAAAACAACAACAAACTTCGACAACCGCCAACATGCCGAAGAACAAGGGAAAGGTACGTCAAGACTCTCTTTTGGAGGGGCTGTAGCGCCCCTCCACATCGCACACCGCAATGATGCCCAAACCTCACCACGAGGCGGCGACCCTCATTTCTGTGTTCGCGAGATGTGGCGCTATCCTATTTATCCTTAGACAACATGCTAACACATCCCAGGGAGGTAAAAACCGACGTAGGGGTAAGAACGAGAACGACAACGAAAAGCGCGAACTCGTCTTCAAAGAGGAGGGCCAAGAATACGCCCAAGTCGTCAAGATGCTCGGAAACGGTCGTCTAGAAGCCCAGTGCTTCGATGGCGCCCGTCGTCTCGCCCATATTCGCGGCAAGCTGAGGAAGAAGGTCTGGATCAACCAGGGTGACATTATCCTCCTGTCGCTGCGAGACTACCAGGACGAGAAGGGTGACGTTATCATGAAGTACTCTGGTAAGTCACATACTATACACAGAAACTACTCTGAGATAAGGTTACTGACATGCGCACAGCCGACGAAGCCCGTTCATTAAAAGCCTATGGCGAGCTCCCCGAAAACGCAAAGATCAACGAAACAGACACCTACGGCGACCAAGGCGACGAGGGTATCGGTTTCGAGTTCGACGAGGACCGCGACGACAGCGATTCGGAGGACGAAGACGGCACCGGCAAGAAGGAGATTGACATTGACGACATTTGAGGGAAGGGAGTTGAGATCCGCCATGCTGTCTCGGTTCTTGCTTCGCGGCTGCTGCGTATGCTGTGGCGGGAGCCGGGCTGCTCAAATGCTGCTTCTTGCGAGCGGGCGGATGGTTTGAGTGATGCTGGGAGAATACATAATCCCTTCGCGATGATGACGATGAATGCCTGTGGCATGTTTTCCTTCTACACGACTCTGCGTGCTTTTCTGTAGAGAAATGATACATGCATAATCTTCATCTAAACATCTACATTCCTCACTATCTTCACTAACTAAAATTCTGCCACTGTACTTCTTCATACACTGATCGATTAAAGAACCTCCACACCCTCCTCCCCACGTCCGTCCCCACCAACCAACAAATCTCCCTCTCCTGCATGTTTGCTACCTCATAAATACTCTCACTCTTCAGCATCAATGTCGTGACCACATTCTCGTTTACCCCAGGCAGCGCCCTCAACATGTCCTGACTCGTCTGATTGAAGCTTCGCATCTCGTCTCCACTCTGATTAGGATCAAGACCCAACTGCACTGCTCTCAACGGATCAGGCTCATCCTGCGCCTTTTTCAATTCAGAGAAGATCTCGGCGGTTTGGTAAGGGGAGCTACTCCATATTATCCTCAAACGCGGGAAGGCGAGCGTCAGCATGACGAGTTTTGATTGAAGATCTGGGGTCGTCGCTGACGCATTAGCAGAAGCAGCGCTACCAGCTGAGAAATCCGTGAAAGGTTCCAAGGTGAAAGACTTGTTTTGGTCGAATTCGATGAGTAGCATGGGGTGTTTGTAGTGTTCCGTCATGGATTCTACTTGGTTGAAAAGACGGCCGTTGGCGAATGATTGGATGAGATCGCGGATGGATTTGCGCTCGATGCAAATTTGAGGTGTAAGGACGTAGTCGCCTACTGTTAACATGCAGGGGACGATGACAATGGATCGGCCGTGCAACAATGATGGGAGTGAGGAGCGGAATTCTCGTACATCGACGACGACGCGGGGAGGTTCGGTGGTTGCAGCAAGGCGACCTCCTCCAGCTATCCTGGTGTTGATTGTGCGGAGGAAAGACTCTTCGGGAGCGAGGTTCGCGGTAGAGTTTATGGTTAAAGCCATGTTTGCGCGTTCCTTGATCAGGCGGGTGAAGGCGTCTTTTTCGCGGCGGACGGCGGAGAGGTAGCGTTGTTCTTCTACACTGCCTCCGTAGTACATGAAGAAGACTTTCACCGTTCGGTCTGTGTGTGATGATCGGTACACTTCTATACGCCGAATGAACGCTGCGTCAGGCTCGTACATGATGACATATCGAGGTTTTGTCTCGTCTAGGATGTGTTCGTCTAGATCTCCGGAGTAGGGGTGTACGATGATCAGGGAGTTCATGTCAAAGAGCTCGTAGTAGCTTTCCATGTTGTCAAGAGGGTCGAAACCTACGTCGCCAGGCTTTTGCGCTGCTTCGATTTCCGTGGGTTCCAGTTCAGCCATCAAACTTGCAATGTGGGCGTCGCGGTCTCCTGCTGTACGAACAGCTCCTGTATCTGATCGTGAAGGACCTGCTGCAGCGTTTCCACCTCCTCGTATGCGACGTCGCTTGCTAGGCGGAGGTTTACCAGACGTCTGGCGCATACCGCTCTGAACATTCTTGTCTGTGCTGTTATTGATGGCTTTTTGATTCTCCGAAAACAAGGCAGCGCTGACTTTGCTGAAGTCGCGTTTCCAAGTGAGGTAGTTACGTAGCTTACGTCGCATCATAAATTTCGCGGATGGCTCGTACTCGTCTTCTTCCTCATCCGGTACACCCTCTGGCTTGACATACATGGTTTGCAGATACTCTCTCAGCTGTGATGCTGTACCCTGGTCGCCGCACATGATAAGTATGGAGCCGTTGGAGGAATCTTGCGGTGTTGGGTTGAAGTAAGCATCCTGCTCAATCTCTTGGAGGATTTCTGCAAGCTGCGTCCATTTGGGAAATTCTTCGAGGACTGGCTGTAGAGACTCTGGCACTGTGTTCGAGGCGTTAGCTAACTCGGCGTTGGACACCTTACCAGTATATACTCGTCGCTTGGCGGTAGTGAAAATGGTATCGGCCGCATCTAGGAACAGCCATGGTGACTGGTTCTGCTTCGTCGATCCCGGCGGTGGTTGCGAGGCTGCCAATACAGTGTCGAGGTACTTGTTGAAGTTTACCGCATCATATGTCAGAAGCGCATGCAGAATGGTACGAAGCAGCGACAAATCTCGGACGACCTGTCGTGTCTTGTACGTTGTGCGATGCCAGACGGGGTCTAGTTGACGTCTGATGATCTGGTCGAAGTTTTTGTGAAGGGCACTGTCCACGTTCCAATCTTCCACCTCCAAGCCTGGGTTCGCTTTCTTGAGCTCGCTGATACTGGCTTCAACGCAGGCTAGTACCGCGTTCTGTATGTCCTGCATAGCTTCCGTCATGGGCACCTCCAGCTCAATGACTTCAGCTTTCTTACGTCCTTCGAGCGAGTTTGCGACTGCGACGTGGAATCTTGGGTATAGCGCCGGTTTCGTCAAGAACAGGTTCTTCATCATGATGGTGAGCGGAGCGAATCCGGTAGTGAATGGCTCTGGCGTATCGGAGAATGCCTTCAAAAAGCCTGCCTTGTTCTTCTGCCGGTAGATGCGCAGGATGAAGGCCTCTAGGGATGTCGCGACGACCCTTTCAGCGTGCAGTACCACCACACCCGTCACCGTTTCTGGGTTTAGTAACCCAGACAGGAAGTCTACGATGAGGATGCGTGACGTTATACTGAATATTCCGCCCTGCGCATACATCTTCTCGCGTGTTCCAACGCTCATCAGATCGGTATTGACCAGGCTCAGCCCGCGGCACTTGAGCGCATTACTGACCGCCGCATGCTCGGCCAACGCCTCGCCAATCCACACATTCTCGCGATCGTCAGCGCCGACGAGCAGTATGAGGTTGTTCCCAGCAGCATCGTAAGAGTGAAGGAGGTTGGTTACAATGCGCAAGAGGCCGAGGCCGCGCGCAAGGAGGACGAGCTCATCTTCCTCGCGCAGTTCGTTGAAGATGTCCTGTTGGAACTCCTATGATGTCATCAGTATATTGTATGCGAATGTTGCAATTTGTGCGTACGAGAGGCAGCGAGAGCTTCACGGGGGCTTGCGCATCGCTGGGCATTGGGTCCTGCTCCGATGGGCGTGGTGGGGCGAGATGGAAGTTCGGAATAGATGCGCGTTCCAAGTTTCGCGAAACTCACTCCATGTCACGAGATCGACACCTCGCCATAGCACTCGACTTCCATCACGTAACCGCACTGTGGATATACAGACCAATCTACCGATGAGACCGCAAAAGCACATTGAGAGTCTCATGGACAGTCTTGGTTTCCAATGAAACCCAGACTACAATTGGAAGCGTAGATTCGTGATACAAATACATATACAACGGTGAAGAGAAAGTCGTCTGGCATGGGCTGACTACTTGGCGCTGGCTCTGATCTCTGCTTGTCTTCTCCGACTCTCAGCAGCATATGCATCGCGCTCCTCCCTGCGGATCTGTTGTTCCTCCTCTGACCTCTTTGCATCCATTTCCTTCTGTGCAGCCCAGACTAATTTCGTTAGCGCAATCTTGAAGATGGCTGCAGCAGCAACACTTACTTGGCTTGTCTGAACGCGCAGCCTCCTTCAATTGACCAACAAATGCGTCAAAGTCCTTCTGTCTCTGCTCCCTTCCCGCGAGAGCCTTCTTCTGTAGTTCCGGGCTATATCTCTGCAAGCAACATAAGCAGCTGTCGGGCGCATACATGTGGCAAAGTAGACATACCTTGAAGATTTCTTCCTCAGTCGGCGTAACGTACCAGACGAGCGCAGGACCGCCTATGCACAGGAATGCGCCTCTGTTTATCATCAGTTTGTTGCTATACAGCGGCAGTGTTGTGAATATACCCTGAGATGGCCTTGATATATGTCGACGCAGATGGCATGGTGTCTCTTAGGCGATGCTCTAAGTATCCGAAGAAGTTTTTATAGGTTGTCTGTTGTGTTTGCGGCCTAAAAATCACGGTATCGTGGTTGTTGGTGGATTCTTGTGCAGCTTGAGTGGTGAAGTCGACGATCCACCCAAGTGCCATGGATTAGTCGTCGAAAGAAGCTAGCAACATGCACCACAGCCACAGCCACTATCACGTGAAAGCACCGCCACTAATGCTGCATCATCTGTGAAGTGGGTCTCAAGTGCTTGCAGGCGGCGAACGGTTACCCGAGGCGGCCTGCGATCAGCATCATCATCTACGCGCGTTCATTGGTAGGCCGTTCTTCGACTGCATGATGTGTATGATCTCCAGCGGCTCTGCGACTTGGTTCGTATAGGGACTGCGTGACACAGACTAATTAGGTTGTTTTTTGCAGCGCTGACACTGATCATCCTCGGAATTCTCCATTCATCTCAGCTGACGGTGCTACCTTGGTAAAATCGGCAGAGGCTTCATTTAATCTACTTGCGTGCGAATGCAATTTAACGACAACGATTCCTCTGCTCCATGCAAACCCAGTCGTGCTGGGTCGGCGTTTCAAAGCCGAAGGAAGCTAAAGCGGGACCCTTTGTTATTCATTTCCTGGGTTGCACCAGCGGAGGGTGGCAGACTGGGTTGAAACGTAAGATCGAACTAATTGGAGGTCACCCCGTGTTTGAGGACGGCAGCGGCAGCCCCCATTGGCGTTGCTTTCTGGAGCATGTGCAGTTGAGAGGATTCACTTTTGACATTCTTCCTTCATCACTCTGACTTTCACCTTCATAAGGCCTTCCTTGTTCTTGGTGGGCATATGACACTTCTTTGAGTTTGTACTGCCCCTGTCAAGTACCACATAGCCCTGTTGACAGCCAACACGGCCAACGAAATACGTACGTCGACTATTAGCACACGCTACGAACAAGCCTGACGAGCTCCGGCTCTAGAGAGATTACACCCCAGGTGCCCTTAAGAGCTGCAGCCCCGCCGGTCGGACGCGATCACCATCGCTCGCTAGCCTCTTGATAGACAGCCTCGGGCCAGGCTTCTCCGATAACGCCGCCGACATGGCGCATCGACAACAATACGACAACTACGCGCAGCCGCAACAGCAACAGCAATATTACGACCAGGGGAGGCCACAGCAAAGGCAGCAGCAAGAATACCAGAATTACGACAATCAACATGACCAACAATACTACGACTATGATTATGGCTATGACCAGGGCGGCAATGAGCAATGGAATAACGGCCACTATGAGCAGCAGGGGGGATGGAGCAATGCGCAGCAACATGGTGGCTACCAAGACGTGAGCGGATACTCGAGGTCGGCCCAGCCAGAGCAGGGCCGCAGACCGCCGCCGCAAGACCAGTACTATCAGGAAGAGGCATATAACGAGCCCTACTACCAGCAGCCACCACCCGCGCAGAATCAGGGACGGAGACCGCCGCCTCAGAACCAGCGTCCTCAGCAGCAAGCCTACAATGAGCCTCCACGGCAGCGGCCACCACAGCAGCGACAGGATCCGCGAAGCAGACCGACAGGTCGAGAAAATGCACCGCCGCCCAACCCACAACAAGGACGAGGTGGGTCGAGGCCACCAGGTATGTCGCGAATTCTCGGTTTGTTCATGTGGGGAGGACGTAGTGTTATACGTCTACATCACAACATCGCGTACTAATCACCGTCAACAGGCCTGGATCGCTCCCTCTTCCAACCAACATCACCCAAGAGTCTTGCTTATGACAACCCCTTTCCGACCTTCCCGACGCAGAAGCCGCAGCAAGCGGGCTCAAAACCCCTCGACCAGAGCATGGCACAGATGAACATAAAGGACAGCGGAGGGCAAGCAAAGCCCGCGGGCTCCTCAGGGCGAGGACAACCTATGCCACAGCAGAACCGTGTGGCACCACAGCAGAGGTCGATGCCCAATCCTCGGCAGGACTCAGGGCATTTCGAGGGCCAAGGTCAACGCAACGCCCCTAACCGGATGCCGCCCGGACAGCGACCACCACCTATGAACGTCGATACCGGCAGAGGACAACAACCACATCGCACATCCGACCCTATGTCGCCCTCAAGGCGAGCTTTCGGCCCAAACACACAGCGATCTGCGACGATGCCTCATACGCTATCACATGGGAATCAAGGGACCGGGTATGATGGTCAGCAAGAGTTCGCTGAGCCCGGTGCTGTGCCCGGTTACTATGGTCCTGCATCACCAAATCCCATACCTCCCAGGCCTTCGACTGCGGGTGGGGTGAAACAGAATGGACCACCAATGCAGCATGGACAGAGACCTCCTATGCCCCAGGTGCCACAGCAGCAGCCGCCACCGCAACACCAGCATCAAGCCCAGAACCAACAACAACGGGCTCAGGGCGAAGAACATGGGCTGGACAACTTCTACGACGACTATTATGGACAAGAAGACTCTGCAATAGATATGCCCAACTTCGACGCCATCCCGGAGACCAACAACAAGCACCGGAGAGGCGATTCAATTGACAATCACTTGTCTCCGTCCCACGATATCAGTGCCTACGCTCCACCAGCTGCTCCCATGAATGCAGGGCATAACAACCCTCAGGGGCAGATGCAGCGAAGTCGATCACAGCCTGGTCTTGACAGACAGTACGCGAATGGTGTACATGAAATGGCCGCAGATGTTCCCCCAATGCCGGGTGTACCAAGGGCGAACACCGGCTTCGGAGGTTCCAACGGTTTGCCCAACGGCGTTCGAGGACGGCAGCCGCCTCAGAGGGGAATTGCACCTGGTGGCATGCAGAGTGGACCACCTAACCAAGGTCCAATGCATGGACAACCGGGCAATATGGACCCTAGATATGGGCGTCCTCCACCTGGGCCTCAGAGAGTCTACTCAGATGACACTACCTACTCGGAACCACCTCCGAACACAATGAGGAACTTCGCATCGCCTGCACCTGGGAACCCCATCCAACGACCAGGAACAGCTGCACCTGCACCAGGACGCAATCCGAGCGACCCACTTGGGAGAAGACCCGGCACTACTCAACCGCCATCGAACCCGGACGCATTACCAGCGCATCCGATGCCTGTACGACAAGGCCTCGTACAACAACAGCAGCAGGCGCCACAGCCCCAGGCGCCTCAAAACGCAAGGCCACCGCCCGTCAGACAGTACAACAGTGAGCCTGGGCGTACCAGCTATGAAAGCCAACCGTCCACACAACGTCACAGCGGACAAGGCTTAGTGCCACACCCGGTGACTTACGATGAGCTGAACAGGCTGCGCAACACATTCAAGCAAAACCCAGCCGATGTTGTTACGGGTCTGAAACTATCTAAGAAACTTGTAGAGGCGTCGAGTGTACTCGCTGATGAAGGAGGCACAGCCGACTCTAGGACGAAGAACAAGAACCGAGAGAAGTTCATCCTCGAAGCCCACAAGATCATCAAGAAGCTGGTCAGCAATGGCTCCCCAGATGCGATGTTCTATCTTGCCGATTGCTATGGCCAAGGGTTGCTTGGCTTGCAAGTAGACACCAAGGAGGCATTCACGCTCTACCAATCAGCAGCAAAAGGAGGTCATGCCGCAAGTGCATACCGTACAGCTGTTTGCTGTGAGATGGGTCATGAAGAAGGCGGTGGTACCAAGAAAGATCCCCTCAAAGCTGTACAATGGTATCGGCGGGCCGCCGCATTGGGAGACACACCTGCGATGTACAAGATGGGTATGATTCTTCTCAAAGGACTTCTAGGCCAGCAGAAGAACTTTGGCGAAGCCATCAACATGCTCAAGCGAGCCGCCGATCGAGCCGATCGAGACAATCCTCACGCACTCCACGAATTGGCGCTCATCTACGAAGCGCAAACCGGCAACGAACGCGTCATACGCGATGAAGCATACGCACTACAGCTCTTCCACCAAGCAGCTGATCTCGGCTATAAGTTCTCTCAATTCCGTCTCGGACAAGCTTACGAATACGGACTCCTTGGCTGCCCTATTGACGCGCGCACAAGTATTGCTTGGTACACCAAAGCCGCTGCCCAGGAAGAACACCAGAGTGAACTCGCACTTTCGGGCTGGTACCTTACAGGTACATCTGGCATCCTCGAACAAAGCGATACCGAGGCCTATCTCTGGGCACGGAAAGCAGCATGTGCAGAGCCGCCACTGCCAAAGGCGCTATTCGCCATGGGCTACTTCACCGAAGTGGGTATAGGTTGCCCACGGAGTCTGGACGAGGCGAAACGGTGGTATGGACGGGCTGCAGGTAAGATTTCATCTTGTTCTGTTGAGTAAGAAAAGAGAGTACTGACTAACGTTCTTACAGCATACAAATTCCCCAAAGCCCAAGAGCGTCTTGAAGAGCTTAAGCGTGGTGGAAGTAAAGTTCAGATGAAGCGTGAACGTCTTAGTCGGACGAACCAGAAGCAACAAGAGGAGAACTGCACTGTTATGTAGAGGTCTGTTGTATTATCATCTGAATGGTTTGTTTCAAGCATCACCCGTGTGCATCTGTTTCGTTACGCTGGCGTTCGGGACGGAGTTCAGACTGAAGCATACACGGGCGTTGGTGTTCTGTGAAAGGCTTTGGCATATTTATTTAGTGTAGAGCATGAGCTCCAGCTACCACGACTTGCATTTGAACATGAAAACTAAAGAATCCGCGTCGTGTCAAGCTGCACCCATCATTACTACAACACTATGACAAAAGTACATGTATCCTTTACCACCGCCAAGTGCCTTTGCATCCACACCACATCACTTTCCTCCCTCCAACTTCTTCACTTCCGCCTCGACCCTCTCGACCTCCTTCGCCAAACCCTCCTTCCTCCTCGCCAGATCCCTCATCCCCTTCTCCCCCGCCTTCCCATATAGTTCCAATTCCCGCCTCGCCAGCGCCTCCCGATCCCACAACGCCCTCTTACCGCCTCCCAGCCCCTTTCTGTACTCCTTCAACGCATCCACAAACTCCGCTGGTGGGGGATGAAGTAGAGTGTGAATCTTAGCTTGTAGACCGAGTAACGTGGCTTTTGTATGCAGGAGCTCGGCAGAGGATTTGGTGTGTCTGGATAGGGCGCCTTGTTGGGTTTGTTCTAGAATTTTGATGCTGGTTGAGAGGAGAGTAGAGTGGGTGGTTAAGAGGTTGGTTAGCGTGTTTGTTAGGTGCGTGGTCGCGGCTTGGAGGTCGCTGGGTAGAGATTCCGTGGCGGACTTTTGGAGGTCGTGGGCGTTGTTGTGGAGCGATGAGATGGGTGGGGGAGATGACGGTGAGGCGATGAGACAGAGGTAGTCTGCTATGGTGGTGAGTTGGGTTGATAGAGCCGAGGCGATGGGTCCAATGTTTGAGTGGAAGAAGTCAATGTCGCTGGAGAGAATCTCTCGGTCAGATGCTGTGACTTGACCGTTTAGTTGCGCCGTAACCGTTTCTATGACGGCGTGAAGGTCTGGCGGGAGATCTGTGGCTTTTGATGGGAGGGTTGATAGGGACGTTGTAAGGATTTGGGTTGTGTGTAGGGTTGTGAGAGTGGAGGTTAGCGTCTGGAGATGTATTAGCATGCAAAATTGATGTTAGAATATCTCCAAATATGCGGAAGTAAGCGGTTGTAAAGGAACTGCAGGAAGACGTTGTTGATGGAATGAGATAGGATGTGATGTTTGTAAACAAACAAATAAACGGAACACAGAAATTTGCATTGTATGGATAGAAGGCTGGAAGAATGAAGGCACAAATTGACTCTCTTGTAGATGGAAGATGTAGAGAGATTCTTACCCTTCGTATCTCATCATGCACACGCTGCTTCTTCGTATCTCTCGTGGAGCCATTAGGATTGAGCTTCCGTGTGCAAAGATCCTTATACAGGATTTCAAAGTTGGGATTGCGTTGCAGCACTGCAGGATCAATTGGTGGTAGCATAACGTTACTCGTGCTTGTTCGGAGTAGTTTGAAGTTACAGCTATGAGCGACGCGGTGGGAGTGAGTTTCGAGACTAGGTGCAGTAGAGGTAGGAGCGGGCACTAGACAGTTATCAGCCTAGTGGCTTGGCCGACCTTCCACTCCTTGCGCTGATCTTGGAAAGACCCATCTCATCTTTCCCATTTGCATTCTATATCAAAGTCTTCTTCTTCTTGATCAAGAAGAATAAACACCACATATCAAACAAAGCCCGTGTTGCAGCCAAAACCACAATGCCCGAAGCACGCCAGAAGACAACATCAACATACCACCTCTACAACCGCTCAGGTTCCTCATGTTCACGCCGAGTCCGCATCGCGCTATCTCTAAAACGAGTGCCCAACGTCCGTCTCCACGATGTAGACAAGTACTCAAGAACCACTATCGGGACAAGAGAGTATCTCGCCATAAATCCCAGTGGTGCTGTACCTACTCTAATCCACGAAACCACATCACCAGGACACTCTACCAAACAACGCTTCGTACTAACACAATCTACCGCCATCCTAGATTACTTGGAAGAAATATTCCCACTTGCGTGCCCGTTGTTACCGCCTGTTTCTAAACCGGAAGAGAGGGCCAGGGTTAGGGAGTTGGTAGCGATAGTGACGCAGGATATGTTTCCTTTTGCGAATCGGAGGAATGGGGTAAGATTGCAAGAGATTGCTAGCGCGACGGAAGATGGGCAGCGAGAATTCATTCAGAGAGCTTTGAATGAAGGCTTTGATGCTTATGAGACGACGGTGGGGAAGTATGGGAGGAGGTATAGTGTAGGTGATGCGTTGAGTTTGGCGGACGTATGTCTTGTGCCGCAGGTATTGCAGGCGCAGCTGTGGGGAATCTATGTCTTGGGATGTGATAGATGGCCGTTGATTAAGAATATCGTAGGGCAGTTGGGGAGAATCGAGGCGTTTGCGAGGGAGATGGGTGACATTGCTGTGGACGAGTCTACAATCGTAAAACCACTGCCTTGAAGGATGCGCTTGGGGGCGATGATTGGCTGCTATGTTTGTTCATTGAGACGTTGTATAAGCCTGTTGAGAAGATGCGCTTTGCCCCAATTTGACAAAACCCATGATACCATCCTATCTCAATCTCCATCACTAGAATATCTCCTTCTCACAAACAACCTCATACCGTTCATCCACCACTTCCCCCTCCCCTTCCAACCCTCCACTCCAAATCTTCTTCGCACCCATCTTACATATACAAACCCTATCTACTCTAACCCCCTCCGCCCAAACAAACCCCTTGTACTTCTCAATCAAATTCCTAGCATCGAAGCGCATCCAACTCTTGCCATCTGGACCATGGCCCTCACCGGTTGAATGCGGTGATTCTGCTGTTGAGAGGTCGGCAGGAGCGGTTGCGTCGTTGCCATCCGCAGAGCCTGCTGCTGATGTGGCTTCGTCTGCTGGGTTGTCGTTGTCGTTACTGACGTGGGCGACATGAACGTCTTCTCCGTCTGCGTGGTGGTGAGGCGATACTTTGTGTTCCATGTGCTTCAAACCATCTTTAAGTTTGCTGCCCTTGGATCGTCCCCTCCCACGCTTCGGCTTCGCGTAGATTGTGTTCATGATTGTTGCATGCAGTTTTAGGGGTCTGCTATCCTCCAGTAGTAACCCCTTTTTTGTGAATTGGTCTCGCAACGCTGCGGCGAAAGGCTGTAAGCGTTGTGATGGGTCTTGGGGTTCCGCATACAGGATGCTTGTTTTATGTGGTGCTTGCATAGGAATCAATGATTCTAGATTGATTGTCAAAGCGTCTGTGTCGGGCATGGCTGCGGCGTTGAGATTTTCTGCTATCTCGCCACTTTCAGCGGCCTTTTCTGCAACGCGTCGATGAGTGATGTCGCGGAGGAGTATGTGTAGGTCCAAGTCTTGCAGGTATTGCTTCGCTTCTTCTAGGTTTGAGGGAGAGAGACTCATCACTCCAAGCGTGAGATGCAGTGTGCCGACTGGTCGGACGGCTTTGGTAGGCACTGGACCATCCTTTACTAGCTCTTCTTTGAACCTCTCCAGTCCTTGCTGCAGTTTGGGTCTGCTCGTATCGGTAACTAGGGGTAGACACAGGAAGTGTGTGAGCTGTGGCTTCTTCACTCCACCTTTGCCTTGCTTCTTGGCGTCTGTCTGTTTTTGTTGCCCTAACGATGGTGAGATATCTCGGGCTGCAAACCCTTGCAACGTCGTTCTGATTTCGGTGTTGTCGCGCAGTTTCTCGCCGTCTAGAAAGTCGTTGTAATCGCCTCTTGACTTCTTTTTGCCCATGGCAGGTGATGCAGTGTAAAGCTTGATTTGGGAAAGTTGATTTGAGTGAATTTGTAGAGATTTACTAGCGACTGTGTTCTTTGTTAGGTGACGAGTGGTGGAGTGCGCGATAGCAGTTGTGATGGTAGTGCGTTGGCTGATTGGTCCAGAAGAGGTTCGATGCAGAATCGCCGTAAGGAGCATTAGAAGTCAGGAAAATCGTGCAGAAGGAAGAACGATTAGACAAGCAGTTCGAGGAAAGGAAAGGTGGGCCAAATCAGGCGCGCCTCACTGAACGCCACATGACAGACGGCAACACCGGCACGACTACAAGAACAGAACCGAAAAAGGGCCTGACGATGGAACCACTCATGGTGTTGACTTTTCATGGGGTCAGGTATCCAGCCTATCACACGCAATACCAAGTTCGGCAAAGCCATGTGCAAAGAGTGACGTAGGTCCCGGATGTGGGGTGAGTGACACGCGCCGCCGCTGGGCTCTCGTTCGGCCCTTCACCGGTAGGGCTGTGGAACATTCCATGGCACATTCTACAGTGGAAAGGAACGGTTAACATTTATTCGTATTCTATGCAATGCGATGAATCAGGTATAGAAAGATTGAGGGCAGGCTATGTAGAGTACTAAAATTTCCTCGCTGCCCCGATGACGACATGTACACAGGAAAAGGTTCGTCAGAGTTGAGGAGTGGTAGTAGGAAGGCGCGGAGCCGGAGTCGCATGTCGCTCCTTGAAGCGTACGGTCCGGAACTTTGCTGCTACGGTACCATATCCTCCAGCTGAGCGTGGCGAGTGCGAGACGTGTCCTCGCGCCGTAGCTCTGGCTAATGTATGCCCTATGCCTTTGCCGCGGCAGCGGCAGCGGGCGCTTCTTCTTCTTCTTCTTCCTCATCATCGCCTTTGTCTTGGTAAAACTCCTTGAGGATCTCCTTGACATCGGTGAACTCAGTCTTTGCCTGCTTGATAATCTTGGCTAGGTTCTCCTGCGCCTTGTCCTCTGTGATGTCCTTTGTGCCTGCATCGTCCTTGAGCTGACCGTAGTGTTGGATCTTCTCGCACGAATCTTTGACTTTGGTGAGGCCGAGCGTGGCCGACGAGCCCTTGAGGAAGTGGCCTAGCTCACTAAGCTCCTTGAGGTATTTGCCCTCCTTCTTCTCACTGTGCGGCGCATTAGCCATTTCAATGCCCGGGCAGACGGGTGCACTCACAGCTCCTTGTCCATCTTCTTGAAGGTCTGGTCTGCCTGGCCAAAGAAGTCGTAGACGATGCTTTTGCTGAACTCGCGCTCGACCTCGTCCTCGTCCATCTCGAGAATCTGCTCAAAGGTGGCTGGGTCGATTTGGTCTTCGGCACCAGGGATCGACATGATGTCGCCGCTCTGTAGTGAAATGTCTTAGGTTAGGAGGTCAAGTTATAGGCGAGTGTTGCGATTGCGATGTGTACAGCTGGAGGGTTGACACGTGCGGAGAATTGCAGGACATGGAGGGGCGCAGGCAGGAGCAAGCAGGTAATGGAGGGGCAACACGAACCTTGTCGTCGGTAACCGACATTTTGAACAAGACCGCACAGCAAATCCGATAAACAGGAAGCGCTCTTCAACCTCGAAGTGATGCTGTCGACACCTTCGTGTACTGGTGTCGCAGCGATGCAATGCTCTGGGCGCGACGGATATTTTTTCGCGCCTCAGTCGTGGACCGTGCGGCTGTACGATTCACTGGGTGTGGCTCGATTTAGCTTAGTGGATGACGAAAGGGTCGGCCCGTTGTTACTGTGAGCGCCGTTGTTAGAGCTGTAATCTTCTGCAAAGAGCAATGTTCAGAGACGCAGGGCAAGGTGGGAAAATGCGAGTGTGACTGTTAATGGTCTGCCGAACTACTACGTACAGAATGAAGCCTTAGTCTAGTCAGCCCCTCTGCTCGTTTAATTGCTATAGTCTCCACGGAATCGGTTGCCGAGAGAAGCGACTGCAACTATGCTGTTCGCGGTAGATTGGACGACACGTCGAGTCGGTGAGATAAGAAGAAAGCAATTAGTGGCAGTGATGGTCACGAGCACGTTGCTCATATACAGCCGACACCGTGTTCTAGAAGTGATGAGAATGGCGATGCTTGCATCACCGCAAAGAGGGGGCGGCACGGAATGATGAGCACAGAAATAAGGCCTCGCTATACGTGGGTGGATACCTCGACGTCAATCGGCAGCCTTCACTCGCCGTTGATCGCCTGTCACAAAGCCCAACTCTACGCTCTTCCAGCGGCTGACTGGCAACCATGGCCCCCATCGAGCTCATCGGCTGTCCGGCCAAAAGTAATGTAACGCGCCCAGGACGTGTGGGTTCTGCCCTCTGACCTGGCAGGTCGCCCGCTCCATGGTTCCCTCTGCGGCTGATAGAGCTAGTTACTACCCTCGCTCGCACCACTTTGTCCCGTCGGCAGAGCATGTAATCGTGTGCGTAAAGATTGGAAATAAAGATGGTTGACAGTTTGCCAAGAAGGCCTGGAAGCGTTCGAAAAAACTGCTATTTCCCACTGTTGAAAGGGTCAGGGCGGGGTGCCAGCGTGCGAATATAAAGAAAGACGAGTGTTGGTTTTCGTCGTGAGAGAAACGACGTCACTTCACCAGCCATCGTCATCGTGCATACCTACCCGGACCCTAAAATCTCAGTTGCTGGGTTGGGCTAGCAGCATTTACCACACACAAATACCTTGACAGCTCACGGTTGGATTTCATGATTTGCGCGTCCCCAAATTACCACCAATTATCCTACCAAAATAAACTACAGCCGTTGCCAGCATACGAGTCTTGGGACACGAACAAAAACGATAGGTCCGGGTACCAAATCCACCGACAGGCATACTCCATGGACCCTGACTTCTTCTCTTGCAGAAACCTGCACGCGTGAATCATGCTCGTTCATCCGGCCTCCTCCGAGCTGCAGAACGTCGATACTTTCCTGTTGCTGGTGCAGGGGGGAACGGATGACGGAAACAATGCTGCATGGAGGCGTCCAGGATCAGTATTTGTGATTCAGACGTGCAGGACAAGGAAACTGCAGATCGCAGCTGCAGGGTAACCAAGCGGAGTGATTAGCGTGATGGTTATATCGGCAAGGACACTTGGTGAACGATGCGGTGTGCGGTACCGGACCAGCTTACGGAATATTGGAAAACCCTCTGTGGTTCTTAGAGAAGCATACGTGACAGAGACCCAAGGCTGCTCCGCTTACAGAGGGGATAAGACCCTTTGGGGATGCCGCATATGCAAGGAAGCGAAACCGGTCCGGTAAGTATGGCTTTTGGCTTTTCGCGATGAATGTGTCCCAGCGCACGGGAACTAGCGTCGTTAGAGTATGAGGTAAGAGCTATACCATACTAGGCAATGATCTGCATGTCACTGATGGTTTCACAACGACATGACCAACCACTCGTGGGATGTGGGGACTTGGTGGGTGATGTCAAAGCGGGACACAAAACTTCGGTAAAGGACTGGCAGAATCAATCAGCCTGAACGAATCAGGCACCTCGATCCGAGAACAAAAAACATGATATGGAGATGAGGCTGGGAGGATCGTGAGCCGGTTTCATTTCTCGTAGACTTTGATACAGTATAATCTAGCCGCCGATGCTGCCTATATGGTACAATGTTGGCGTCAAGTTATGCCATACCGAGGTTCGCTCAATTTACGGAAGGAAGTGGAACTTTATCATGACGATTCTAACCCTTGACCTTATAGATGGCCTCGGCGAGGCGGCCGACGTTCTCGCTGGTAATACCCGCGACCGAGATACGGCCGTCCTTGGTGGCATAGACCGAGTGCTGTCGTCGCTGTTAGTGTGTAGGTCAAGATAATTACAAGATATGAACCTACCTCCTTTGCCAGCTTGTCCATCTGCTCGGGTGTTAGACCAGTGTACGCAAACATGCCGATCTGGGAGGTGATGTGGCTCCAGTCGTGCTTGCTGCCGAGCTTCTCGAGGTTCTCCTTGAGGAGAGCACGCATGGTGATGATACGGTCAGCCATGCCCTTGACCTCACCAAGCCATTGCTTGTTGAGAGAGGCGTCGTTCAGAATCTCAGAGGCAATACGGGCACCGTGAACTGGGGGGTTAGAGTACAATGGGCGAACAAGAATCTTGATCTGAGAGTCAACACGCTTCTTCTCATCCGCGGACTCGCAGACAACGGAGAAGGCACCAACACGCTCGCCGTAGAGACCCATGTTCTTGGCGAAGGATTGAGCCAGGACAGGGCGGAGACCCTCCTTAATGAAGTGACGGAGGGCAAAGGCGTCCTTGGTAGTGTCACCACTGGCGAAGCCCTGGTAGGCCATGTCGAAGAAGGGGAAGTGGTCACCAGCCTTGACAGCCTCAGCAATCTTGGTCCACTGCTCCTCGGTGGGGTCTACACCAGTAGGGTTGTGGGCACAGGCGTGGAGCAGGACAATGCTGTTCTTGGGCATGGCCTTGATGTCGGCAACCATTCCCTCAAAGTCAAGGCCGATGGTGTCCTTGTTGTAGTAGCGGTACTTCTCGACCTTGAGACCAGAGTCCTTGAAGACGGCATTGTGGTTGGCCCATGATGGAGTGGGAATGTAGATGGTCTTCGCACCAGGGTAGTGGCGCTCGAGGAAAGCACCACCAATGCGGAGGGCACCGGTACCGGAGATGGTCTGGGTGACGGCGATGCAGTCCTCGTTGAGGGGAGTTGAGTCGGCGCCATATGCGAGCTTGAGGGCGGCCTTGGTGAAGTTGGGTACACCAGTAATGCCAGCGTACTCCTTGTCGAGGTTTGACTTGATGATCTTCTCCTCTGCCTCTCTCACGGAGGGCAGGACGTAGGGCTTGCCCTTGTCATCACGGTAGGCGCCGACACCTGTCCATGCCAGTCAGTCGCGCCTTCCATATGCCAATGCGATAGCTTGTATACTGACCCAAGTTAATCTTCTTGGGGTTGCTGTCGGCCTTGAAGGCCTCGGTGATACCCAGGATGGCCTGAGGAGGGGCGGTGAGCTATTGTGTGGTGTTTGTCTCAGAAGCTGTACTTACATCCTGGGATCGGTTGTTAGCACTTGTCAAACACGACTGGGGGCCCAATTGCTTTTGCCACTTACTGGAGGACCCTGCGGTACCTGCGACCAAGCGGAGACAGCTCGGACACTGGTCCTGAGGGACAGCTGCTTAGTCGCCGCCTGGCGCAGCGCCGTTCTTGATGACGCGAGCATGTTGGAGTTGTGTGCGGGTTGGAGGAGGGGGTTGGTTGAGAGCACGGAAGGGAGGGGAACAAGTAACAGAGCTTCACGGCACAGTGTAAGCTATTGTAGTGGGTGGTCTGAGCAAAATACCCCAGAAAAGCAACAAACTGCCCGTTTCGCGGGAGCTTCTATGACTCGGGGCAGGCACGATCCCTCCGATTCGCTTAGCCGAGACATCCCTGCTAACTCCGACGGCCGTTCACTAATTTTCATGCCAAATGCGCGCGTCGCGTTGCGTGGGGGACAATCATGTCTTTTCACTATTGACACTATCTAATCACTGTCGGAACCCTTGCTTCGGAAACAAGCATTCGTCGGAAGTGTCCAAACTTGTCTTCACAGTATGCGACCAGCGCTCAGGCAAGTCAGGACGCTGCTGAACCATGAAGCCTCGATACCACTCTTCCTCTGTCCCGCATTGCTCAGAGCGCCTACAATCGCACCTCGCCGCCGAATACCTCAGAAACAAACTCCAAGAACATACTCGACTCTCGTTACTCCTCAAGAACAACTCAACGCCACTGTCCCCCCCACCGACACTGCCCATGTCCCGTCTAGTGAAACTCGAGTAGATGCCTCTTCAACCCCGAGACAACTGCCCCGAGCATGCCCAGGGTGCGGTGCGCCGAGTCAGATATACGACAAGAAGGAAGCTGGCTTCTACGACGTAGACAGGAATGCGATACGGGAATATCTGGACTGGGTCCCAAACAGGCCAAAAGAGGCGACTGTTGAGGACGACATCTATGCGAAGGCGCTCAAGAATGTAAAGCCCGAGCTGCTGGGAGAACTAGGTCTTCAGGGTCAGAGCACCGAGACGCCGGAAGATCAGGAACCACCTGCCACGCCGGTATGCGACCGGTGCCATAAACTCCTCCACCACCGCGTGGGGTCGCCTATACATCACCCGACCGTCGACTCCATACAGCAAACGATCGCAGAGTCGCCCCACCGCCGCAATCACATCTATCATGTCGTTGATGCCGCCGATTTCCCGCTGTCCATAGTCCCCAACCTCCAATCGTCCCTGCGAATACCCAAACTTCGAACCCAGAACAGACGAGCAAAACACAAGGGATGGGTGGCCAATGATCGCATTGCAGAGGTCAGCTTCATCATCACAAGGGCTGACTTGCTTGCGCCGAAGAAAGAGCAGGTGGATGTCTTGATGCCATATGTCCGAGACGTGCTTCGAGATGCGCTGGGACGACAGAATGCAAACGCGCGGTTGGGCAACGTGCGGCTCGTGAGCGCAAAGCGAGGATGGTGGACCAAACAAGTCAAGGAAGATATATGGGAGCGTGGAGGTGCAGGTTGGATGGTCGGCAAGGTCAACGTAGGAAAGTCGAACCTCTTTGAAGCCGTCTTTCCCAAAGGACGAGGAGCAGATTACCAAGACGTGCGCAAGATTCGGAGTGCAGCCGAGCGTGAAGCAATGATCAACAACGCAAAGACACTGGAGGAACTCACGCAGGTGCATCAACAGCTTGCTGAAGAAGATGCTGAGACAGAACGGCTAAAGAACAAACCTCAGGAACACCTCCATCAGCCTCCTGCAGAACTCGAGGAACAACCTGACGAGGAAGAGCTCGACCCTGACGCGCTCCTTCCACCACCTCAACCATACACTCCATACCCCGTTCTTCCAATCGCCTCCTCCCTTCCTGGAACAACCGCGTCACCAATTCGCATCCCCTTTGGCAACAACAGAGGCGAGCTCATCGATCTCCCCGGTCTTGCACGCACAACGCCAGGTCTAGAGACGTTTGTCCAGCCCACCGCACACGACGACCTTGTCATGACGCAACGCATAAACTCGGAACGCTACACTCTCAAACCAGGCCAATCTTTGATCCTCGGGGGTGGACTGATACGCATCACACCCGTAACTCCCGACTTGGTCTTCCTCGTCCACCCCTTCGTTCCCATCCACCCTCACGTAACTCGCACCGAAAAAGCCATAGACTACCAAGCCCAAACCTCCGACCGCCAACTCCAAGTCCCACCCATACTCGCCCCCAACGTAGGTCCTAAGATGAATTCCGCCGGCAAATTCCAGCTCAAATGGGACGCTACCAAGAAACTCGCTGGCCCCGTCACTTCCCCCATGGCCGGCAAGATGAAACCCGAGAACCTGCCGTTCCGCGTTTGGAGCACGGATATCTTAGTAGAGGGCGTAGGTTGGATAGAAGTCTCAGCCCAAACTCGCAGACCACAAGGATGGAAACCCTCTGGTCTGGCCAAGAAAGATCCCAATCAAGCCAAATTCGACCGCATTACACGTCTCAAAGAGGAAGAAGAGCGGAAGAATAGAAAGTTTGCGGCCATTGCTCGCGCGGGGAAGGAAGGTAGGGATCCGGAAGAGGTGCTCGAGGAAGAGTTTTATGACGACGATATGAAGGATCGGATGGCGGAGTGGGAGGAGGATTACCCAGAGGTGGAGGTGTTCAGTCCGCTGGGCAAGTTTGTGGGACAGAGGAGACCCATGTGTGCGAGTATGGTCAGTGGGCCCAAGTATGTGGCTAGTAGGGATAGGAAGGTTAGGCCTAGGAGGAGTATGGTTAGTGTGAAGAAGCAGAGGAAGCCTCAGGGTGGTGAGTAGGGAGGATGTATTGATTAATGAGAAAAGACATGTAGATTAGCTGTGTATTAGACATGATGTCACGTTTTGCCAGTAGGTGTGGTTGCGAGAAACTCATACTTTTTGACGTTTAATGTTAATGATAATTTACGCAACATAACTCCATAATGCGTTGTATCAATATCTCTGGTCTCCAGGACAGTACAAATTCATACGCCATACGCCAGTATCCATCTTCACAAATATTTGATACACATCTGCTCCTGACCTCTACCTCGTCTTCGTGTGATGCGAAAGTATTCCTCAGTACTCGAGCACCGCACTCGGCTCCTTCACAGAAGCCATCAATCTTTCGTAGCGGTTCATATACCCATCTCCTTCCTAGTTCTTATTCTGCTCAAGTATAGCCCAGAATGCCTCCTGTTCCTTGGCACAAGTCTTCCCATCTTTATCGCAGCCGGGGAAGTTGGCCACAAGATCGCCGTCTTTATATTGACCGTCCTTCTCAGCCGCCGGCCCGGTCGCATAAGCGTTGAGTAGGTTTTGCGGTACCATTGCTAGTTTAGCAAGGATAGTGCCATGCCATCTGAAAATTCAACAGTTAGTCAATGTTCCCATGATACACAAACGAGTCTCTTCGTCGAACATGCTCTCAGGAAGAGGAGAGGAACTTACTGAACAATATGCTCCAACGCATGACTCTCCGCCTTCTGAAAGTTATAACTCCGATAGATAGGATCGAACCAAGCATCCAGGAAGAACTTGGCCCACTCTCCGTTCCTCACAACAAAGCTACTCGGCGCCAATCCATCTTTATCCTGTGTAACGACGAAATCTATTCTGTCGCCCTTGAGGTTACCGAAAGTTTTGATGACGCTATCGGGAGGTACGACGGGTGCGTTGGTGATCATGTGGGTTTCGAGTTTGGTGGGGGTGAGCAGGTGGGTGTGGATGGGGAGAGCGTTGTTCATGATGAGGGCGCTGGCATCGAGGTACCAGAAGAAGGTTGAGGTGGGGTGGAGGGTCATGGCGTGGCGGATGCCGGGCACGCGCGACCAGCTGGATGGGGAGTTGCTAATGGGATATTGGTCGTTGGTGGGGAAGAAAGTTAGGTAGCCTGGGTGTTGTTGTTAGTATATTCCTGGCGGTTGCAGAGGCTACAACATACCATGTCGTTTGGCGTACTCTTCCCGGTTACTCTTGATCTTTTGCATCCAAACCGGATCGGCCTTGGGGTCTATAACCGTGACCACCACCACAGGCGGTCCGCTCCCTATCGTCGGCTTGGGTATGTTCGCTGCTGTCCAGCCCCCAACTTTTGAATTCCTCTTGCTAGTCCCTCCACTGCCACTCAGCATCCATATCAGGACAAAGAAGCCCAGTACGCCGCCAACTATTAATCGTCCTGCCCTGCTTCGTAGTAGATTCTTGAGCGCAGGCGGTATCGCAATTCCACCACTCTGGTTGCGGGCGGCATATGGCGGTGGTCGCGACGTCTTTCTCGGAGGCATGGCGAAATGCATGGTGTGTGATAAGCGTCCGTGGCCGGGGAGATCACTAGTGATCGCAATTGCGGTTGGGTGAAGCGAAACGGGAGATGCGACGTGTAGATCGTGAGGTGTGGGAATATGGCGTAGAAATCGTTACGAGAACATTGCTGGTGTGTACGCGGGTTGACAGCCTGTGTAAGAAGATAAGGCACAGCTGAGGGTCGGGGGCTGCTGTACGGTCGCAGGAAGGGACGAAATTCCTAAAGTACACGCGACGACATGGGATGCGATACGGTAGCCCTGGACGCCTTGGCAGGAGGGACCTTGCCTTAGCGGCCGCAGGCAGGGGCAGCGAGGTAGAGCAGTTACGCGTTTCTGAGTACTGATGTGTCTTATGGCAATCAATATGCATGTACGTATAAGTTGTTAATGCTCCTGGTCCTGAATGGACTACTGCTCAACGTCGCACCTTCACACGGCGCAACTCTTCCACGTTGCGTTATCTCCTTTTCGAGCGGGCTATCGCCAACCTCCACGATCGCATGTAATGGCATCCTCGGCCCTACAATCATCTCAGAAATAGAGGCAATACGGCCTTGGCACATGCGGCTGCTGAACAGAGTCAGTCAATACGGGACCCAGAAGCTGACGCTGTTCTGTATCTCCACGAAGACGTTCGTATTCGCCGACTTTCACCTGTAAGGAGACGATAATGCCCGCGCTACGTGGAAGAAATATCGCTCCAAATTTAGGAAATACCAAAACCGTTGGACTTGTTGGAAATGCCAAGGTGCCAAACTGAGCGTAAGAATTACAACGTCTGCAAGAGTGAACACTTGCCAAGACGTATGAGGTTTTGTGTCAGGTACCTCGAGCGATGGCAACTTGAACGAACAGATCCACAGTTAAATCGGAAAGCTCGGTACCATCGCCAAGCGCTATTCTTATCAATCTGCGATGTGACGATTGCTTGCTAATATCAGACGCTCATAGCTTTGCAGCTACTTCTGCGTTACCCGCTATGACGTCGCCTACCTGTCACAGTAAAGGGACAAAACCTATATGAAAACTGCGAGAGATCGCCATCTTGCCAGCATCAATTTACTTTCAACTCCAACTCACGAGTCATAGTCCTAATCATACTCCAGCCTACTCCATCTAATACACAAATACCGCAATCATGGTCGAGAAGATTATGCAACTGAAATGCGACTGCAACCAGTACCCATGGGGAAAGCAGGGCTCCAAGTCACTCGCAGCAACCCTGTGTGCAAAGACTCCCGGCACAGACTTCAAGATTGATGAAAACACAAGTTACGCTGAGATGTAAGATCTTGAAACTATACGACCGAATGCAGTCTGACATCAACAGGTGGATGGGCACATACCCCGAGCTGCCTTCATATGTCCTGGAGACCGGCGAGGACCTTCAAAAAGTGCTGGATAGACATCCGAATGAGCTTGTTGGAAAGGCTACTGCCGAGAAATTCAACCACACCAAGCTTCCTTACCTACCCAAGGTTCTGTCAATAGCAAAGGCCCTACCCCTGCAACTGCACCCAGTACGTTCGTCTCTGTATCGACTACTTCGATCGCTAACCCAATGCTAGAACAAAGACCTGGCTTCCAAGCTGCATGCAAGGAACCCAGATCAATTCACAGACCCAAACCACAAGCCAGAGATCGCGTTGGCTCTTGGCGACTTCGAAGCTTTCTGTGGCTTCAAGCCGCTCAAGGATATCGAGCGCTTGATGCAGCTACCCCCTCTCCAGGCCTTCCTTCCAGAGGTCAAGAAGGCAGAGTTCGATGATCAGACTCTAAAGCACGTTGTCAAGGCAATGCTCCTGGCTTCCGACGACGCTGTACGCAAAACCAACGACGCACTGATGAAGATCCCAAAGGAACAGTTCGGCGAATCCAGCTACATCCCTGACATGATTCCACGTTTGGCTGAGCAGTACGACAAGGCCGACAACGGAACTCTTGTTGCTCTGGTCACCATGAACTACCTCCAGCTCAAGGCTGGCGACAGCATCTACATCCCAGCTGACGGCATCCACGCATATCTCTCTGGTGATATCATCGAGTGCATGGCCCGATCAAACAACGTTCTGAACACCGGTTTCTGCCCGCGTGCCGACCGAGACAACGTCGACATGTTCTGCTCTTGTTTGACCTTCACACCACATGACGCCAAGGAAGCTATTCTACCAGCGAAACCTTTCGATGGAAGCAAGAACGGCAAGACGCAGCTCTACGCGCCTCCTCTAAGCGAGTTCAACATGCTGGCTACAACCCTGGGTGACGGCGATTCCGAGACGATCCGGGCAGTTGGTGGGCCAAGTGTCATGATCGTAACAGAGGGCGAGGGTACCATGAAGGGTAACGGCAAGGAATACAAACTAAGCGCAGGCTACATTTTCTTTGTCGCTCCAGGCGTAGAACTAGAGTTCAAGGCCACCAAGCAGCTCAAGTCCTTTACAGCTTATGTAGAGTAGATCGATCGGATAGGTATCTGACGATGAGGCTCAACCCCGCGGAGGTGACCTAGCGGCCGATTGGAGGAACTAGAAGCTTCCCCGCACCTTTCACGTGCGCGTACAATCAGCACTACGGATGTACTTTAGCTGTGCAGTTATACAGCCACAAGGCTTAATGAGATAGAGCGGAACATGTTCGGATCCGCATGCACATGTACTGGTGATCTCCACATGTATCCTTGTTTCCCCGCACTCAATGGCAGGTACCCCTCTGCAGCTGGGGATAGCTATAAAACCCCGCAATGAAGCTCATGCCTGCTCGGACAATCAGAGCTGCTCATCGTTGACCATTGATTGCCTCAACCTGATCAGGTTGAGCTGAGAGTTGACGTTGTTGAACTTGCGACGAACCTGAGGCTGTCTGAATCTTGCCAACACTACGACCAACATCAATCCGCGCATTCCATAAAGCTAGTAAAACGAGGTGAGTAACAAGAGCAAATGTTGTGCTATCCGAAGGCTCCAATTCTACAGCACTACAGAAGTTGTTTCGATTGAGCTAACACAACACGAAACAGTTCCATCACCGCAAATCCAACCATGGCAACAACAGCGCCGATGCCAGCAGAGAAACGCGACTCGATGGAGGCCACCGCCAACATTCTCGAGACCAAAATGAAAGCCGCTTCACTCAGCCAAACACCCCGAAAGCGACCTCTCGGGCTTACCGACCTTCCACCTTCCGTCCGCAACAACATCTACAAACACTGTCTCGACACGGAGCTCGTAAACCTCGGCGCCCCAAACGTCTCCTATACCCACACCATCTCCAAAGAAGAAGGCATCTTGACCTTCTCAGCCTCACGCAACCCCTTCCCTGTAAACACGGCTCTGTTCCTTGTCAACAAGGAGATAAGCAAAGATGCACTATCCTACTTTTACGAGAAAAACCTCTGGGTACGACTAGACGTTTACACAAGCGACGCGCGACATGCAAAGACATTACTCGAAGACTCCGGCTTACTCTTCTCAACATCCAAGAGCGAGTTGGTCGAGAAAGCCACACACCATGCTCTCGAGGTCGTTCTCGTAGAGAAGAACAGCGCGCAGAAACGCGCTAGTGTCATGTTCCCAGCTCAGTACTTACCCCGATTGATCAATTTCTTGGATCAAGCAAGCCGAGCGACAAAGACATGGGCACAGGGCCGTAGTCTCTTCCTCAACGTGGTGAATATATATGGTTTCCCTGTATCAAAGCTACAAGGGGATCTACTAGAGCTCTTCCGTTTACTGAGTGGATTCGGCAAGGTGGAAGTCGATGGCAAGAATCTCCTTCCACGGTATGCAGAGGGCCTGCAGAATAATATGATGGGCGAGAGTTTTACGGCAGATGGTTATCTGGGCAGTGTGAAGGAGTTGTGTGATTTAGCGGACGAGGCTAGGGAGCAGGAGAGATATGGGCTGGCGAATGAGTATGCGCAGGCTACTATCATTGCCCTGACATACGGGTATTTGACGCATGCTGAGACGCTGCATTCGCAGCCTGAGGATTTCAACAAATCTATTCAGCGACTGCGCTGGCGGACGGAACTCGGATTGGGTATCAGTTTGTCTATTCCGCTGAGGGGACTTACGACAAGTAAGCATTGGTTGAGGACGACGAATCCGACACAAGAGATTAGGAGTGCGGCGAAGGATCTTTTGTTGGCGGAGACTTCGGTTTCGAAAGCGCTGAGTTTGGCGTGTGACTCTCCTTCTCCGGCGTCAAACCCTTGGTTTCACTCCCTTCCTGTCGAGCTCATTCCGCCGAACAAGCCTACCTTTTTCACCGACCGCGAGAGAGCGCAGACGTGGTATGCTTTAGGCACTATACACATGGCTTTGGGTGAATACATCTTTGCCTGCGGTGATATGGAAAGGGCGCTGGAACTATGGGGAAAAGACACCGGGATCGACGAGGAAGGTGGCTTGAGAAGCAAGATTGAAGAGTCTTTTGAGAAGGCAAGAAAGGGTATCGATGGAGACGCGGAGAGTATGTGGGTCGGTGAAGTGCGTCCTGGAACAGGGCTGAAGACGGCGGCTACTTTGGCTAAAGGATTGTAAGGTATTCTGAGTGGAGGAGAGACGCCGCATTGATACAAGTACATAAACAAGAGTAGAGATACCATGTCATAGCCTCTAACAAATGAGAAACATCGAACCATACTCTTCACGTACCCTTTCGCCTATTCAACAACCCCACCTTGCACCCCCCATCCCCCACAGCAATAATTGTCAACTTCTCCCTCCAAGCCTCGAAATCTTTCTGCACCAAGTCGAACCGCCTCACCAACTGCACAACCACAAACATGACTTCAGTCAGCGCAAAATTTTGTCCGATACACACTCTCGGACCACCACTAAACGGTATATAGCCCCAACCTAGTCTTAGATTCCCTTTCAGCCATCTTTCAGGATCGAAAACATCGGCATCTTCACCGAAGATGTCGGTCCGTCGATGCATACCCCATGAGTGATACATGACGTAACTTCCCTTGGGAACAAGCAAAGGTTGCGTTCCATCTGGGCCGCCGCCGCGGGGCAGGATGGTGTCGTGGTGTGCTGAGCGGCTGTTTGCTGGGACAATGGGGTAGAGGCGTTGGGATTCATTTATCAGGGCGCGCAGGTACTTTAGGGATTTGAGTTCCTCGTATGTTAATACACGGGGTCTGTAATCATCGTCGTCACATAGGATTTGTGCAATCTCTAGGCGGAGACGTGAAAGCATTTCGGGCTGGCGTGATAGTTCCCATAGGAGGTTGGAGAGGAGTGCGGCGGTTGTGTCGCGGCCTGCTAGAACTGTGTAGTAAGTGTTAGTTCAAGTTTGTGAAGATGATAGAATGCATGGATGTAGGACTTACGGATGTTGAGTAGTTCGCTACGTATCACCGTCTTGTCTTGGGTGGCGAGGAAGAGTTCGTAGAGGAATATGTAGCGACCATCCTTCTTTGCCTTCATCTCGTCTTTGCTGTTGGCTTGATGAAGAGCGAGTTCCTCTTCGATAAGCTTATCCGTGAACTCTGCTCAAGCATATCAGCATATATTCCACCTCAATGAATGAGGATAAAAGAAGAACATACCGTTCATGTACTCAATACACCTCTCCCTCTTCCCGTCCTTCATAAAAAGTCCCAACCACCCCCACCGCTCCTGATTCTCATTCAACATAGGATCTCCTGCATACTCAAATGCCTCCACAAACTCCCTCACATCCGTTCTCTCCACCGTCCGATCCAACATATTCATGCTGCGACCAAACAAGAATTCCGTCGCAATATCCATCGTCAACTCATGGAACAAGGGTTGTAAATCAACCTCGCTGCCATCGCCTGGCAAAAGGTCCAACAACCTCGTGGTATGCTTATCCAACAATGATACATCAGCGACAGCCGACCTCTCAAAACACGGTCTCAGCATCTCCCGCGAGTGTTTCCACGCCTGGCCCTCATTTGTAAAGATACCTTTACCAAGCCAACTTGACATCTGGTCGATACGGCCTTGGCCCAAACTCTAAACATCAAAGTTTGTTGCTAGCATACATTTCACGTTTTCTGGTTCGTCGGTTATGAAGAGGTCTTTGAGGCCGAAGAGAGTGAAGTGAATTGTGTGGCTGTGTGCTGCGCTCCTGGCAGCGGGCCAGGCCTGGAGTACAGTGTGTGATTTGAAATTGCGATACCGGCTGACTATGAAGTCGAGGCCGAAAGTTGGGAGAAAGGATGGGAAGACCGTGTTTTGGCGTTGGGGTGCGGGTAGGCAGCCGTGCTTTTTGGAGAGGGCGCGGCGATGTGCGCCAGTTGTTGCAGTGTAGTAGATGCGGGTGGCTACATAGAGAGCTGCCAAAGATATTGCGACGTTTGTGAAGGAAATGATGGCCATCTTGAATGGCCGTCGTGCGGTATTGTACGTACAAAGGTGAGATTGGTGGGCAACCTGAATGAGATACCAAGGTATGGTCTTAGATTACGACCCTGGAAGCATTTACAATGACTGAGGGACTGATCCAAGCAGAGACATGAAAACTAGGGTGCTACACATCGTATCAGTTGCTGGTCGCAGTCAGTCTTATGCTTTTCAGATGTGGGTGATGTCAGGCGCGGGTGGCTTGAGTAGGCAACCACATCTGTACCCTGCAGGATATGACACCTGCTGCAAGCGAATCCACATCCGTAGTATTTTCGCGAAGTAAACGTCGAAAGAACACCGATAGGCCGATGGCGGAAGACAATGAGGGTATATTCGCTAAATATGTGTTCAGATAGTCTTGAGCTGTACATCGGTCCAAACTTTTGTGCAATATCCATTGCATCGTAAACCATACATGAAACGAGTGGTTAAGGAAATGTAAAATATGATCAACATGACAAGATATGAGTGAGTATTATGAGGTGATAAGAGGCTTTTCGCTGTATGCGAGACCGGATTGAACCCCTAAATGATCTAGGAAAGCGGTCGTGAATGAAGCCTGGCCGTCTCATCGTGAATGTATATCTAAGTCCAAAAGTGTCCCGCTTTTGGTGTTGAAAATGTCCTTTTCGTGACTGGAATATTTTGTATTCATACAACTTGAGGCGTTTTCGTTTAGATACGGCCTGGCTGCATGATATAAGATCCGTCTATGCCGCTTGCGCCTCGGTTTCGTGTACCCATGGCTCGGGTCGATTCACCGTCATTCCTGGGTATGGTTGGAAAGGCTCTTTCGGTATGGACAACATCGGTCCAGTAGGAATTGGCGGTCGAGAAGGTGATTGAGCGAAAAACTGCTCGAGTGTTTCACCTCTCTCGAGGGCCTGGAATTGGTCTTGTCGGAACTCCTCCAGTACTGTTGATTCTACAGGTTTCGGATCAAAGTAGGTATATGTCCTCGTGCCTTTGGTACCGGGAAGACCGGGCGCTTTGTACTCGGCAACACCGTCTTCGTATGTCTCATAGGTAGAGACAAGACGTTTCCCACCACCTCCAGGAAGGTCGATGACAAAGGAAGGCATCATGAAACCGGACAGAGTTCCTCGAAGTTCCTTGTCTAGGGAAATGATCTTGCTGAGAGGCGTTCGGAGGTCCTCGATACCTTGTACCATGTCACATTGATAGACATAGTACGGTTGTATGTTGATGTTTGAGAGCTTCTTGATGAGATCCGAGAGCGGCGCGAAATCATCGTTGACACCTTTCAAGAGGACGGACTGATTACGAACAATGACGCCATGCTTGAAAAGCTTGTTCGCGGCCAGCTCCGTTATCCACGTGATCTCGTTGGCATGGTTGATGTGGGTATGAAGACATACTTGTTTTCCCATGCTAGGGGTTGCTGTCAGTGAGCGTTACACGTAGGTTAATGAACGAAAGACTCACTCTCGACCTTTGTTCGACACTTTGATCAAGCTGTCAACCCACGGATCAGAGCCATCAAGTATCCGACCAGGAGCCACGGCAAGTCCTTTCGAAGCGAACCGAACTCGTTTGATATGAGGAATGCTGAGGAGCCGGTCGCCAATCTCTTCGATGTGATCGGGTTGTAAGAAGTAGGCGTCGCCACCCGAAACAACAATATCTTCGAGAGAGGAGTCGTTGGCGATATGCTCGAAGACAACTTCCCATCGCTTCCGGCTGGGCTTTTGTGGTTTCTTCGATACTGTATCGGTGTTTCCGCCGACAGCATAGGATCGCGTACAGAAGCGACAGTACACAGGGCAAATCGATGTGGCTAAGAACAAAGCTCTTCCGGGATATCGGTGAACTAAGCCAGGGACTGGGCTGTCTGCTTCTTCGTGTAAAGAATCCAACTCCATATTCTTGTGATCGGGGATTATGCCACTTTGGAGAGGAAGAAACTGCCTCCGAATAGGATCGTCTACAGCATTCTCCCAATCAACTAGCGAGAGTACATGTGGTGTTAGGCGAATAGCCATGGGTGCCAACTTGATAGCAGCGATCTGTACCCATGTTAACATCGACGTGTGCATGAGATAAAACGAGATTGAAAGTCACGTACGGCGTCCTCGATGAAATCATCCTTGGTACGGATCTTTTTCAGTTGATCATGCTGCGAGCGCACTAGTCTGTCGGGCAAGACGGCCTTGAGGAACTGATAAAGCTTGTGCTTGTCGGAGATAGTGTTACGAAGCTGTGAGAGTTGGTATCAGAATAAGTGGTGTTTGGTTGTAGTAGGACAAGACTAGCATTGAACATACCTGCCACCGGTAAGATATGAACTCATCTTTGGAGACATCCTTCCATGGCTGTATATGATCCCAATAGGGCTTTTGAACTGCGAAGGTCGACTGGGTTCTGTGGTGCGATAGTAGTCGCGTTGCATGGGTAAAGCTCGATCGAAAAGACTGGCTCCCAGCCATGGTATTTGGAACAAACATGCCTGCGTACATGTACGAAGAGGATTTTTGTAGAAAAGAACGATGTGACTGAAGTGGAAGTGGGAAGATGTGAGGACTAGAAATGAATTCTTCGGTGTAGGGGTCGATCTATCGAGCTTGTTATACTCGTTGTGCAACCCAATAGAAAGTGCTGTCGCCCGCCTCCTCGTCTAAGCAGGAGCGATGTAAATACCATGTTACAACAGCAGCAAGGATAGTTGCTCAAGTGGGTCTTTGGCAAATTTGAAGAATTTGACTACGCACATTCGAACAGCACCAGGCTCGATATCGTGATTTGATGTAGAAATCTGTCTATGATGCCTTTCGACATGGAATATGTTGAGGAACCCCCCCTCATAGCAGGCTTGTGTGCAGCGCTTCTGGTGAACTGATGACGCTTGTGGCGTGTGAGCGATCCGTGGCGGGACATAGTCCCGGTCGCATGCATAGGGGATTGTAGCAACCAAATGGCCCAGTGAAGAGATGGTAGCCGTGGGGCAACACTGGCAAGTCACCCGTGCTGTGTTGTCGTTTGAGACAAATTTTCCAAACGGCTATTGAAAGTTTCCGTGTAAGACTAATAACTTCAGATGATAGCTCGAGGCCAAGCGAAGATCAGCCTCCGAAAGGGGCTTACGAAGCACAATGATCCATCCTGCACCGGCTGAGACTATGACCCGGCATGCAAGAAATGATCCCAAGTCTACAAGGATTGCTGCCATAATTCCTCCCATGACCCTGAATCCCAGGTCAAGCCGTGGTCCTAGAAGCTGCAAGTGACATGCATGTTTGTGGTACTGCAGGCAAGCACTGCATTAGCTTTCCTCGTATGCTGAAAAAGAAAAGGAAAGTGGCTTGCGTCTGCGGAGACTTTCGGGCTGCATTGCTCGCGGTGGAGTGACAAATTTGAACGACTCCAAGCAGGAGTACTACTTGTCAGTACGATGGGTCAGAAGGGGCTGACCGTGAACACGATACGGCCCGTGCCGTGCGTACGAGGGACGATGGTAAACCAGAGTATCGGGTTCGCAAGTTGGCGAAGATGTTGTGATGGAGTAACTGGTCAGTAAGCGTCGTATGAAAGCGAGAAGGCGCCCGGCATGCCTCGTCCCATGCGAGTAGTCGCAGATAGTACCGGCACTAACGGGACCTTTCCGAAGTTCCGTCGCTCCTTCTACTAGTCAGGTGCCAAGGCATGACCTCAGCCCCTCCAAACAATAGTGGGAGCTGCGATCACGATTGTCGACTACTGCGACGACAGCTCAACTCTTCACATCCCCCCGCAATAGCCATGGCTGATTCACCCGCTTCTACGACTAGCGCACTGCCCGGCGAGTCGCCCGCCCAAACCAAGGCCAGACTGCGAAGGGAGCGTCTTGCCGCCAAAAGCGGTGTGTCCCGTCTTCAACAGATTACTGCTCTCCAGGGCGGCCCCCCGAAAGATGTCAGCGAGATAGAGAAAGATGTACCAGGTACCCATCTCTCCCGTGGCAGCAGATTGGTCTCCACATGGCCAATTCTAGCTCTGTCCTACAACAGCGTGAAGTCGCGGCTGATCGCATTCTAGTCAAACCCGCCTCTACCCCGTCCCAGCTTACACCCGCTGCGTCTGGGACGGCTACTCCAGACCCAGACGAGGTGGATATCTCGCAACACCATTACGCGCCCGCATCGCAGCCTCGTCTCCCGTCACCATTCGCTTTCGAGGGCAATCAGTCTGGCCCATTTGGCCCTGGGCCAGACTCGGATGCATCGCAGGATCCCATGATGGCTATGCTTCAGCAAATGATGGGTGCTGGGGCTGGTGGTATGCCTGGCATGCCTGGTGCTCAGGGTCAAGCCGGTATGCCACCAGGCGGTCTACCACCCAATCTTGCCAATATGTTCTCCGCAATGCAGGGTGGGGCCGGAGCCTCTGAGCCATCGCCAGAGCAATCTTCGGCCTGGATCTGGCGTTTGGTGCACTCTGTCTTCTCCTTCGGACTCGCCGTCTACATCGTCATGCAAACCCCATTTACTGGATCCAAACTGTCACGCGACAATGTACTTGACGATGACTGGGCCGGCCAGTCGACTCCGGCACAGAACTTTGCGCACTTCTTCTACCTCTTCGCGACTTTCGAGGTCGTCTTACAATCCTCGCGCTATTTCATTGAAAAGGGCCAATTACAGGGGAGCGGCATTCTCAGCACGGTTGCCGGCATCTTACCAGCACCGTATTCAGGCTACGTGAGGACTGTGGGCAGGTACAGCGTCATATACAGTACAGTTGTGAGCGACGCCATGGTGGTAGTATTCGTCCTAGGCGCTACGAGCTGGTGGAGAGGTGCTGCGGTTGCATAAAGCTGTGCACTTCTTGATGTTAGTAGAGTAATGGTATGACGGGCGCCCTCGTACCCGGCTCCTTTTCGATGCAGCACTCCACTCAGTCCTACCCAAGTACTCAGTGATTCTCAAACAGCCAGTCGATACCTCGACACGATACCACAGTCTGCGACAAACGAAAGTCGCACCCCTCTTAGTGTCCACGTGTGGGCAAGTTCTATGCACAACATGCCTCTGTACTTGCTCATCTCCGGCGACATCGTAGTAGTCCATGGACCACCGTCACTACGGCACCCATCTAGTGCATGCACGTCATACCTTGTTACACGCTCCACAAACCAAAAGTCCATCAACCTTCCTCTATACTCTGTACGCGCTCACACTACGTATGCTCCACGCACATCATTTTCCTGCACAGCACGAATGCTATTCAATCACAAGACCTGTAGATCATTTTCCAGGCGCGCGGAATTCCATCAATCATGCGCACATGGTAGCTAGCGTTTGTTGGGCAGCCAGGGCCCGCTTCACGGCTACCGACAGGAGTACTTTGACAACACGCGGCGCTCAACAGCAAGACGCACTCCGCATTTTCGTCTGTTCTCGCCTCCGATGAAAAACGCCCACGGTGGAGATCGCAACCGTATACGCGCTCAATGTTCACCGCCATATCCGACTTGTGTATGATTTACAGCTGTTCAGCAAAAATTCCCGAAACACTGTAAGCGGCAGTCGTGCGTCATGCAACTTCGTCTCGAATTCCCATTACTGCACCCTCATGACCGATTGGGGCTTCAGTGCCTTCGGTAGTATGCACACGAGTCATAGATTGAGACGTGGCGTGTGCAGGCCCTTTCAGTTGATTCCACTGCGTTATTCGACAAGGTCGCGCGCAGCTTCATACGTGAAGACGCTCTACAGCAATTTGAGATGCCCAGTAACCTGATCTATGACGCCTTTGGGTGCAGGCCCAATCCCCAGCACTGTCGCGCTTCCACTCGCGATTTGTGTCCGTCCCGCATCGTGGATGATGTGTGCCACCAATCCTAGGCTCAGGGCTTGCGCCTGCAACAACTCCAGTTCTTCCTCGCTCTTGACTTGTAATGCCACCTTCGCTTGTCCCATTCGTTCCCAGCGCTTTAGTAGCGTCGACTCCGGTGCGTGTCGGAGGAAGTGCTTGTAGCAGGCCAGTGTCGCGTGCCCGCATTGTGCGCCAATCTTGCCTGTTCCATGGTTAGACATTTTGCACATGGTAAATATGTGTCAGGAGTCGCAATACCTTTTGTCATGCCGAGATCGGTCCGTACTACTAGTACCATTTTGCACTCCTCATTGTGACCTGGGAATTCTGCAGGCGTGCTGTCGTCGTCCTCGTCGCTTGACTCATCTTCCGAATCTTCTGCCTTCTCTTTCTCAGATTCTTCCGGTTGGGAGACTGGGCTGCCGCCGAAGAAACCAAGTGACTTTGCTTGTCCCAGCATGTAGCCTGTTACACCAGCGAGGATGGCGCATGCGGCTGCTATGTTCGCAGTGGAGGGTTGTTGCGTAGTGTCTGCCATGTGCGCGGTTGACGATGATAGTATGCTATGTGTAGAAGACAACAGTTCTATAACAGAAGAATCTTGAGAAACTTGAGAAACAATCTATTTTGAGGAAGAATTTGGTTCAATGCGAGGGTCATGTAGTCCTATGGTTCACTTCCGCCCGCAATTGTAGAGCTAATCGTAAGGCTGAGGTCCGTGCTGGCAACATCTCGAATTTGCGGACTACCGAGCACATCGCCCATCCATCACGACGGCACCACCGCTGCCTTCGTCTTTTCACACCATGCCTCCCCGGTGCCAACTACTCTCTGGGCGCATTTCGACCCAGGGATTGGTCCTTCGCCCGGCGCAGTCTACACACCGAACCTACGCGACGTCGGAGCCCACTCCCGCAGTGAAGAACCCACTACAGCGACGACGAGGCGGTGATCTCGGCTCCCATCTTCCCAAGAACGTCATCCCGAAAGACGCATACATCCCCGCATACCCCTATGGCGACCATCAGCTGTTCAAGCAAGCCAACAAAGGTCTCTACGGCGAGCAGATGATTCGCTTCGGCAACAATGTTTCCAAAGACACCGAAACCAAGACACGACGAAATTGGAAGCCCAACGTGCTCTCCAAGAGCCTGTACTCGGTCGCATTGAAGAAGAGGATAAAGTTGCGCATCACTGCCAAGGTTCTCAAAACAATGGATCGTGAGGGGGGGCTGGACGAATATCTGCTCAAGGACAATGTGGCACGTATCAAAGAGCTTGGACCTATGGGATGGGCACTGCGATGGACTTTGATGCAGAAGCCGGAAGTCATCGAGCGGTTACGAGCAGACGCTGCTGCTCTAGGCCTAGATCAAGCCACAATTGACAAGCAATGGCCTACACCTCAAATGATGGCACAGCAAAAGGCTGCTCAGGGTACATTGATTCGAGATGTGAACTCCGGCTTTGTAGAGACAGAAGGGCAGGAGATGTGGTCTGGAGAGGAGGCCGAAGATCCAGCAATGCGATCGGAACAAGAGAAGAAACTGGAGTCCTACGCCGCCACCGAATACATCAAAGCGACCAAGGCAGCAGAACGATACTTGAGCCGAGGTGTTGTCGACAGCGTAGAGGAGGGCCTCAAGCTAGCTTTCATACGAGCCAAAGAGCGCGAAGAGGCAGCCGCTCTCCTCAAGCAAAAGTTCAACAGGAAATACCAAGAAGCAGGCTTCACAAAGGAGGACCTACAGGAAATTAGGACGAAGTTCAACCTACCCAACATCAAAGACCACACTGCCAGGAAGATCGCCTACAACCAACGGAAACGCAAAATGATCGACGAAGCTGGTGGCATCGAAGCTTGGAACGCAGCCAAAGCCGCCGCACACGTTGCCCGTGTACAAGAGGCTGGCGGTGAAGAAGCTTTCCTCGCTCAAAGAAAAGCTGAATACGCCGCACTTATAGCAGAAGCCGAGACTGCTTCTACCAACCAGGATATGGATGCCGAACGACGGAGTTATCTTGAGATGGCTATCGAGAAGGCGGATCGGGCTATCAAGGCTAAAGCTGGGAGTGGTCAAGACGACTACGTTGAGTCGATTGTGGAAGAATTCCGCAAGCAAAGTCCTGGAGGTCTGAGTGAGATTTACCACGCTTCGCAATCGGAGAGGAATGCTGGTGGTGACGCTTGGGGCGCGCTTGTTAATTCGAGTAAGAAGCCTGCGGATAGCCAGCCAAGAGTATAGTAAAGGTCGTATGATTGAGATGTTGATATGTACAAATACCGTTTGTATACCATGGAACTTTACAGATAGCGTTCAATTGACGCGTTTTCATGTGTCGCCTCGTTCACTGCTAGTTCTTCTTACGCGAGCAGGTGCGATTTCGCTTGCCATATCATTTTCTATCCATGCGTTACCGTCTGCAGCTATTAACGCCTCCTCCGACTCAACGCGTTTCATGAATACATCCGCCATAATCCCTGGCAAGGCTGACGTCGATCCTATGTTGGGTCATTGGTGCGCTTAGCTCACCGTGCCTTCTGAGGTCACAGCAAGGGGCATGCGAGGCTGTGCAGGAGCTTGTAATTTCCCAATCTCAAGTTCAGCCTGCACCACAAATGTAACCTCATTCACCTTACTGAGATTCAAATCCAACGCATCGCTCCTTGTTCTGGGTTTCCAGCTCTGTTTTGACCAAGTGGTCACTAGAAGGGCTCATCTCGAATTTCGCGATGGCCTCCAATGGCGTCGGAGAGCAATACGACGCCCTGAGTTACAGGGAATCTTACAGCCTCTTCGGACAGGGTGCTGCTGATTATAAAGAGCGCTATAACTTCCTGGGTGCACAAAAGCCTCTCATATCTACCGTGTCCTCTAAGCAGGCAGCTTCCAGCGTCGGAGACCCATTCGGCTTCTCAAAGGATGAAATGCGTACCGAGCTCTTCGAGCAGGCCAACATATACCGGAAGAAAAGACTGGAGACTATGGATCTGTCGTGTCCCTCTCCCTGCGATGACAACTCTACTCGGGCCCCACGCTTCTTTGTACTGAATCTACCTTATCTTGAATCCGGGGAAGGCGAATGGGAGGAACGACGTCAATCCAGCTCGTACTTCCGCTATATGTCGACTGATGATCCGGATGTCATAGCATTGGAGGCCGTATCAGTGACTGCGTTACCGGATGGCATATTATCATGTCGGCCGACTCTCATCAGTTGTACAGTCCTCAGCTCATGTTCGCACCTGGTCGATCTATTATGTACGCTGTTAACACAGGGCTGGGGTGGTGCAGAACTGAAGTCTTCCTTCCACACCTCGTTCCCGTTTTCACGCGTACAGATTGAAGACGTCCGAGTGGGATACGAACCTACTGTCATACCCGACTTCTTAAGTCCACCAGCGACAAAATGGGGTTCACTTTTTGACTATCAACGCATCGGTTTGATATCTTATTTGATTCGGGGACCAACGAAGGGCATAGTGCGGAAACCCACAACAAGTCCGATCGCAATCTCTGGTCATCAGGGTATCGATATCGGTCGATCACCGAAACCCAACCTGAGATCTTCAACGAGTCTAGTAACGAACTGTAGCTTAGCGTCCTTCGTCACTGCAAGATCAACTCATACCGGGCCTGCATCAATGTCGCCGAGTGAATACACACCAGTCAACACGATGGAAACCATTCGCGAGAATGAACGGCCTGCTCCTGGACTCTCTGCGCCGCTGGTAAAGCTACATAACGACTACTACACTACGCTTCGCCAACATAAATTAATACAGCCATTTGACAAAGAGCTGAACTGGTCCGGCAAGGGTCAGCACGTTACGTTTGCGACCCAAGATGTAATTCCGCTGTCATCTATATCGTATTTGGGGTCTTCTCTATCCGCCACTGTTGACAAAGTCATCTGTCGCCGGATAGCTCTTGCACGGAAGACCATGAAATGCGATCGACAATGGACTGTATCTGATGCTTTACGCGAAGTCTATCATTTACAAAATCTCCGGCACGTCCATATTGTCCAGCTAGTAGGCACATACCTCCAGAATCGCAACTTTTCGATCTTGATGTACCCAGCAGCAGATTGCCATTTGGGCACTTTTCTCGAGGAAACTACGGATGTGCAGAAAAAATGTCGTAAAGATTTCCTCGCTTCGACACTAGGCTGTCTTGCTTCGGCTGTGGCTTTCATCCATGAACGGACGACAAAACACATGGATATCAAACCCCGAAATATCCTTGTCAGATCCGACGGCCCTTGGTGGCGTATATATCTTACTGATTTTGGATTATCGCGTTCTTTCCATCCACAGGATCACAGTCAAACAGATGGGCCGACAATGCGTACACCTCGCTACTGCTCACCTGAAGTATTTAGTTATGACTCACGGGGCCGAGCTGCGGATGTCTTCTCTCTTGGATGTGTTTTCTTGGAAATCACTTGTGTCATTGCCAATATAGACCTTCTGGACTTTATTGACGCACGACGGGGCGATGGCGACGACATATCATTCCACGCAAACTTGGATAGGGTAGTAAAGTGGGCTCGTACTTTTCTACGCTCGTCGCTTCTCCGGTCGCAAGGTTCCAAAGGCGAGGCTCGCGCATTTGAGATGGTTATCGGCATGCAGATCAATATGGTCAGTCGAGAGCCTAGTGTGAGGCCAACAGCAGCAGAGGTTCGCAGCCGCCTTGCCCGCTTTCCTCTATCCGCGTTCTCGCCCACCACCTGCTGTGCTTCGCCTCCAGAGCCGTACGAGGTATATGAGCAGAAGTAGCCGATTTTGCAAAGCTCTGCAGCGAGATAGGGCAGGGGATCGATAGTATGAGCCGTTGGTAATGAGTTAGTAATGTCATTTTTCCCTCAGTACAGAGTGTAATGGGGTATCCTAATTCATGTCATGTACACACCATATTCTATCCAACAACTTAAAAAGCTTCCGAATGACCGAAAGAAGTCTTGAACCGTGAAATGAGATAACAACTATTGTCGCTAAAGAATAGGCATTGTCAGGACAGTGTTGGGGAGCAAGGAGACGCGAAGGAACTTAAGGCATGAGCAGATGTGATGATCCTATACAAACACGCACTTATCTCGACTCTCTCACATGGCGCGACAAAAGACATAGCAATGAAGTCATAACGTCTTAAATTCCGTATAAAAATGAATCTCCCCTCTCCATCTCGCCTATGCACTTGATCAGAGCACGTATAAATCATTTGGTCCTTACTTTCCTCAAGCGTCGAAAGAGGCTCAACGAGGCACTTCTTTCCTTGCTTCTTCGCTGCGTTCTATACAGCTACACTTCCGCCACCGTCGATAATGTACAAGAACGAATTATGTTAACCTACTATACATGGTAGGTAAGAAAAGCAAAAAGCAAAGATATGCCCAAACGCCGGCGAGGAAGTGAGAATCAGCAGCAAGAAAGATATCCGCCCGAGTTTGAAATGGGGTAACAATGTTGGAGATCAAACGCCAAGAGGGACAAGACTGGTCAAAGCCAACAGTTCGATGTGGGAATCGATAGACAGATAAAACGCCGCGCTATACAAGAGATAGAGATGCGAGAAGGTTGCGAGGAGAACGGGCAACAGAGGCAACGCTAGACGAGGAAGGCAAGGAACAAGCGATGAGAAACTAGTTTCCTGCCTTCATCCTCTTGTTACCTCCCACTCTTGGGCTTTGCTTGACCTTTTGCGCGCCGTTCATCTCGCCGCCACCATCATCCGTGTCCATCTTTACTGTGCTCCGCCGCCGCTTGTTGTTCATCATGTTTGGAGATGTGTTCACGCTCATGGTGTGTGAGCTTGTGCTCTGTTGCTTCATCATAGGCTGGGAGTTGGGCGAGGGTGTATGTTGGAAGTGAGGCGAACCACCCATTGATCCATTAGGAAGTAGGGAGTTTTGCATCGCGGGTGACATGAACATTTGAGGTTGACCTGGCCCGCCTGGTCGAGGGCCAGGTTGCATATTAGGTTGCATGCTTTGTCCTTGTGGGCCTTGGTTGGGGTGATGAGGACCTTGTTGAGCAGCCTGAGTATTTGACATGTTGTTGTTCCATGACTCTAGAGCTTCGCTTGGCTTCATGTGGGGGTTCTCGAGGTAATGTACCATCAAGCTTGTCATGTGGTTCATTGGTTCGTAGATCTAGGCTTGTCAGTGTCAATGCCGATGAGGAAAATGTGGAGTAGATTCTTACCTCGAGATAAGCCTGCAAGCCGTGAGGCAAACCATAGTCTGTAGTACTAGCGCTGGGCAGTTTGGTGATTGGAAGGTACGCCTCCGGTGGCTCTGGTATCCCTCGTTGCTGCTGTGCCTGCTTCTTGTTTTTCATCCGCGGCGACTGATTTGGGTTCAGTTGATTTGGCGATGGCTGAACGAACTTTTGCTTCAAGGTATTGAGCGGTATGAATTGTTCGTGACCTAAGCCGTCGAACAGCAACCACTCCAGCTTGTCCGAGCCAGACCAGAACGCGGTCAACTTGCCTTGGTAGACAACCTGACAAGAATTTTTATATGTGTATATGAACTTTGCTCGCTCACAAGTTACTTTCAACTCAGCACCCGAGACCTTCTCGGTCGCTCCGTCCAGGGTAATTTGTAAGTTGGCGACGTCGGTGTTGAAGAGCGTGTAGAAGTATCGCGGTAGGGCAGCATACACAATTTCGAATTGCTTAGATCTCTCCGTACTTGAGGAGCAGACGATGTGGACGAAGGATCCAGACTCGGCGAAGAATCTATCCACAAAGGCCTGCCACCACTCAATATTGTTGTTTGTACTGCTGAAGTTCCCTATTTGCTCCACAAAATTCAATAGCTTGAGGGTTCCTTGGCCTGAAGACACAGCTTGACCTTGTTTCTGCTGTATCATTGCCATTTGACGAGCTTGGTTTTGGGCAGCGTTTGCTTGAGCATGGGCTTGGGCCTGCGCTTGTTGTACTAGTGCTGGATTCCGTTGTTGCATCTGGTTCTGAGCCTGTTGGTTTGGTTGTTGAGGTAGGTTGGGCGGCTGAGCTGGAACAGGCGTCTGTTGTTGTGGCACTGGACCTGACTGTGGCGGTTGCTGTTGGGATGCTTGTTGCTGCTGTTGCTGCGCTTGCTGTTGTGCCTGCTGTGCCTGTTGCTGCTGCTGCTGCTGTTGTTGTTGTTGCTGTTGTGCCTGCTGTTGTGCCTGCTGTTGTTGCTGTTGCTGCTGTTGTGCCTGCTGCTGCTGCTGCTGCTGCTGCTGTTGTTGTTGTTGTTGTTGTTGTTGCTGCTGTTGCTGCTGCGGTGGTGGCGGCTGTGGTTGTTGTTGAGGTGTGGGTTGAGGAGCTGGCGAAGACTGTCCTTGATGACTCCCTATCGCGGATGGAGGACGAAGAGGCCCTTGCTGGGTCTGGGTGGTTGGCGGCGGTCCCTGATTCCCCGGCTGGCTGTGGTTGCTCGACTGAGACTGGGCATGTTGCATAGCAATCGCCTGCTGCTGAGCCTGCATTTGGTGGTGTTGTTGTTGAGCGTGTTGTTGTGCTGCGTGAGCCATGGCAGCCTGCTGTTGCGGGCCACCGGGTTGTTGACCACCCATCTGCTGCTGTTGCTGGAGCAAGTGAGGAGGAAGATTAACGTAAGGTCCTTGTCCCATCTGTCCATTTCTCATTGCTTGCAATTGTTGTGCTTGTGCCTGGTTCAAGTTTGCCATGGGGTTGGGGAAACCCATTCCCATGCCGCCCTGTTGGTGGGCAAGCATGGCCTGTTGTTGCTGCCGGTGCATGAAAGCTTGCTGGGCAGTCCTTTGCTGTTGCATCATGGCAGGGTTCACTATTACCTCTGTCAGTCGTTTCTCTGCCACTGTATAATGCAGTGTTACTCACTCATCTGATGCTGCGGTTGCTGCTGGAACATGTGCTGCTGGGGCTGTAGGTGAGAGAGGGCATGCGCATTGGCACCCATGCCTGGCTGCATACCCATCATGGGTCCTGCCTGACTGACGGGGCCATTGGGGCCAGAGACATGCTGCATGCCTGGCGGCATTCCGTGCTGTCCTGGGTTTGGGCCTGGGCCACCCATACCCGGGTGCGCATGCTGCATGCCTTGAGGAGGCATGCCGCCATTGTGTGGATAGCTGGTTGTCATCATCTTGCTGGCTCTTCAGTACGGGCTGTGGCCTCGCAGTTGCACAATGGTATCAGGTAGGTGCAATGCGACAGTTGTCGAAATTGGAAGACAGGTCCGTGTAATGCGAAGAGCGACCGAGTCGGCGACGAGATGGGTGAAGCAATGCTATCGCTTCCAAGTCATACGTGCTCGGAACTTCGCGTCAAGACCAGTAGGGAGGGAGTGTTTCAGGTGGTTGCGACGAAATGTCGAAATATGGTCCCGATCTGGCCGATGGGGGAGGCTGATAAATAGCCCGCGCAGGCGTCGCGATGGGCACGATGGAGGCTGACAGCCGGCACTTGGCGAGCACTTGAAATAGGGCGGAGAGTCAAGTAAGGTGTCGCGCAAGGTGCAGCGCGATACTCACAAGGGTGTCGAGGTGGTGATGAGGTGTGCAGCCACGTCTGGCGCGGTGTCGTGTCGGGTGATATCGTGTCGCATCCGTCCCGCCAGCAGAGCGGTGGAGTAGGGACGAGAGAGAGGCCGTCCGAAGGCTGCGAAGGCGATGCGGCGAAGCTGTCTAGAGACGCGGTGTTATGCGACGATGGGTCCGGTGCGAGTTTAAATCCAGGGCCAGGGACGATGCCAGGGACGCGGGCGTCGAGTGGTGGAGTTCTGGCGTGGTGAGAGGTGATGGGCGCATGGCCCTCTCCGAAGATCAGCGCTGGTTAGGGGGCCGTTTCGGTATCGCGCGAAAAGCTGCGTGGCTGGGCAGAACCCAATCTATCCGGACTCCAGCTCACTCTCAATATGCACCGGCACTGCAGGGAAACAACGCGTTGGGTTAATCTTCAGTCGTATCGGACTTGAAAGGGCGCACACTGAAGTCTTTTGCTGCCGTGATGCCTTGCTTTCTGGTCGCTGCTGCTCTGATGACGATTCCAAATAATCCCGCTTGCCCGTTCGGGGGTACACGTGATGCGAGAAATCTTGGCACGCTAATTCGGCGCTGTACTTTTCTTCGACTGCGACACTGGTTTTCTCTCGACAATAAACTCAATCCGCATGCCGTGATGGACAGGCGAACAACCACTGGCTTCGGACTGCTTCAAGCAATACCATGAAAGTCCGAAGCCAGCCATTCCCACAACGTAAGTCTACTCCTTTTTTCTTTGCTTTTCTTTGGAAAGATTATACCCTCAGCAACTTCTTTTCCTTACCGATTCGACCTTGAAGAAACCAGCGCTGTTCGGTTGCCCTTCGCCGGGCGACTGCTACTTGCCAGTACTGTCGTATGACCTTCGTCACTAGTCTTGAATTTTCTGATTATGTTCGCATGTCAGACGGCTAACATTCAAGTACAGTAATCTTCGCTTACTCTGATCGGCGCGTGCCCTTTCTCAGTCTTGTCGCCCAGCCTGGCATCGCATCGCATCGCATCGGGATTTTCGCAACACTATACCAGGCTCGTAAGGAGTGCGTCGGTGCATCTGCATGCAATGCACGCTTGAACAGCTTCGCTGCGCAAAAGCATGCGTATATACATGCCTTGATGGACAGCTAACACCAGTTGCACGGCACGTCTGCTATGAACAAAGGTTAGTTTCTACATTTCTTCACATTTCTTCCCCTTTATGATGAAACATTTCCACATTCGCAGTTTCCACGCTAGCCATCAATTGAACCTACAACCGATGGACAATGAGCGCGAATACCTTCCTTGGATGTCTGATCCCTCTACAAACTTTGTTCTGTTATTGCTGAGATTTCTGCTGTGCAATTACTGACGAGTCAACAGGTACACGATGTTCGTCTCACTGAAGCTTGGGAATCTGATGGGTGCTTACTGCCTGTGGTAAGGATAGTACAGGTCTTTATGTAGCTCGGAAATATAATCAGCATGTTGCGAAACCACTTCTACGATGCTCTTCAGTTCATTTATCCCACACATGTGCACTATGCTGATCCTTGTTCCAAGCTCAGTGTTACCTTGCTAATGTTTGCATTAATTTAAGAACCTGCTTTCATCATCTAACACAATAACGACGCCTCGATCGGTTGTTCGTGTTGATATATGTGCGCAGCAGAGGTCGATGAATGTGACTGTCGCGACGGTGAAGCGCCAAGACCCAGCTACCAGAGCCCAGCGTCATCTGTCGCATACAACGCTAAGGCATCCTGGTCAGAGCTTCCCCAACCCACTTGGACGGCCGACCTCTAACTTCGTCACCCAACGATCTTCGAGGCTACAGACCGACCGCGGCCCTCGATCTAATTCCGAGCGATACTATACCTCCCCCGAACCGCTCACTACCGCCACGATGCCTGAAGTTGTGGACCCCCGCATGATTTCGGTGACGCCTAGGATACGATACAACACTATCGGCGGCGTCAACGGTCCATTGGTTATTCTCGACAATGTGCGTAGCCTGAAGACATGAGAAGGAGTGCGAGGAAGCTTATACATGTGGTGGATAGGTCAAATTCCCGCGATACAACGAGATTGTCTCCCTGACTCTGCCCGATGGCACTGAGCGCTCTGGTCAGGTCCTTGAAGCTCGAGGTAAGCTGCTCCGACTCAGATAATATAGTCCGACACTGACACAAGCTGCAGGCAACCGCGCCGTCGTCCAGGTAAATTCCGACACCCCCAGGTTCTGCGACAGCTCCATCTAATCGTGACATAGGTCTTTGAAGGCACATCTGGTATCGATGTCAAGAAGGTACTTGGAACCCAACGCCCAGCAAGAGAACTACCTCTGACAGTTGCAGACCAAAGTTGAGTTCACTGGACACAGCTTGAAGCTCGGTGTGTCTGAGGACATGTTGGGCCGTATCTTCGATGGTTCAGGAAAGCCCATCGACAAGGGCCCCAAGGTGCTCGCCGAAGACTACCTTGACATCAACGGTAGTCCCATCAACCCATACTCGCGAGTATGTACTCATCTCGACTCCTCTTGGTCATGCGACTTACTGTGAGTAGGTCTACCCCGAGGAAATGATTTCCACCGGTATCTCCGCTATCGACACGATGAACTCGATCGCCCGTGGCCAAAAGATTCCCATCTTCTCCTCGTCCGGTCTACCCCACAACGAAATCGCCGCGCAGATTTGCAGACAGGCTGGTCTTGTCGGAAAGCCTTCCAAGGGTGTACACGATGACCACGACGACAACTTCTCCATCGTCTTCGGTGCCATGGGTGTCAACTTGGAGACCAGTCGCTTCTTCACACGCGACTTCGAGGAGAACGGCAGTATGGAGCGTGTCACCCTGTTCCTGAACTTGGCAAACGACCCTACGTAAGTCAAACGCACATGCGCTGCTATTCCAGCTAACCCAGTGTAGTATCGAGCGTATCATTACTCCCCGTCTCGCCCTTACAACAGCCGAATACTACGCCTACCAGCTCGAGAAGCACGTCTTGGTCATTCTCACCGACTTGTCTTCCTACTGCGATGCGCTACGTGAGGTCTCCGCTGCCCGAGAAGAAGTGCCCGGTCGTCGTGGTTACCCTGGTTACATGTACACGGATTTGTCTACCATTTACGAGCGTGCTGGACGTGTTGAGGGCCGTAACGGATCGATCACTCAAATCCCCATTCTGACTATGCCTAACGACGGTAAGTCCTGACTTGTCTACCATTACTGCCACATGCTAATTCCACCAGATATCACGCATCCCATTCCTGATCTGACTGGTTACATTACGGAAGGTCAAATCTTCATTGACCGTCAACTCGACAACAAGGGTATCTACCCTCCGATCAACGTCCTTCCATCCCTCTCTCGTCTCATGAAGTCTGCTATCGGTGAAGGCCGCACACGGAAAGACCATGGCGATGTTTCCAACCAGCTGTATGCGAAGTACGCCATTGGTCGTGACGCCGCCGCCATGAAGGCAGTCGTCGGAGAGGAGGCCTTGTCCTCAGAAGACAAGCTGTCGCTCGAGTTCCTCGAGAAGTTCGAGCGCTCTTTCATCGCCCAGGGTGCTTACGAGTCCCGCTCCATCCACGAATCTCTCGACCTTGCCTGGTCGCTGCTTCGTATCTATCCTAAGGAACTCCTCAACCGTATCCCAGCCAAGGTTCTCGACCAGTACTACCAGAGGAGTCGGGGCGGTGACGATGGTGAGAAGAAGAAGGGCAGCAAGGATACCAGGGACAACTCGGGTGAGAACGGCCAGCAGGGCGAGAACTTGATTGACGTGTAAGCAAGATACGTAGAGTGTGTGTGTTTGGGCTTGAGGATGGACTGCTTCTATGGCCATGTTCACTGAGCGGAATGTGGGTAGAGATACTGCATTGAGTATATATGAATTTGCCAAATCTTTAATCTGATGCGCTCTTTGTTCTGTACGATGTGATGTTAATTTGATTACTACAGTGCGTACATTGCTTCGCTCAATGATGTGGTGGTTGATAGACTATGCTGATGCCATCAGTCGTCCATGTTCATGATACTCTCGCATATGTTATGCGCATATTACACTTTTGTCGACTTACACTACTGTATTGCTGTATACTGAACAATTCCTCATGGTTTCTAGTTGACAGTGTGTCAGTTCGATGCATCGCCGTGATGCTTACTGAAGAGCTATATTCAAAGAACATGTCTATCATCACATCACGCTCTATTGTACATGACTTGCATAGCTGCATACCATCACCTGCAACAGTACCTAGGTACTCGCCGCACCACACTATACCAGAGTGAGAAAGCTACACTCCAATCCATTCTAGATAGTCTGTTCTATCTAGTGTAAAGTTTGTTACTTACCCCTACAACACAGCTAGTAACACTTGAACTAGTTGCCATGTCTTCCACGTATGGAACCTGATCGTAGTAGGTTTCGACAAGTCCATCGTGCTCATATAGCATGATTGAGTGACACTGAGGCATGTTGGATGGCCGCTTGCGAGACTGCCAGCCAGTGCAGGCTTTGATGCGTTAGTCACAACTTTTGCTGACTTGCAGTGCTCAGAGATTGTGTTTGTCGAGGGCATATAGGGATTCTAACCTCTCTATAGCATTGCTACTGGGTACTTACATCGACTTCACGTCAGGTCCACGATACTATCAGGCCTAATTCAGAAGCCTACAACAATATCGACGTCTGCAATCACAAGAACAATAGGTCAGTCTGAAGTCTACAATGCGCTCCCCAGCATCCAATATGTTGTATCTCTAGCGTTGTCGATGCGTAGACCAGATTTTGCACGCTCACTTCGACTTGCACGTTCACCTCACCCTTGCGCTTCACTCCCGCACCATCCCATCTCCCTTCAACACGTAAACAGTACAAACGCTTTTGTTATGATGCCACGTGAAAATTTGCCTTGTTATGATATGACGCTTGTTGGACTTTTGAACCTCACCAGCAACAACAGCCCCTACCGTCTGCATCCGCCTCCCAATTTTTTGCTGTTGTTGCCGTTGACGCTCTGCTTGCTGCCTCCTACCTCCTCTGCTCTCTGATTCCTACTCCCTGCTGCCGTCGTTGTTGTCTCCCCGCGAGCTTTCTTGCTCGCTGCCATGGCCGCGATGCCGCCGTTTCCTCTGGCCCCAGTGGGACCAAAGGCGTATACGTCGACGATGTAAGTGCTAATTTCTCCGTTTCTTTTCTTCAAGCGTTGCTTTGTAGGGTGTGTGCGGGCTTCGCTGGAACAAGGTAGGTGGGAGAGTAAGGGAATGGACAGTCATGAGAAGCCGCAAAGAGATGGACTTGAAGCTCAAGCGCAATGGGTCGCTTTGAAATGGATGAAGAAAGAAGAAACAGTAAGTTTTCCTTCCCAAGTTGAAAGACACAGGACCAACAAGTAGGGTGATGCTCGTTGGAGCCGAAATGGGTAAGGATTCGATATTTGCTCCCCGACTTCACCTATATGGCCACAGATTCCAGATCAAGACGGCTATATAGCGGCCTGGACCCCCTCACCTCAAAGCTGCATACACACGCCTGACAGAAGGATACAAATGTCCATCCAAAAGAAGACAGCCCAAGTTCGACTTTGTGTCGACCTACAACGAGACAGTCTTTCTTAAGATTGAGATAACACAAGAGCCAGGATACCGTGAGCGTTCAGTGTAGCTACTGCGGCATACTACAAGGCTCCATGTAGCTATCACGCCTACGCAAGGTTTGGCTCAGAGTGTCGTGGAGCCCGTGTGTAGACTTCGGACGTGGGCTAGATGGAAGCTACATTCGAGGTTAAGCATAATCGAAGAGTATATATGCTAATCTAACCCGTATAGAGGAGCACCAGGCAAGATCTGGTTTCATCCCAAAATCCCCCTCGTGGACCAGGTGGGGATCCGCAACGATATACGAAATCGTTGGGACCGCACCTCGGTGGTCGAGCAGTTCGCCTTTGGGCTGTGGAATGAGTTCTTTCTCCCGCCAGGAGCCACGGGCACCCTGGCGTTGGTGACTAAGAGCTGGCATCAATGGGAGATGCCTCACTTCACGGTCGCTCTGGTGTTTCTGTTCGGCACCACGAGAAGGACCCAGCACTGGGCCACAGCCCATGTGTATTTGGATTTCTCGGAGTCCGTATGCACGGTGATGGATGGGGCGCGGAGGTGCTGGGTCAAGGAGCTATGGGCTGAGGACTGGCAGGTTTGGGACGTAAGTACTCCTTGTTACCTGAACACCGTTTAGCAAGCTGACTAACTTTGGCAAGGCGAGAGGAGAGAGACCGGCGCACATACACAGACCGCCGAGGGCGCCGAGGGGGGAATTTCCCCCCCTCTATCCGCCGGAATGGAGGTACGTCTTTCCCCATGTTCGTACAAGAGAACTCCAGTCGCCTACTCCAGTCCCTTCTCAACGATGTTGCCACAATTCGCTTGATGGTTCCTTCGCAGATCAAGCCATTGTATTAACTCTTCTTCATTTCCACATGCTAATCCTCTTCAACTACAGCCCAGAGGCTAGTCGCGATCGTCTCTCCGTTCTCGAGTTTCTCCCGCAGCGACAAGACCGGTGGGACCCCGATCTTCGGTATGTGTATAGAACCCCCCAAATATCCCCCACATCCTCTTCCTCAATCCCTCAAACGGCTGCTCGCCCGGCCTTGGATTCATAGGGTCCTGTCGGAAGTCGTGGAACAAGACACCATAGACGAGGATGAAACTGATCAGACTCCACTGCACCACCTTCGTCCACTTGTTCCATTCCGGCCGTATCGACTTCGCCTTGATGCGTCGCTTGAACTTGCGCTCGAACCGGAACTGCTGCTTGTCCGTCAGGGCGCGCAGGTTCGGCGGCCACTTTTTCTTGGCTGGGTACTTGTTGCGCGCGAAGTCGAAAGGTGGCAGTGTGTTCTCGTGGCGGCCGAGGAGGCGGTTGAAGAGACGCAGCATGGTCGCTGGCTGTGTCTGTTCGACGACGGCGATAGAGCGGCTTGTTTGGCTGGTCGATTCGCGGTGTTGTTCCTTGAGGATACTTGACTGACGTTCTTTACAGTTGAGGCACAGACCAGATTGCCCCACAATTCCGCGCACCGAAATCGACGAAAAAAGTTGTGACTAACCCGCCAAAGCCCGCACTGGCCACCATCCTCCTCGATACACCCCTCATATCCACAAACTTTTGTTCTCGCGTTCTTTACGCCCTCTTTTTACGACCGTTCTTCGCTTTCTGGAATTGTCGTGATGGCGGAGGCCACAAAACTCAGCGATGCGCCAAAGAGCGCCGTCGCTGCAACCTTGGAACAACTCAAGCCGCAAGAGGCTGAGTCAAAGACACTGAAGATTGAGAACACCGACAAGCGTGACACTTTGATCGCAGAAGAGAAGAAGTACCAGAAATCATGGGAAGAGCAGGGAGTTTTCAACCCAGACGCCCCATCTCTCGAGGAAGAACCCTTTGACACCACCACACCCGATCAACTCCACGAAAAGTACCCCAAGTGGTTCGGTTGCTTTGCTTATCCTTACATGAACGGCACCTTACATGCTGGACATGGCTTCACCGCTAGTAAAGTCGAGTTTACCGCAGGTTTTAGAAGGATGACTGGCGCTCGCGCTCTCTTCCCGTTGGGTTACCATGTGACTGGTATGCCTATCAAGGCGTGCGCAGACAAGCTGGTTCGAGAGGTTGAGATGTTCGGACAGAACTTCGAACGTTGCCCTGTCGAAGATGTTGTCGACACTTCCGTACCAGAGCCGCCAGCCCCAACACAGGCCGAGACCAAGACCGACATCACCAAGTTCAAGGCTCAGAAAGGCAAGGCAGCCGCCAAGACCGTCAAGACGAAGTACCAGTTCCAGATCATGCTTGCTCAAGGCATTCCCCTTGAAGAGATTCATAAGTTCTCAGACCCTTACCACTGGATCGAGTTCTTCCCCCCACTTGCTAAGAAGGACCTCACAGCATTCGGAGCCAGGATAGACTGGAGACGTCAGTTCGTCACCACCGATGCCAACCCCTACTACGACAACTTTGTCGCCTGGCAGATGCGCCGCCTGAAAGCCATGGGAAAGATCATCTTTGCCAAGCGCTACACTGTATACAGTCCGAAGGATGGCCAAGCATGCATGGATCACGACAGACAGTCAGGAGAAGGTATCACCGTCCAGGAGTACACCGCGCTTAAGATGAAAGTAGTGAAGTGGGCGGAGTCCGCCAAGGCACATGCTGGCGCCATTCCTGAAGGTGCTTCTTGCTACTTTGTCCCAGCCACGCTTCGCCCCGAAACAATGTACGGCCAGACCTCATGTTTCGTGGGTCCTGCGATCAACTACTCCTTGGTCAAGATCACCGACAACGAATACTACGTCCTCAGTGAGAGAGCTGCAAGGAACATGGCATACCAAGGCACCACTGCCAAGTGGGGTGAGTACTCTATCGTCGCTACCTTCCCTGGTAAGGATGTTGTTGGCACAGTCGTCAACGCCCCTCTTTCCGTCCACAAGGATGTCTACATTCTCCCCATGGAGACAGTCAAAGACACCAAGGGTACCGCAGTTGTCACATGTGTGCCATCAGACTCACCGGACGATTACATCACTTCTTTTGATCTCGCCAAGAAGGCCGAATACTACGGCATCCAGAAGGAGTGGGTCAAGTTTGACGATCTCCTGCCCATTATTGAAACCCCCTCTTACGGTAACCTCACGGCGAAACACTTGGTGGAGCAGATGAAGATCCAATCACCCAAGGACTCTGCGAAGCTTGCCGACGCCAAGGAGAAAGCTTACAAGGAAGGATTCTACAAGGGCAAGATGGTACACGGTGACTTCAGCGGAAAGACTGTAGAAGAAGCCAAGCCGCTGGTTCGCAAGCAGCTCATCGACTCCGGCGACGCCTTCCCTTACGCCGAACCCGACGGCAAGGTCATCAGCCGAAGTGGTGACGATTGCGTTGCAGCTCTTCTTGACCAGTGGTATATGAACTACGGCACAGCAGCGAACGGCGGTGACGGTGAATGGGCCGAGAAGGTCCGCTCACATATCGAGGGCGAACTCAACCTCTACTACCCTGAGGCAAAGAACCAGTTCTTGCGAGTTGTCGACTGGCTGAGCATCTGGGCATGTGCTCGTTCTTACGGTCTCGGAACCAAGGTACCCTGGGATCCAAGCGTGATGGTTGAGAGTTTGTCAGACAGCACAATCTACCAAGCATACTACTCATTCGCCCACCTGCTGCACAAGGACATGTTTGGAAAGGAGCCTGGACCTCTCGGCGTTAAGCCTGATCAGCTCACTGACGAAGCTTGGGATTACGTATTTGCTCTCCGCGACCGATCCGATCTCCCGCAGTCCGACATCCCCGCCAAGACTCTACAAACCATGCGACGACACTTCGACTACTGGTACCCTCTTGATATGCGTACCAGTGGCAAGGATCTCATCCAGAACCATCTGACCTTCAACCTCTACGTACACACCGCCATCTTCCCGAAGGAGAACTGGCCTCGCAGCTTCCGCGTGAATGGACATTTGCTCCTGAACGGCGACAAGATGAGCAAATCTACAGGAAATTTCCTAACCATCGCTGGTGCTGTCGAGAAGTTTGGTGCAGACGCTACCCGTATTGCCCTTGCTGACGCAGGAGACGAGATCTCAGACGCCAACTTCGAAGAGTCAGTCGCGAACAGCAACATTCTGAAGCTGTTTGAGCTCCGCAAGTGGTGTGAGGAATTGGTGAACGAAGCCATCTACGTCCCCGATGCGGCGTCATACATGCAGAAGAGACAGGAAGCGAAGGTCAAGAACCCGGATGTGATCCAACGACAGAGCGGCAGCGAGCGTCTTCTCTTCGATAACATGTTCGACAACGAGATGAACTTCCTGATTCACGAGGCGTTCGGACACTATTCCAACACATCCTACAAGCTAGCCCTCAAGTCTGGATTCTATGACTTCACCAGCGCGCGTGACTTCTACCGTGAGGCTACCAAGGCTGCAGGCATTGGTATGCACCAGGACCTAGTCAAGAAGTTCGTCGAGCTCCAGGCCCTCCTCCTTACACCCATCGCGCCTCACTGGGCAGAATACATCTGGCTCGAGGTGCTCAAGAACAAGGAGACCGTCCAGAAAGCACTCTGGCCCAAGGTCCCAGAGCCCAACGCTTCCCTCACAGCCGCCCGAGAGTTTGTCCGAACCACACAGACAAACATCACATCAGCAGAGGGCAACGCCATTAAGAAGCTATCAAAGGGCAAAGCCGCCACTTTCGACCCCAAGAAGGAGAAGAAGATCAGTATCTTCGCTGCGAAAGAATGGCCTGCTTGGCAAAAGAAGTACATCGACATGCTTCGCGACGCCGAAACCATCGACATCAAGGCCATCAGCAAGTCCATCGACAAGTCCGAATCCAAGAAAGCCATGCCTTTCATCAACGGCCTCAAGCGCCGTCTCGATAACGGCGAGCCCAAGGATGTCGTTCTGAACCGCGAACTCGCTTTCGATGAGCTGGACACTCTGCGCGCTATGGTACCCGGATTGAAGCAAACGATTCAGAAGTGTGTAGACGTTGAGATCATCACTGTTACGGAGGGTGGCAAGGACGGTACGGTGATTAAGGAGGATGGCAGCCAGGGTGATGCCCGATCAGATCTTCCACCGCAGGCTGCTACCGCTGAGCCAGGAAGCCCGAGCTTCGCTTTCGAGAACGTCGAGAACATGCCTGTGCGATAGAAGGATGGATATGTACGGTAGCTGACATGGGCAAAAGGTGGGATAGATTCTGGGTATTGGATTGGGGCTGGCTTGGGATTTCACGAAACGACATGACATGATTGATGTGGACGGACGGATGGTATAAACAAGTCGAATACTTGTAAATAGACGTCGTAAGACATGCCCTTTGAAAGCTTGACGAAAGATAAGCCATACCAATACCAGACGACACTGCACCCACCTCATCGATGTTTTACGAGCTGTGTGATGTATGGGTCTCTTATCGATGTGATACGAGGGTCGCCCATCGATCCGATACTTTGTTGTGAAATTTGACTCCAATACTTTCGATACTTTTGTTCCGGCATTACATCTATCTAGTAGCCCAAGTCTTCAGGCAGTCTATCGGGTACACAAACACAATCTACAACTTCGCCCTCGCTTCATCCACCCTGTTACCCTGCTTATCAAAGAAGATCTTCTTCCCATTCCTCAAGCTATCCTGCAGCGCCACACCAATCTTGACTGCCTCCATCGAACTCTGTAAATCAATGGGAACATCCTTACCCTCCAGTACGGCATCAGTGAATTGCCTCGCCTCCTCCACAAACGCCTGCTCAAACCGCTCATAGTAGTTCTGCGGAATATCCCTATGAATACCCGTGCTAATATGGCTCTCGAGCAATCCCGTGGTTGGGTTTGAGTTGACGGCCAACTTGCCCTTTGTACCGATAATCTCCGTCATGTCGTGTTGGCCGGGGGCGTTCATGCGCGAACTGTAAAAGTATGCGATTTGGCCCGAGTGGAATTCTACAACGCCGACGCCGTTGTCGACGTCGCCGTGTTTGGCTAGGTCGGGCTCGAGCGCTGTGACGCCGACGGCCATGACAGACTTTACGGCGGGGAGGTTCTTGCCCTTTGATTCGGCGGAGAAGTACCAGAGGGCTAGGTCGATGTCGTGGATGTTGCAGTCGACGAATATGCCGCCTGAGAACTCAGCGTAGGCGACGAAGAAACCGGAGGGGTCATATCTGGGGAGTGGAGTGTTAGTTGTTGTTCTTGTGTGAGGGAGTCTGGGTATTGCTTACTTGTCGCAAGTTTGTGATCGCAGGATTGTGGGACGACCGATGTCGCCGTTGAGAGTCATGTTATAGGCATTGACGTAAGAAGCGTCGAATCGGCGGGAGAAACCACACATGACTTTGACGTGGGGGTTGCGCTTCGCGGTGTCGAGGACTTGGTGGACCTAGGTACTCTGATCAGTCGTAGGTCTTCAGGATGAGAGTGCAACGAGATACGTACCACATCCAGTTTGGTGCTGAGCGGCTTCTCACACAATACGTGCTTTCCAGCCTCGATCGCCTTGATCGTCTGCTCGGCGTGTGCTGTGGTGACGGTAGCCACACAGACAGCCTCAAGACCCTCATGCTTCAGCATCTCGTCATAATCGGTATAGATCTTGACACCCCATGGCTCAAGGTTCTCCTTTGCCCACGCAATCTCGTTTTCAGCTGGTGTGAAAGCCGCTACGAGTTCAGCTTTGGGTGTGCGGTGGAGGAAATGGTTGGCATGGCGAGCGCCCATGCGGCCAAGCCCTGAGACGGCAACGCGGAGTCTACGAATCGCTGGTGCCATTGTGAAGGATTTGTTAGGATGGAAGGAGGTAATTGGAGAATTGGCAGTCTGAAGGAGCTCTAGAGTATTCAGTGAGACTCGGAGCGAGGAGATATATGGTGGATTGAGCACCTACGGGAATACACCGACTTTCAATCGCCAGAAGATATGCTTGGTCAAAGCTCCTCTCAGGGTCCAGACTAGGCTCGAAGTCGCGACAGCAGCTCTTCGTTCACGCCCAGTCTCCGAGTTTTGTCCCTGTCGACCGTGTAAACGAATATCCATGACTACATCCAGAAGTCGATTATCATGCTTCCCCAGTACACGCCCCAGATTATGCGGCAAACTTGCCTACGCTGAGCAGCATTTGCTATGTTTGGAACGGATCATCGGCACGAGCATTGTGACGATAACATACGGAACGCGGAAACCCTGTGGAGAAGTGCATATTGTGTTGAAGAAAAGTGTGGGGAACACGTGGAGTCGCATCGCGCCAGGCACGCATCTCGGAGTTGGCGAATGGGGAAAATCTCCTCTTTCGAACAGCTAGGGCGAAATTGCCCCCGCGAAAAATCCGTGGCTTGCGTCACGCAGCCGTTCACTAAGCTGGGGCCAAATGCGAAGACTTGGTGCTGTGGAGGCGGACGGCAACGCCGGGGAAAGTTGGGGTTGAGGCGAAGGCAAAAGGAAGGGTTAGCGACCTTTCACAAGCTTGAGCCGGGGTACCTTGGTGCTTCCCCGCATACGTCACTTGTTTACCAACCCCGAAAAAAGTACAGAGTCGAAGACACAGGACTGAACTTTTTGTTCTATTGAAAACTACGCAAAGCATGTTAAGCAAGCTTGAGATTTCGACTGAATGACTCTATTGCTACATCTTTCAACAACCATGAACAGCAAACTTCGCTTTCTTTTTAGAGATTGGCCTTGTCTTCCTCGCCAGTCTCAAGTACAACCTTGATGACCAGCTTCCCACTGTCGTCTTTTGTTTTTCCAGCCATCTCAAACGCCTCTACTGCGGACTCCAAGCCTTTGTAAGTATGTGTTACCAACTTGGCGAAGGCCGGGTAGTCATCACCCTTCTTTGATACAACTTCAATACCAGTTGGGTACGTGTTCGCATATCTGAATACACCGAGGATGTCGACCTCGCGAAGGGCAGCTGCGGAGATGGGAAGTGTTTGGATGGGTGTACCCATACCAATTAGCAGAACCTTGCCACCTGGTCGTGTTGCCTGGATTTGTTAGAAATTTAGTCAACTCAGCTGTGTTGGCGCAACTTACGTATATCGATGCTTGCACACAGGATGGCACACCAGTGCACTCAAATACGGCATCTACTTCACCAACTTCACCGCCGCTCTCCTTTGACAGCTTTCCGACCTCGGCAGCTACCTCCTTGGCGATGTCTAGCTGCTCTTCTATCGTGCTTCCACGCTTCATAGGTACTGTGAAGCTGCGGTGCGCAAACTTGTTTTCGACTGCGAATTGCACTCGTCCAGCATCAATATCTGCTATTACCACTGTACCTGCACCTGATATCTTGGCCATAGCCGCGACCAGTAGGCCTACAGCTCCGGCTCCAAACACCAATACAGTTGAACCTGGTGCTAGTTGTGCGCGTTTCGATGCTTGAATGGCCACGCTCAGAGGCTCGAGGAGAGCTCCTAGATCTAGGGACATGTCGTCTGGTAGCCTTTTCATCGTTAGCATCTCTGACAACTACATCGGACACGGCGCTCACTTGTGGCACCAAGCAGCCGGGTGATTGATCCGGTCTTGTAAAGTACCCTGGGCATGCGGGAACGCCTTTGCACTACTCCGGAACTTCATGCCTTTGCAAATGTTATACCGCCCTTCTTTACACCTGTCGCAGTTCTCACACGGCTGGCCAACTTCCAGTGCGACCTTGTCCCCGACTTTGAAATTTGATACCTCTGAGCCTACGTCTACTACTACGCCAGCCGACTCGTGACCGAGCGACATGGGTTCTCGCACGATAATGTCGCCATTACGATAATGCCTGTAGTAGTGAAGATCTGACCCACAGAGACCGGTGCTGCGAATGCTGATTTGGAGCTCTGTTGGGGAAGGTGGGAAGAGTGAGCGGTTTTCCTGGCTTCATGTCAGTGCCTGCAAGTCTGAGGGGGTTGTGTTGCGGCATACGATTCTTAGATCTTTTGCGCCATGGAGCACTGAAGCGCGGATCTGCTTCGCGCCTTGTTCGATGTCTGGTTTGCTCTCTGAAGACATGTTGTTCTTGCTCGTAATGCAATTACAGTGACGAGTGTATGGGTGAAGCTTAGAGGCGCGTTATACGGTAATATTCAGCTCGACGATGCAGAGTTAGAGTTATGAAATGAGGAGAAAGATCTCTGGAGCATCAGGTCATCTTGCAAAGCATCGGGAGCTATTATGCGCCAAATAATCGGCGCGCTTTGCCTCATAGTACAGCATCAGATGGAGACAAATTCCACCTTCGGCGTTTGAAATGGCGGGACAGCAGATGCCGACGCATGACAGTTGGTGGGGTTGGTCCTTTCCGAGGCAGTTCCGAGCTCCCCAAACATCGTGCTGCAGGAAAAGCCGTCGACTTCTGCCGCAAGCTTTCAAACTTCTTGATTGACTTGCATTAGATTCTTGAAGGAGTTTACCGAGATTCTCTGTCGTTTCCAGGTCAGCATATAACCTCTGGACCGTTATCTCAGCTCTAATTCCTTACCAAAGCCTTCCGAACCACATCAACCAAGACAGCCAACATGACATCCGTACAGCAGCTCTTCTCGCTTGAGGGCCAAACAGCCCTTGTGACTGGTGGCACACGAGGCATCGGCCAGTCAATGGCCATCGCTCTCGCAGAAGCAGGAGCAGACATCCTCCTCGTCCAAGTACGCCCTCACCACCCTCACCCTGCTCTTACAGCCATTAACATGTCCTCCAGCGTGACACCAGCAGCCAAACTACCAAACAAAAGATCGAATCCCTCGGCCGCAAAGCCACAATCTATACCGCAGACCTCTCCTCTAGATCCTCCATCGCCTCCCTCATCCCCAGCATCCTGTCCGACGGCCACAGAATACACATCCTGCTCAACTGCGGCGGCATCCAAAAGCGACACCCCGCGCACCAATTCCCAGACGAAGACTGGGACGCTGTTCTCCAAGTAAACCTAACTTCCGTTTTCCAACTCTGCCGCGACGTAGGCGCACACATGCTCTCTCAGCCCGCGGACCTCCCCCTAGGTCGCCGTGGAAGCATCATAAACGTAGCTTCCTTACTCACATTCCAGGGCGGGATTACCGTGCCGGCGTATGCAGCGAGTAAAGGCGGTGTGGGACAGCTTACCAAGGCGCTATCGAATGAGTGGGCAAGTAAGGGGGTTAGTGTGAATGCGATTGCGCCAGGGTATATTGCTACGGATATGAATGAGGCGTTAATCAAGGATGAGAAGAGAGCAGAGAGTATACTCAGTCGTATTCCGGCGGGGAGGTGGGGGGCACCGGACGACTTCAAGGGCGCGGTGGTTTTCTTGGGGAGTGCGGCGAGTGCGTATGTTAGTGGGGAAGTGCTTACTGTTGATGGAGGTTGGATGGGTAGGTAGATAGATAGATAGATAGATAGATAGGTTGACAGAAATGTGCAACGGGGTAGGCAGCATTTAATGGCAGATTCTTTCCTTCATATGCATGAGCAGCAACATAGTTTTGTCTCGTTCATCACTTTGCATGACTTTCCAATTATCACGTGGGCCTTTTCAAGACGTTGAAAATTCATAACGATTCATTGGGTATAGCCTTTTGGTCCTATCCTAGATGCATAACCTACAACATGCTTGCCTCAAGCAGTCAAGGTCCGCTGAGATCCATACCCTCAGGCTTATCCGGGAATCCAGCATTGACACCAAAGGGCGGGTATACGTAGCGGGTAATACCCTTCTCCTTGTGGATCTTCTCCAGCTTCTCCATGTCCTCGCCATCGAGGGAGATGAGCTTCTTGTTCTCGTCGATGCGGGATGGGGTGACGGACTTTGCGAGGACGGAGGAGTTGCGGGCGACTTTTACATAGTTAGTAGGGTGCTTTAGAAAGCATAGATTTGATGAAACTTACGGTGGTAGCTCAGGAGTATAACAGCAGGAGTGACGTTGTGCTTCTTTGCGACCTCGTTGACGCCCTCATCCTTGAAGAGTGGCGAGCCAGTGCTTCCTAGCGGACTGTAGGCTGTAATGTGGATGCCCTTCTCCTTGCAGAAGTCAACAACCTCCTGTTGTGGGCAAAGAGGGTGGTTCTCGATCTGGTTGACAGCGGGGACGATGGTGGCCTTGGCCAGCAGCTTCTCGAGGTACTTGACAGAGTAGTTGGCGACGCCAATGGCCTTGACCTTGTCGGGATGTGATTGGATCAGCTTCTCGAGGTTCTTCCATGTGTCTTGGTGGGTGATTGAAGTGTCGATGTCTCTTGAACCGTCCTCGTGCTTGGGGAAGAGGGGATGGTTGCCTGTGTACAGTTAGTTTGGTTCGTCGCATAAGAACACAGTAGACTCACCCTTGGGGTTCATAGGAACGGGCCAGTGCATGAGGTAGAGATCCACATAAGGTGTCTTGAGCAGATCCAAGCTCTTCTGCAGACCCTCCTCAGCGCGAGTGTGGAATGTGCACCAGAGCTTGCTGGTAATGAACAAGTCCTCTCTCTTCACGATTCCTCGCGAAATGACGTCCTGGAGCGCCTCGCCGACCTCATCCTCGTTCTGGTAGCAAAAGGCACAGTCAATGTGTCTGTAACCACTCTCAATGGCGTGGACAACAGCCTTCTTGACCTCGCCAGGCGCAGACTGCCACGTTCCCAATCCCAGGGCGGGGATGGTCGCGCCAGTGTTGAGGGGGATAGCAGTGTTCATTTCGGGCTGTGGATCGATGATACTCTTAGGTGTACTTTTGAGCATGAATTTGGAGAGAGCGGGATTCATCGCGACTCAGTCAGGGTATACCTGGGGTATTAGTAGTAGCAGTGGGGGTGTTGCTGGCCAGGGGCTGGCTTGCTCGCATTTGCTTGGGAGCTCCATATTGTGGCTGTCGTTTACGCTTCTGGTATGGCTAAAGCCATACGTCAACCGTTGATTGACTCTATAATTCATCCCGACGTCCGATGCTGCCCCGCCATGCTTGCCCCGCCGGTGTAGCTTCGGTCCGGGGACTGCGAGATGGCTTCTGATACGCGCTCGACGCGCTTCAGCCTCACGCGAAATTTTCGCAACAGACGATGCCCAGACAAGCCACCATGTTCGTGGGGTGTTGTCGGGGAAGGTGGCACCGAGCGTCACGTGCTTGGAGGGGTCGGGGCTGGCCACAGCTAGGGCGTCATCGTGCAGCACGTTTTCTGATCATCGGCAGCTTTCCGAGTGTTCGCGACGAAGAGAAAATCCATCGGCTGTCGGGGGCGGCGAGAATTACCGCATGTAGACGGAGCGGGCAAGATTGCACCCTCTGACCCCATAGAGACGCGAGCGATGCACTCCCGCCGAACGACGGCAGATCTAACGCAACCAACCAACTACTACGGCCGGAATGCCAACCAAGACCCTTAGTCGCGTTTCCAGAACCCCAGATCCTCTTCTGGCTCCTCAACGGCAGATGAGCGGACGGCGAGAATTGCCTCACAGTGCAGTCTTACTTTGGTTCCATTGGTTTGAGCCTATCTGGTGCGGAGTGACCTCCACGAGTGGATCTCAAAGATGGAGACGATGAGAAATCTGACTCCAGAAATTCAGGCTGGGGTTACTTCGGATGTAATGCTGTCTGCTGGTTCTGGCAATACAACGCTTCGTTGTATGGAGACAGGCAAAGGATAAGTACTGCTCTCATCTTGTCGTAACTCTACACATCAACCATCCAAACTTCAATCTTCATCTACATCTTCAACTATCATTCCACAGCATACCACCATTCTGTGCTTTGCATACTTCTAAGATATCCCTCTTCCTTACACATCACATTTCCCACCATGGCACCAGGCGCAATCTTCGAGACGCCCAACGTGGCTGAGAACTTCAACGACCACCGCGATGGTCTTGCCCTCGAGGCCACCTCCGACGCCATTGACGATGTCAACGTTCTCAAGGCCGCGATGAAGGTCAAGAACGGCACCGCGACACAGAAGGAGAAGGACATCTACGAGCAATCCGAGTTCGACGCCGAAAAGGACAAGACCCAGTTCCGCCAGTACGAAGAAGCATGCGACCGTGTCAAGAACTTCTACCGCGAGCAACACGAAAAGCAAACTGTTGGCTACAACCTCAAAGCACGCAACGCCTTCCACAGCAAGACCCGCGCCGAGATGACCATCTGGGAAGCAATGGAGAAGCTCAACACACTTATTGACGAATCCGACCCAGACACCTCCCTCTCCCAAATCGAGCATCTCCTCCAATCTGCCGAGGCCATCCGCCGCGACGGAAAGCCGCGCTGGTTCCAGCTCGTAGGTCTCATCCACGACCTAGGCAAGCTACTCTTCTTCTACGACGCCCAGGGCCAATGGGATGTAGTCGGCGACACATTCCCTGTCGGTTGCGCCTTCTCCCCCAAGATCATCTACCCCGACACCTTCAAGAACAACCCAGACTACAAGGACGAGATCTACAGCACCGAGCACGGCATCTACACACCTGGCTGCGGTATGGACAATGTCATGTTGAGCTGGGGCCACGACGAGTACCTCTACCACATCATGAAGGACCAGAGCAGCATCCCTGATGAGGGTCTTGCTATGATCAGGTACCACTCTTTCTACCCGTGGCACACTGGTGGTGCGTACAGGTGGATGATGAACGACAAGGACGAGCGCATGCTGGAGGCTGTCAAGGCCTTCAACCCGTACGATCTTTACAGCAAGAGCGACGAGGTACCCAAGGTTGAGGACCTCAAGGAGTACTACTTGGACATTATTGATGAGTACATTGGCAAGGACAAGAAGTTGAAGTGGTAGACAAGTAGTGATATAATGGGGTAACGAATCTCTTTGTTTATGGCGTTTGGGTGTACATACATGACGCGGAGTGCCGACAAGGCCCGCGATGCAATTCATATTTTGATCTCATCAAGTCATCCTCGTCTTTGCAGTACTGCAATAACGTCTTGTTTGCGATACTGGTTTGTGCGCTGTTACACTGACTGAGTACTCTACACCATTTCCGTGAAATCCCCGTCGCTTATCGCCCTTGTCCCTATGCAATCAATACCATTCATTCAAGCCCTCAGGTATTTACCTTATTCTGTCGCTCAATTGTCGGGTCCAAGCCCTCCAAAGTTACTCTTAGTAGCCTTCCCACAATCCTGACAGAATATATCAACCACATTCTTCTGCTTACACGTCTCACCTTCCTTCCTCATATCTTCTTGCTTCGGCTCGCCGAATATGGAAGGCTTCGGCTGCTCCGATACGAAAGGCTTTTGCAGACTGAAAATGAAAGGCTTTCGCAGGCCGAACACGAAAGGAGATGCGGTAGTAGACGGTGCAGATGGGAGGTTTAGGACCAAGTTGTCGCCACATCCAACCTTCTTTGTCGATGGGGAACTGGGACCCCGGTTCTTCGAAATAGCCAAGGATAATGTATGTAGAACGACGTTTGCAGTGCCTTTCCCAGAGATCAGATTTGCCAGAAGAAGTTTGCTGGCCAATATTTCCCCCTGGTCCTGGCGTTGGATTAGACACCACGCCACATCTGCTCAAGAGAGTCGTCGAAGTAGGCTTACAGGCAGGCTTCCCACTAGCTGGTTCTTTGGAGAGTTTGGAAAGATTTGATTGTGTAGGCGGAGAGTTCTTAAATATGCCCATCCATGCCATGCTAGGTGGTTGGGGTACAGTAGGCGCGCCGGCGGGCGCTTTCGGATTGACGTACTGTCCGCCGAATGGTAGCGAAGTATCAGACTTTGGTGAATGCTTAACTTTAGGCTTTATGGTTAAGGCCACAGTAAGGCCAACGGCATAGTCGCGAACGCGGAGTTCCTCAAGACTAGGCGGATTGAGACCATATAGCTCTTGAGCAGTGATAGTCATGTAGTGTAGTACTTCCCCTTCACCAGACCCTATGTCCCGATAGCCACGATCTCCTTGGTTTTCTTCATTGTGCCCGATGGTTCCACTGGAATTACACAATTCAACTGGGTCGTTGGTGCGGGGGTTTTCTGGGCTGGAGAATGGGCTGGCTGATATTGGGCGATTGCTCTGGAAGAGAGAGGCCAAGCCTTCCGAATTTTGTGCAAAACCGAGTCTGCAACCACTGCTACTAGGCTTTTCATTCTTTTCGGAGGACGCTCCGGGGAGGGGATCATTGTTGGTGTTTGGGCGTGGTTGAAAGGTCTGCGAAGAGTTGAACGGACAGGCAAAAGTCCTGACTTCGGGGACTTCAACCATCCGCTTTGTTTCTGTGAGTACGCTTCCATCTCTTGATTGGATAGCAATAATGAAGATGACCGACTTCACTTTGAAAGCGCCCATTGTAGTCACCATATCTGCTGATGCACTGTACTGAACAGATACGAGAAGACCATTACGAGATTTGGCTCGCCCTTGCACGAGAACTAGCTGCTCAGGAAGCAGCTCACCGATCGCATCGATTATGGAGTATTCCGGACCAAGCTTATTAAGATGTGCTTACATTGCCGCTTCATCCAGGCCGAGAGGTTCGACTTTAGAAGACCAGGTGACATTGTCTTTGGACGTCTCGATATGGGGCCGGAGAACATACGCTTCGAGATGTCGGGAACTTTTAGGCTGGGTAGCCGTTGTGGGTCCGTTGGTTTTGCGCGAGACGAATTCAGTCCAAGGATTTGACAAGGAGTTGTCTTCCTTTGTAGAGTCCGAATCTTTAGCCACCACAGCAGGCGTGGGCCCGACCGCTGGAGCTTCAGCAGTGGCTGGTTCAATGCTGAGCTTTTCAAGGAGCTTTTCAAGCTTCACCTTCGCACTGATCACATCGGCGTTTGATTTCTTGTAACTCCCAGTGATTGGATCGCTCTTTATTGTAGATACAGGTATATCTTGTGGGGTCTCCGTCTCTGCATCATTGTTCTTCTTGGTTTCGGCGGCCATGATCGTTTGACTCTGGTATTGAGTGTCCATACAGTCTGCGGAAATTAAGTCATAGGACGATAGTTAAAGTTGAGATTGTATTGTTGTAGATCAGTTCTTAGTGGTGCGTAGAATGATAGAGAACTATCGCTGGGAGGTGGAGTATCTATATCTCAGGAGTATTCCTCTTGTTTCACCCCTAGTACAGGTAGCCAGACGCACAGAGAGATACGCGCATCCAATCGCTACCTAGAGATGTAGAGTCTCAGTCGTTCCTTCGCTGTGAGAAAATATGCAAGCTTTGCTTCGCTTGTCCTAAACTGGACTCATTGCTGCGCAGTGTGATACCGAAAGTGTATCACATACACCTCATAACCAGGTACGCTCTCAGCGCGTGGTAATCGATATCTCGGATTCATCCTAGAGGCTTTTCAAGCTCGATAAAACGTGGTCGAAATCGAACAATTCATTCGCAAAGTTTAGATAAGGTTAATCCACTCCGCGAGTGGCTATGGCACCGCCGAGCATGTCGAGCGATCACACTACATCTCCAACTCCCGTAATCAGGACGTCAGTTTTCGAGCAGACCTTCTGGAGGGCCTCTGTATGAGCACTGCCTTATGTTTGAGTGTCATGTTGATGAGGTGTGTATGTTCGCGTCCACAACTGCGATCTCGACGAGCAGCGGAAGAAGCGGATGCAGCAGAAGATATCTTTTGTACGAATCACAAGATTCAGCGACATGGTTGAGAACGTGATGACTATGAGGAGAGTTTGAGGTAGCGATAGAAGAGAAAGGAGAGGTAAGCACCTTTACCAGAAGAAATCTGAGTGTAGGTCGTGCAAAGCAGGAGCCAGGGACTAACAAGCAACGACGAGGCTGAAACCAACCTTGTCAGGCATCGCACCAACAAAAACATACCTGGTGATCAGTTGTAACCGAGCACTTGCACATTACTAAACGCAATGTTCAATTCAAAGGATTCATACGAAACGGTGAGCATTAAAGGTGTTATTATCCGGGAGCCCCCGGAACCTCGCTCCACCCCAGTCATGAAACTCCCCGCTGTAACTCATCCCAGCCACTGCTTAACAGCCCACGCATTCCTATTCTTCTTACTACTTGTCTCCACGGACGCACTGGCACCGTTCCGTTCCTCCGCGCTACACAAGGCCCAAAGATGTAAGCACGCACAAACCACCAGAGATAGGACCGCGGAGTATGTAGAATAAGGCACGCGGGCCGAACGAGGCTTTATCTCTGTACGCCCGCCGTAAGCTTATCCTCTGCTTCGCTACAACCTATTCAAGTGGCATCTCTCACATCCCACTCACGCCGGTGCCATATTTCAAGCACTCAACAAGCAGAACTTTATTGTCTTCCTACTTGCGTATGCAAGACATCTTGCAGACTCTCCCGCCTACACCACCGAGCAGCTTCTTTTTGTCTTACTGCATCACCTGGGTTAATACCAAGGATCACGAATCGCCGTTTGCGGCGAGCACATGACTACCTAGGCTTGAACACATATATGCAAGAGGGTATGATTGCATAAAAGAGCGCACGCCAAGTACCCCAAGGCTGCGATCCTGTACACAACACCAATAAGGCTTTATTCTTATAATTTCCTGGTTCGTAGACAGTGCAGCTTGTGTTGTACGATACGACCTTTACATGAAAGTTATGGGTAAAGGAGAGGGGAAGCGCAGAGCCTCATACTCGGTATCTAGACATAAAACGCGGTCGATGGATACTGATATTTATTCGCTACACCACTCTCCCTTCATCCTTCGTCTCTCCAAGTTACCACAGTCTTTCACACTGCTCCAATCTGCAAGTTCAATTTCGCCCCGCTCTGTTTAGAATGGCGTGCTCTAGTGGTACCGGCACCTCGAGTTGCGATTGCAGCAGCTTTGTGTTCGGGGCCGTCAATGGGACGTGTAATACTTGTGGGTATCCTAAAAATTGACACTCAAAGGCAGCGCAGAAGTGAGGTTAAAGGGTATGTGTACGTGTCTTGGCTAAGATAGAATGGGTACTGATCTTACAGGTAGCATTACGACAAGGCTGAAAGCGAAGAGCAGCCTTGCAGGCATATGCTGTGGGGAATAAATTTTCACAAAGCATGATTGATCTTGCTCGATAACGGATGAGAAGAGCGATCTGCACAAAGTATGATTTCGGTGGATTTGGTGGAGGGAGTCGAGTAGATAATGGGTGTAAAGAAGAGGTAGATGTGCAGGCAATGCGATGATATATTCTTGCACCTTAACACCAACCATTGCGCCCAAAATCGAAGAACATTGTACTACCTAGTGCATTAAGTTGCACAAACGTCAGTGTTAGTAACAGAGACAACATGTCAAAGGGTGGGATTTAACAGGTAGTTTGACAAGTCGTTGTCGTTGCATATCCGGATGCCTCCGGAACACTCACCTCGACCCCAGCCACGCCCCTAATCCTCACTAGCGATTCCATCATCCCAACCACCACCTTACTAGCCTACCCTTCTCATCGTCATCCCCTCTCCATAGTGCACTACACTAAACCATGACGCATTGACACCGTTCCCTCTCCGCCCTGCACAATGATGAACACATGGTCACAGCCCTAGCCCCGTCCCCACTCCCCTGACCCCTAATGATCTACACAACCCTGATGCACGCAATCTGGAACGCGTCAGCACTCAAAACAAAATGGTAAGCACAAACCACCAAAGATGGGGCCGCGGAGTAGTTACTGAACAAGGGGATGCGGACCCCACGAGGCTGAGGCTGTGCTGATGCTGATGTAAAAAAGGATAAAAGTGGAGGAGAGGTTAAGTTGACTTCATGTCTTCGCTGCTGTCTGACTGGTGTCTCCCACGTACTCGCGCAGCCCTCATGTCTCACATTGTTCTTGACTCCCTTCATTGCGTGAGTTACATGGCTGCGCATAACTTGTGGTCAAGGCAATGTGGTCGCGCAACAAGTATCACAGCGGCCAAGGTAAGAGCATACGGACAGCACACCAAGGAACGAATGTTAGAACAATGATGAAGCATAGGGGCAAAAGATGTTGTGAGTGTATTATCATTCATTTACTATATACAGGAGCCAACGCTAAGGGCTCATCCCAGTTCCCATGTCGGGGTATCAAAGTCGCAGTCGTGAAAAACAGTCCCAGGCATAACGAGTCCGTCGTTATCATTATGCCTTCGCGTGAGTGTTCGTTAGGAAAGAAGAGAAACCTGCCCATCCATCATATTATCCAAAGCCCACCTCGCATTACCACCCGTCATTATACACATTACTCCATCGAGCGAGGACCTTGGGTGAGACGTAAAGGCAAGGCGCTTAGAGCAGGAGCCAAGCAGCAATACCAGCACCAGCGGCGAAGGGAATGCCGGTGACCTGAGCGGCGGCACCAGCAGCGACAGAGGAAGCAGCGCTGCCAGCGGCCTCAGTGGCGGAAGAAATGACGTTTCCAGCAGAGTCGGTGGCGGAAGAAATGGCGCTTCCGGCAGAGTCAGTAGCGGAAGAGATGGCGCTTCCGGCCGAGTCGGTGGCGGAGGAGATGGCGCTGCCAGCAGAGTCGGTGGCGGAGGCAAGCTCAGAGGAGATGCTGGCAGAGGCCGAGGCAAGGGCAGAGCTGGCGGAGGCAAGGGCAGAGCTGATTGCAGACTGTCCGGACTCAAGAGCGGAGGAAGCGTCAGATGCGAGAGAAGAAGTGATGCTCTCGACACCAGATGCGCCGCTGGAGACAACTGAAGTAACCATGGATGCGTCGGAAGATAGGATGGCGCTGGCACTAGCAGCAGCAGAGGTCAAGATGGGGAGAGCGGCAGGGGTGCCAGAGGCAGTGGCAGCGACACCAGCGCAGCGAGCGTAAGCCCAGTTGACAGCGGCGGCAGACTGGTCAGCATCGCAGGCCTGGCGGGTGCAGTCGCGGATACCGAAAGCCCAGTTGGACTGAGTGCAGAAGCAGCCAAGGTCGTTCTCACCGCACTGGAACTCGGTCTGAGCAATGCGAGCCATGTTGTTGATGCAGAGCATGGAGCAGTCGCCGGTGGGCATGGGGATGTCCTGGGCGAGGACGGCACCGGCGAAAGCGGCGGCGAGGCAGCGTAGGACTTCATCTTGACTGGAGGTGGGGGTGGGAGAGAGTTGTTTGGAAGAGATGGATATTGAAGTAGGATACTAGGTATCGAAGTGAGAGAGAAGTAGTCAAGGTGAGTTGCTGAGGTTGAGGATGCTGAATGATGAGTTGAAAGAGAAGGGGGGGAAGAGGGGTGGGTTTATATTACAGGCGACACCAACAGTCGGGGCTGGTCCGTGACTGGGGACAGTGAAGTCGCGCGCAAACAGGAGGCTGCAACGGGCTGGTGACGGGTTGGAGCATCAGTAGCGGGTCTAGTCCTGGGCAGGGGTGGGCCGCCAAGCACAGGCACAGCAACCTCGACGATCGACGCCAGAGCAAGGAAACTCGGAAAGCACGACCTGCACTCTGCGCGCCCATTGGCCAATGCCCCGAGCGCACCTACCGTATGATGTAGCCATGCCAACCACGCCCAAGCGGCCGATACCCGAGCCTGCATGTACAACTCACACGTCGAACCAGCTTGTCGTCCTGAATCGCACAGACTGTGGTATCTGCTCCGTCACAATCGTCATCCCTTCCACCGGCCTGCACAGTCACGCTTTCACACACAGCATCCTCCTGAGCTTGCCATGTCTGAGTCCGTCTCTCAATCTGCCTTCGCGCTGGTGTGACGGGCTACTAGATTAATCAAATCTTGTTTGTATTCAAGCACCACCACTCGCCGTGACGTCGTGGTAGCGTCTGCCGCTTAATGCATACCCGCCCTCTCATTTCACTTTCATAACTCTACCAAGAAGCCATGGATTCATCTCGCTTCCCCGCGAGTGGCAGGGGAGCTTGTGAGATCCAGACCCATGGATCGCTCTTCACCGGGCCAACAACTGCCAATCACCCACCCCTACGGCAGATATCACTTGTGGCGCATGGCGCAGTCTACCCAGCCACAAGAGAAATGCGCGTCTCTGCATCGCCCTCGAGCGTCGATGTGGGCGCCTTCTTTTCGCCTTCGCCCGCCTCGTCCTCGTGCTGCTCGGCCAGATGCTTCTCCTCAGCTGAGGTGATGCAGTGCGTGTTCGCGCCTACCAAACAGCGGTCAGCTCTGTGCGCCGACTCGGAGCAGACGACCAAAAGGAAAAAAATAAACTCACCTAACTTATTGATCGTCTCCATCCACTCATCGTAAGGGTCCGAGTCGAAAACTATGCCGCCCTGTAGCCAATCATTAGCCCCTGCGCCGCAAACTAGAGCAGGGAACTCGTCAGACTTACCCCTGCTTGGAGATACGCGATGCCATCTTTGACAAGCATGGTTCTTAGCGCAATGCATGTCTGCTGGGCATCAGCCTCCTGTCAACCTCGAACAAGGCAAGACTACTCACGTCCATGGCACCTTCAATTTCCTTGTCGCCATCAATAGAGCCGTAGCCAAAGTATCCCACCGCGCCAGCATACACACCGCGCTTTTCCCGCTCAAGCTCGGCAATGAGCTCCATAGCGCGCACCTTGGGCGCACCGCTCACCGTTCCTACACATGGTTAGCCACAATTCCAAGTTTTCCAGCGCGCTACCTTACCAGCGGGGAAGATTGAGCGGAACGCGTCGAATCGGGTCTTGCCAGGTCGCAACACCCCCGAGACCTCCGAAACCAGGTGCTGCACGTGGGAAAACTGGTTTCGTCGACAACAATTAGCATACCTCTTGGGTTTGATATCATCGCACGGTAGCTCATGGTACGATCCACGGTAATCACGGTTCGGACGGCAGTCTGCTCACCTTTTGCACCACCATTAGCTTGTCAACTCGTGTAGAAAGTGGGTCGCACACGCGATTGACGTCATTGCGAGCCAGGTCGACCAACATCACCTGGAAAACACATTGTAAGCTTTCAACGTTGCTGCATGCACGCACTTGGTACGTCAGGAAACCCACATGTTCGGCCCGGTCCTTGAGAGAGTTGGACAATTCTTCTGCGAGTGCTGCATCTTCTTGCAGCGTCTTGCCCCGCTTGACGGTGCCAGCGATGGGATGCGTGATGATGCGACCCTGCTCTTCTTTTACCAGCAGCTCAGGACTTGCCCCCACTATCTGGAAATCGTCACAGTCAACGAAGAATAGGTATGGTGAAGGGTTGACGTTCCGCAGGTTGCGGTAGATGTTGAAGGGGTGCAACGATGTCGGTCTTGCGAACCGTTGAGAAGGTACTGCTTGGATGATGTCGCCAACGCTGATGTGCTTCTTCAGTGACTTGACATGGTTCTCATAACCGTCCTGGCCAATGTTCGACTTGTACTCGTTACCGAGCTGGATAGGCCCTTGTTCCGGTAGCGGAATGTCCTTGTCCTTGAGTATCGTTGTGTATTTCTTTAGCGTAGTCTTCGCTTCTTCGTACGCTTGTTCCAGATCGTCCATGCTGTCCGGTACCTTGACGTATGTTATGACCTTTACGACCTGCGCGAAATGGTCCAGAGCCACCAGTGTATCGTAGAGCATGAAGAAGCTCTCCGGTACACCCAATACGTCCTTCATGTCATCTCTCCTTGTCTTGGGCTCGAAGTATTTGACGCAATCATAACCAACATATCCAACAGCACCGCCGGTCATGGGAGGTAGTTGTATCGAGGGCACGGTCGCAACGCGGCTCTTCGCAAGCTCCTTCTCGAGGAGGGGTAGTGGGTCGGTCTCTTCGCCATGGCCGGGGCCGGTCTTGATGACTTTGCGAGGGTCTAAAAGCTTGTCAACTCTGGTTGCCGCGAGTTTGTTTCCAAGTACCGACCTGCGCCAATGAAGCTGTACCGTCCTATCGTCTCGGTTGTCGCAGCGCTCTCGAAGAGGAATGACAGTTTTGACTTGGATCTGAGCCCCCCAGAATTAGCATGCGCGCAACCAATCCACCCACCCACGTTCCTAGTAGAGTCGTCTTTGCCCCATCTCGAACGAAGACAACCCCTCCCATGCCACTTTGCGCTGTAATGAGTCACACTCACTTTGCGGAAATCTTCAGGTATATGCTTGACGCGGTCAAGAACTCGGCGGGTATCGAGGAGAATACGGGTACGAGGTTTGGTGGGTTGGGCGACTTGACTGCTGCAGCCAATACCTCTCGAATGGTGTCAAGCGATGGCTGAACGCCTAGCTAATGTGGTCATGCGCTCAGTTCTGTGGCTGGCCGTTCATGTGGTCGGTGACATACCTGTGGCGCCATCTTCGTAGGATTTGAGAAGTATCTTTACAGCACTTCTGTAGGAATGGAGAGGAGGTAGAACGAGGGTAACAAAGTCGTCGCAACGTATTGAAGCCAGAATTGATGATTCACGAGCCAATCGGAGGGGGCACAAAATGTTATCGATAGACAGTTCTTGGCACACTAGACACGCTGCAGGCCTCGGTGATGCACGTCACAAGCGGTGAACCCAGCCTCCTCCCGTGTCCCGCATCCACGCAGCTGTCCGCTTTCTCGGTCACCAGAGCGCATCGCTCTTGAAGCTCTACACCCCACTCCTGAGAGCTTCTCAGTTGCGCACGCATCGTTTTGGAAGAAAAAGGAGCATGTGGCCGTCGCGCGGCTACAACAGCGCAATGGACATTCCTCGCACCCTAGAACGGCCATGGACACCGCCGGAGATCGAGGACGAATCCGACTCGCGACCAGACTACTTCGACATCTACGGAACCTCGCCTCCACGATATCCTATGGCGACGGAGCAGCGCTGGCTAAAAGAGGCCAACCGCGTGCCCGAACAGCCTTCTTGGATCACAGATAGCTTCGGCCTGAAAACTCCCACAACAGGACTGCGACCGAAACCCAGCTCACGGCTTACGGAACCAGCACCCTACACACCTACGCGACCATATTACGACGATGCGTCGCATCCGAGGACCAAGGGTGAACCGCGCTATCCCTACACACCTGACAGCTCGCGCATACTGCGTCGGAATAACACTGAGCGCCCCGGCTCCCCAACGCCATGGGACGACGATTCAGAAGGAACTTCTTCGCCCGTGCAGAACGCGCTCTCTTCGTGTATCGCGCACTTTGAGAACCTAATACAAATACACCAACCCGACGAAGAGCAGATGGAATACATAGTCGGACAATTCGAAGCCATGACAGCCCACCTCTCCACGCCTGGCGGCGCTCACACGAACGAGACACGCGACGACAACAAATCCCTCTCAGGATTTTCTGACCAGGGACTCGGCATCGCACAAGCAGAGGGTGAGAAAGACAAGCTCTATGAAGCCCAAACGCTGCAACACGAAGCTTATGTTTCGCAAGTAGGCAACTACATCGCGGGTGTGCAAAAGTACATCTACGACCTCAAGACGCGCATGGACGAGGTCAAAACACTCAATCGCATTCAACTCGACGTCATCAACGATTTGCGCAACCAGATGAAAATCGTCCGGCAGAGTATGCGCGAAGAGTTGGACAAGAGTCACCATCAAGACGATCTCGGCAAATCCATGTTTTCAAACGTTGACCCTGGGAATGAGGCGCTACGAGAAGATGATGAGAAGGAGAAGAAAGATCATGATACGAAGAGAGAGTTCAGTATGATGGATAGTTGTATGACTCTAGTCGAGGAAGAAGACCTGTCCCGGGAGATTCATGAAGAATACTCGAAATTACTACGCAGCACGGTTGATACGTTGGTTGCTGATGATTTACCATCATTGCCCAAGAGGAAGGTGATTACTATCATCCGTTCGCCTCCTCGACGAAGCTTTTGGGCTTCTATGGGCGAGGCGCTGGACGCGGTTTCGAATCTGCTGTTGGAAGATGGATCATGATCTTGAAGTTTTTTGAACGACGACGACGATTTTTTTTACGGCCAGAGAGATGCTTGACGATACTACAACGACGTTCTTGGATACATTTCTATCATTGGGGTTATGACTATATACGGCCGGAGCAGACGAATAACGAAGCGGGGGGTTTTGCATATGAGGAGATGATGGATTGCATTTGGATACGACAGTTGAGGGAAAGCCTTTGTCGCTACGTTTTGAGCATAGGAGTGGCGTTTTTTTTCTGTCTTTTCCCTTCCTTTAACGCAACAGCATTGGTACGTTCAGGATACCCAAGTTCTTGTTAAGTATTGTCGTTACATTATTCATGTTTCCTTTGTTCATTTGTTTTGTAGTATATATATTTACTTGACGCTACTCTCCCATAATGAATACTACGATATGATATCACTTGCATGCTTTGATGAGACTTCCATGCCTCGTAACACATTGCGCAATCCAGTGGCATGCAGTATCAGAACGAATGCATTGGTATCATATAATCAATGTCCCATCTACTCCACATAATCCAAACTGCCCTTCCCAACCGTACCCGCCACAGCTTCCGGCCCCTTCTGCTGCCTAAGCTTCTCCTCAAACTTTGCAAACTCCTTGATAGCAATCTCCTCCTCCTGATCCAACACCTGCTGCACCCCCTTGACCTCCTCAATGTAATGCATCAACATACTCTCAATACCATTCTTCAGTGTCACAGTACTAGAATCACAGGTACGGCACGCACCCCTCAGCTTAAGCAGTACCTGGCCGTCGTTGAAGCCGCGGAATTCAATGTCGCCGCCGTCTTCTTGGATAGCGGGGCGGACGCGCGTGTCGAGGAGTTCTTTGATCATGCCGATGACTTCGTCGTCGTTTTCGTCGTATGCCAGACTGTCGGCGTCTTGACCGCCTTGACCTTGCTCACCGGCTTTTGCGGCAACAGTGTTGACAATGGGCTGGCCCGAGGTCATGTATTCGTTGATGAGGGCGAAGACCTCGGGCTTGACGTGGCTCCAAGGTGTGGACGAGTCCTTGGTCACGGTAATGTAGTCGGCACCGAAGAAGACGCTGGTTACGCCGTCGATGTTGAGGAGTTGGGCGGCGAGGGGAGAGGGGTGCGGTGGGGCGAGGGTGGAGCGGGGATTGAGGTATTCGAGGAAGGGAGAGGAGATCGACTCTGGGAGGACGCGCTGGTTGGGGTTGAACTTTAAAGCCTGGGGTTGTTAGTATAGGCATATCGGTGGAGTTGGAGGAGTGCGTACATCGGCGTTTGGTGTTGGCTCGGTTTGGATGAACATGGTTCGTCGCGCGACCGTCGCTGATGGTGCAACAACCCTCTGGCTCCATGGCTGTGCTGTCGGTCTATGTTGCAATCTTGAAGCTGTGATGGGTGATGATTGTTGGTGGAGACATCTCGTGGCAATGCGCGGAGTTGCTGATCGTAGAGAGGGTGTCGCCCGGGACAGACTGCGCATGGCAGAGCGTGGTATAGTGCTTGATGCCATATCTCGTATAGTCTGAGGTCGTGTATATCGTAAGCAGGGTGGTGTTGTCGCAATGGCGAAGTGTATAGGTTCGTGAATGAAAGTTTCGGGAACTCGGGCCAAACGAAGTATGACGTTCGCCGGATTATTCAGCCACCACGCTCACTGGCTCCCGCTAATCCACAGCGTTCATTCCTCCTCGTGCATCATACATTTTGCACAACCGATACGATATAGGTCAAAAACGCCCGAAATCTAAATATTCATTGAACTTGAACTGTGTGGGAGTTTTCGCACTAACATTATATTGACAGAAGGGCAGCATATCGAATAATACACCGTCATCTTTCATCGCCTCATCTGCTCCACATTATACACTTTATATATATATATATATATCACCAGCCACGATTGGCAGGAAAGCTAAGCTGGAAATGACCGAGTCAAGGACTATGGGCCTACAACTGTCATTACAATAGTTACTACAGTAATACGCCCATGATTAATCACGTGTAATCTTGGATCTTTATGGAGAAGCACGTTTGCACGGATGGGTCAGCTAGCTACATTGATCCACTCACTGGAGAAATCAAGGACGCAAAAAGCAAGGACAACGATGCTACGAAAACTGCAACGTATTGGAAGGTCGATAGTGTGGGCATGTAAGCCAGCATGAGAACCACCAGTCTCTCGCAAACGGTCAGAACATTAATGGCGGCAACCTCACCCAGCGTTCAGCCCACGGCCTCAGATGGTCGTGCCATATGCGGTGAAGTACAGGAGCCAGTCATGAATACGCCCATGCAACAGTCTCACGCTCTTTGGAAGGGTCCCAATACCGAATACTAGGCACATGAAGCATCACCTGACTCTGCCCATATGGAGTTGGATGAAGAACGAGCAAGGCACGAGATGGATCATGGAAGAGCGAGGCAAGAACTGCCTTGATGTTGGACACTTTTCGAGTACGACGAGTAATACCAGATATAGCAAGGGATGAATCGAGTCTGCGAATAGTATACGATACCCAATACCCAACAGTCAAAAAAGCTATAATCTACCCATGTACAACACCTCAGTGAGGTCTTTTCTTGCAAACGCACATGGCAAACCTTTTCTGAAAGCACAAGGCACACAGTCGATCGGAGCAAGATCCGTGACGTAGTACATTCGGCAGTTACATGTAGTCACTGCAACGTGCTTGATATTTTTCAGCCGTCACAATTAGAAACGAGTGTGTTTTAAATTATATTTGTTTGTTCAATATTGTCATTAAGTATTAAGTTTCGTATCCGCTTTATCATACAGTCTCTTCGATATTCAACTCCTTCCTCTCTCACGTGTGGTATAATGCGTAAACGTCGTAATAGTATACATAAAAGGAAAAAGACATTCATGCCTAAAAGCACAAAAGACTAGAGCATCGCCAGTCTCATTCTCTTCGGCAATTTGGAATGATTGCGTTTAGTAGTTGGTTGCTGAGCCGTAGGTAGCAGTGTTACCGTTGTTGGCGTAGTTCGCAGTAGGGGCGACGTGGGGAGCGGTGTGGTATCCGCCGGTGACAGGCTTGTCAGTCGCGAAACCAGAGTGGGGAGCAGCGACAGTGGAGCCGGTGTAGGCGGTGTCGTGGCTGGGACGGTAGTCGTGGGCAGCAGTAGGGGCAGCAAGACCGCCAGCAGTGGTAGCAGGGATAGTACCGACTTCAGGATCACGGTGTCCAGTGGTGCGGTTGGCCCTGCGGCGTTGCCAGAACTTCATGCCGGAACCCTTGGTGTAGCCGTTGTTGGGACCAGGACCAAAGGCCTTCTCCTTCTTGTGGTGGCGCATCAGGAAGACCTGGACGAGGGCGCTGAGAAGGAATAGGAAAGCGCCGATGATGGCGACGGCAAAGCAGGCGGTGTTGAGCTTGCAGATCGTGCCAAGAGAGGCGGAGTAGGTGATTTGGTCGCCTTGGCCGTTGGAGCCGAAGCCTTCCTTGGAGCCAGCGGGTCCGTCACCGAGAGGTGTTTGGACATTACCAGAGCAGCTAGATGCGCCGTCACGGGTCAGAACAGCAACGGCGATCATGGCACCGCAGCAAAGGATGTCGAGGAGTATGCCGAGGAAAGCAAAGATTTTCTACAAACATCATTAGTAGCTGTTGATGTAAATCGCCAAAGAAGTGCTTGCTTACCTTTCCGCCAAGGAAGCAAGTTAACAGGACCGCGAAGATGGTGTATAACACAGTCGCGCCAGCAAGACCAGTAACGGCCTGTTGCCAAACCGGAATGTTGACATCGCGATCCGCCTCCACAGAGAGGAAGTAACTGTAAATGCCGAGGATAATGGCAGCGCAGCAAAACTCAAGCGCATACAGCGCTGTGGAGCCAAACTTCAAAGCAGCACCACCGAAACCCATGATTGCGATATCAAGGTTTGAAGTAGGAGACGAATTAGGAAGAGAGTAGGCTAGAGAAAGGCGATGCTCGAGGTATATGTTTGTTGTAATGTTTGTTGTTGGATACGAGACAGGCGTAGGGGAAGATAAGGATTTATGTTGTCTCTCATGGATACTGCCACGGGCGATGACGCAGCCTTGCACTCACTTCACACCACTGGCGTCTTTGTCCCTGCCTTGTTGCGTCAAAGTTCGTTGTCGATCCCGCTCCCCGTGCGTCAGCCACGCTAGGCTAGCCCACAAATCGAACCCTGCTTTTCTTTCCACGTCATATCTTCTTCCAATCTCATCAAACCTTCAGCCAAACAGAGCGCTGCGCCCCGACCGATGGTTTCGCCGATGAAAAACTCAAATTCAACACCTGAGCGCACATAGCCATGATGCTGCCAAGTTTGCGCTTGAGATCATCTTGCTTTCTTGACAGCTGTTGATGGCTTCCAGGGTTCTTTGGATAATTTCCTGACGTGGTTGCGGGCTCAAGCCACAGTCAGACAGGCACAATGCAGCCGGGCGGGTACTCCTTGCATGCGGTCGAGACCCTCGAGATGACGACCCATTTCGAGTCTCGTCCTCTCGTCGTTTCAACTTATTCATGAAAAAGCGCGTCGGTGTTCCGTTGCTCATATGCTCACACGCTCAGCGTTCCTGCATCACGCTTCGCTTTCCTTTTTCTTATCGTTCGACATACAGTAGTTCGTTGATCTCGGATAAGCCGGATCCAGTGGTGATGCGCTGCGCTGCGCCGTTATGTGTCTAATGCTCGCGATGCTGTGTGACCAGGCTAAGGAAACTTGATCGTGATAGTTGCGACAGTTGTTTTTCCCCTTAGATCGGGTGGCCCTCCGCTACCGCACGCTACCTACCCCACGAAATTACCTTAGCGGCGATCAATTATTGGTGACATTGGGTGACGTCGTTAACCCTACTACCGATGATTGTCGGCGACGTGATATGATGGGATGATGATCGAACGCTCTCTGCGAAGTTGTTGGGATGAGCTGCACAGGCGAGAGTGGGTTGCTAGATGCGCACTAGGTGGGTAATGAGTCAGTAGCTTGTAGAAGGCTACGTGAAGTATCCAGACGTTCGCCCTACACTTCACATTCCACAAAAGCTCAAGTAGGAGTAATGCAGAACGTATCGCTGCTTCAGGCTGAATCGCTATGCTGATTACACGCTAGTAGACTAATATGGCGGCTTCAGTCTGACAACAAGAAGGGCTTTGGCATACATCTCTTATACCCTGAGTCCATGTTCTTCTCTCACTCCCTCCGGCAGCGGCGCCAGATCACCGTCTTCTTCTACATCAAACTCAATATCATACATGCCACAGAACTAAAAAAAACACCCAAGTGTATCCATAAAGGGTTCCTGATGAAACCTAATGCGCCCGAACGATCGGCTACGTTTTCAAGTAGAGTAGTGGGGAAACACAGCTCCAGATGTTTAACACTCTTGGAAAGATCTTTATGGCCTAAAATTCTCGTGGACAGGCTCAAACCCTCCTGGGCGAACCGTAACAATCCGACACCAGAAAAGATTCTTGGCGAACCAGATTCTGGTCTTCATCTCGATATCTCTGCAGACAAGCCGGAGGCTTTGGCATCGTGCTGGCATCCAAAACCACCTTGCCATGTGTGAGGTAGCTGGTCGGCAATGTGATAGAATATCCGCCGCCGAACAAACGCGAGACCATGGCTTCGATGCTATTTGACCTACCGGTCGAGATCTTCAATCTGGTCGGTATGTGAGTCAGTTGGTAGGTCCATGCAACGCTGCAGGTGAAAGCATCGGCATAGTAAAGCACACACATCTTGCATGCCAGCCTGCACGACGCAGTGCGATGCTGACGTGTGGTCATGATCAGTTGTGGAAAGTCGCGGTTCTCACAATCCTATCCGGGGCGTTGTAGCCAACGAGGTGAAAGAGGCAAAGTGAGGCGAGAAAGAACAGGAGCCACAAAGCGCTAGGCATATGGAAGCCGCTCTAGGGCGAAGCACGTAGAATCTCTTGTGGTAAGGAGCGCCCAAGATAGCATGGTCAAACAGAAGATTGCTAATAACGAATTGAGTTCCAGACATAAGATGAAGCATAGCTTACCCGAAAAGTATACAATACATTTCACGCCAGTATGCTCAACACGTAGAATACGACGCAAACCTTGAGAGCACACTTTGCTAGTTGTAACCAAAGAATGACCAGCTCCTTCGTATACAGCATGTTCGAGTGCTCATTGAGAACTGATTTACGGAGAGTACAGCTATTATAATAGTTTTTTATGGTCTGGTCTACGTGGTATACGCATGAACTTCTATGTAAGGGTGGCTGCTTCGGCGAATCTATACATAGTACGAGTCAGGAGAATCTGTAAGGTTCAATAAGTATTTTTAGTACTTTCAAACCAACACCCATCCATCATCACCGATCTGCGACTGGACCTCATATTCCGGAGTCCCGGGGCGAAGTGTACGGATGCATTCTAGGTTCATACCTATGAATTTGAAGTTGAGACGCCGCAAGGTGAGTTCATCGAGGTCGAGCTCCTCGTGCAGAAACTCCATGATTCGCTTATAGTCATCAGTTCCGCAGAACCAAATATATTCTAAGCATAGACTCTTCAAGGTACCTATGATGGATTGTAGACAGGTTTCCAAATGGCGCGCCCGTGCCCTCAGCTGTGACAAGGGCAACTGACGAAATGCAGGGAGGTGCAAGGATTGGTTCATTGCCTTGAAGAACTTATAACACTTCGGCGTGCATCCAAATCCTAGGTGCAAGTCATCAAGACCTGTGGCCGTTTGAAACACACGGTTGAGGATGGACGTGGTTTCGAAGTCGTTTCATGTATCGCTTAATAATAGAATATACATCTAAGCTCCGTGAATGTATATACCTTTGCCATTTCTGACAGCCAGGTTCATTTGTAACTTCTGAAGTGGCTCGAGTTGCTTCATAAAGACACCCTATACAAGGGTAAGACTAAACACTCCTTACCAAGCTCTTCCCTCTTGCCTATTACATGAAGCGTAGCAAAGTACTATATAAATTTTGTAGATAATCTGGAAGTCTACAATGCTGTTAAACTTTAATCTTTTCTTATAATAGGCTAACGTAGCCTGCAATAGAGCATTTGTTATCTCTGTACTTGTTTAGTTTTTCTCTTGTATGGGGTGGTGGTGTGGTTGAACTCAGTTTGTACACACCAGTTACCAGTGTCGCTCTCGTCACTATCCGACTAAGGGTATTGTGGGGGATCTAACGGTAGTGGCGATGTAGCGTATCGATACTGCCTAACAATGGTATTGCAGTTGACAGTCACAGACTCGACATGATATGCCAGCTTTCCTTGGGATATTCGCAGCAGACGATTGAGTCCGACCTCACCGAGATCTACCCAAATCCGCTTGAAGTAAGTAGTGCCAAAGTGCCGCACGATCTTGCCATGGAGCTCCTTGCAGGCGAGGCGGAGCGTTGTACAAGACAAGCAGCGGTGGAAATAGCCTCCATTGCAGCGAATGATCTCGAGAACAAGCTCTGTTGGTAGGTTGGGGAGATCGAGCGCCATGTTGATGGCGACTATTCAGTTAGCCCAGGGGTGAAGCTGTTGGGGGGTGTGATTCATACCCTACATGAGAGACAATACCAGCAGTGGCTCTCAGAGTGTGTGGTGTACAGTCATGTCGAGGAGATCAAGGCTGATAAGCGGCGTAGTGAGGCGAAGTGAGGTGAGGTGAGGTGAGGTAAGAGTGGGCACGCAAGTTGAAAGTTGCGTCATCAGTAGCACGGTGCAAGTGAGGAAGGAGCGTTTGTGGGCCACAAAATATCTCTTAGCACCGCATAATGGAGCCGAGAAGACACGCGTGAACTCATTAGTATATACCGATAACGAGGAAGCTTTAACGTGAGGTAGGTAAGTCGAGGAATGAGGCGTGATGGTCTAAAGATAATATTCGTGCACAGAAGCTTCAACGGAAAGGATACATGAGAGCTGATACCCGTGTTTCTTGAAAGTGGTAGTACACGTGTATACCTCAGTCACCCATAAATCAGCAAGCGCAAAGAATCCAATAGCGAAAACGACCAAAGATATTATCAACCGAGATGGCGAGGTATGTAAGATATGAGGACCGGGTTGATACATAACTTCAATTGTTTTCCAATCGTTACGTAGCTTTTCTCAGCTGAGCCAACGTAGCCTTTCCAGCTCTACTATCGTTCGCCCTCCCTAGCTCTTGTGAGATCCACTCACCCACCTCAGCCAGCTTCTCCATATCGACACCAGTCTTTGCGCCCAAGCTATGGAAGCAATGTACCAGATCCTCGGTTGCAACATTCCCAGTCGCACCCGGGCTAAACGGACAGCCCCCAAGGCCACCAACCGCCGCGTCAAAAGTACGAATACCGTGTTCTAGAGCGACAACCGAGTTGACCAAGGCCTGACCATACGTATCGTGGAAGTGGAGCGCCAGGTCATCTTTGGTTACACCCGCAGCATTCAACGTCTTCAGAAGCTCCAGCGTCTTGGGCGCAGTGCCCATGCCCGTGGTATCCGCTACTGATATCTCATCCGCGCCCATTTCCAACAAGCTTACTGCCAGCTCTGCCACCTTGTGTGGGTCTACATCTGGTCCTTCATAAGGGCAGCCGAGTGCGACTGAGATGTATGCCCGAACCTTGAGGTCCATCTCCTTTGCTTTGGACATGATGGGTTCGAAACGCTTCAGCGACTCGGCTATCGAGCAGTTGGTGTTCTTCTGCGTGAAGGACTCGGTCGCCGCTGTAAAGATGGAGAGCTCGTGTGTGGGTGCTGTTGCACCGCGGCTTTTGCCCATGGCTTCGGCGCCGGAGGATGCTGAGGGCATAGCATTGGGATCGGAGGAGGACGTGTTGAGGGCTGGTTCATTGTCGGGGCCCGGAGACGGCGGGGGTGTCGGGTATGCATCGTGTCCTGCTTGCGACTTGGACTGCCACATGGAGAGGAAGTTGTCGAAGCCCTTGACGTTTGGCAGGAGCCATTGGTATGTGATCGGGTGCGTCGATTGAGGTGTTCGAGAGAGGACGTGTTCGAGGATATCAGCCGAATTGGCCATCTGTCTTCATGGTCAGTGAATGTCCCCAGCTTCAAGCACTGTGTCTGACCTGTGGTACCCATTTGGGCGAGACGAAGGAGCCTGCCTCAATGGTAGTCAAGCCAGTCTTTGCCAGTCTCTCGACCAGCTCTATCTTTGTCGCCAGCGGCACTGTCTGCTTCTCATTCTGCAACCCATCTCGTGGTCCAACTTCGACGATGCGAACGTGGTCTGCGCGGCTAGAGGCGGCTGAAGCAAATGTTCTTCGAGGACACGGGTGACGCGCAGCAAGACGCGCAGAACGGAGACCAACGAATTTTGAGATCATGGTGATGATCTACTTGTACGTAGTAGGCGATTCAGGGTCAGATAAAGTGGTATGGCATGACGTGCATAGCTGTCAGACGGTTTGTGGGGTTGATGTTTGCGGGGATCATGTTATGCATGGACCACTCATCCGAGCTTTGAGCTCCGACCTTGGGAGCTTCAACATAACCATAACCTCGGACACCATGCGTGTGCTGTAAACGTGGGAACATGGCATCGCAGGCATCGCATGCATCGTGAAGCGAGTCGCAGTACTTGGCATCTCGGGATATTGTTGTATCTTAGCACGATGAAGTTACTGCACAAGTGCGTCTACCTAGGTACTTTCACTGAAATCTTGGCACGCTCTAACTTTACCACTTGCGCAGCGAAACTTCAAAGCACCAGCATCTGCCAAAGACTATAACTCTCAAATAGGGTGGGATACTCGGGAGGTTCTTCCTTCTGCCCACCCCACTTCCGTTTGCTCATACGAATTGCGCCATCCATGGCCAGATGTTCGTCTCTACGGGAGCTCCATTCCATCGTGCGAAGTCGAAATTACCTGTGCAAGCTAGAGCACTTCCAGCTAGCCGGCCGAAACTTTGTCAAGCGCTCGGCCATGGCCAATAGTTATTTCACATGCAAGACATGTATCTAGCGGATCTACAAACAGGAATGGGTCGAACCGCAGCCATCAGACCGCTCTTCTGCGTCGTCTCAAAGCGTTGTGTCCGCGTGTTTACAAGCCGGATACAATCACCCTTGAACGATATCGACGCTAAAGCCCAAGACCCAGCGGACCCCATCGACGGTGTTGTTCGCTAGCGCAGGGTTCTTGTGGAGACCATAAATAGAGAGCTCCGAGGAGCCTTGTTCGTTGCTCTAACCGCAGCCGCCGGCTGTTCAGAAGATCTAGCGCTTGTGGACGCCTTCGTCTTGTCGTTCCCTACCAAGTGCCGGCGAAATGACGATCTTCAAGATCAAGACGCGGAAGCACTTCTCCATTGAGTCTGCCTCGGCCTGGCCAAAGGTTTTTGAAACGTCTGCTGTCGGGCCGGGCATCGTAGAATTGAGGGCCCGGAAAGCGAGATCTATATACTCTACCTGGCGCCGGAAAAATTGCCAGGGCGGAGATTAGGGCATTGTAGAGTTGTCATGGCCCGCTCGCTTCGAGGAATGTCCCACAAAATGGCGTAGTTCATCTAGTCGTAGGTATCGGACAAACTCCGATCCTCAGGCATTTTACGGCTGCTGCATCATAATGGGATGATTATCGGATATTGCCCGGAGCTTGACAATGAACATGAAGAGCCGCAGCTCTCCCCATCGTTTTGTCTAGCCTCGCAGAAGCTAGGCATCCTGCCGGCATCCGTGAGGCTCTTCGTAAGGTGCTCGGTGTGATATCTTGGTCTGGAATCCAGAAAGCCACTGCCAGCGGGCCTTCTGTGGAGCGAAGCAAGGTATCCTACCAACGTGACGAGCTTTTCAATGAGGGTTTACCAAGTGGGCGAACGAGGTCTGTGGCTTCGTGTCCCCGTACTACCCCGCGTGTGCACATTTGCGCAGGCGCATTGACGGTGAACTGCTTTCCCCAGGTACGGACGGCTAGTGACATGTCTTGGAGAATGAAACCTTGTCTAGCAACACAAAAGCCATCTGCTGACGGGAGGTTGAAGCTGTTTGTTACCTGAGACAAATCGTTGAGTGGTGGAGCACAGCCAGCATACCAAAGTAGCGCGTGTCCCCGATGCATGTCTGACTTGGCACTCACGTGCCCAATACCACGATCAGGCTAGCGTATGGGAATCGGTGAAGGCGCCACTTTGACAATGGATTGTATCTACACGAATAAGGTGGTGGATAGGATGGGGATAGGATGGGGATGGGGAACGGATTGGGCTCTGAGTGACCTAGGCGCCGTTAGCAGATAGAGTTCGGCACTCTTGCGGCGGCCGAAGCCACGGCATCATGCACGACACGACAGAGGCTTTTGAGGTTTCAAGGCTGTTGAGGACAACCCTGGAGAACTCATGATGGGACGAGAGAAGGAGAGCTCATGAGGTGTTTGGGGCACTGCTACCATGAGTTTTGCACGAACCGTGGGGGCGCAGTTGAGATGGCAATGGTCATATCACTCTCTCATCAGGCCCGCATGGCTTGTTATCACGGCGGGTCCCACAAGAACGGTTCTGCCAAGAGGTATGCGGAGCAGGCGACAGCAGAGCGACGTACAGCTGCTGGTAGTCGTCCGGTATCCCAGGCACCCCGGCCATTGCGTGCAGCTTTGCATCATTCACGCCTGGGCCAGCCGTGTCCTTAATCCTCGATGTCATCGCAATATCCGCGCCCGCCGTCAGACGTGTGCTCGTCGTGTCTGCTGCCCCGTCGCGTGCAGAGGTGCGCAAATTGCATCACCCACGCTTCCTGCCATCCCTATGCCTTGCGGCAGATCAGAGACTCCCGTTGCGGGGTTGGCGTGCAATGGGAGGCCGTTTCTTTAACCTTACGTACTCGTCCAGGGCTTGGCTTGGCAGAAGGCTTCACCAGCGGGCGGCTTTTCGCTGCGACCTCCCACTGGCAAACTACAAGCGCTGCCATCCCAGACAACCTCATTCTACACAGCTTCGATGCGTCTTCGCGACGGCACATTGATCGCCTCGGTCGGCTCCGTGACCATTTGCGCCTGGTCATTCGTCCGAGCGCTCACGTTGTCCATGCTGGCCCTGACGCTATCAGCGCTACTTCTGCAGCAGTGCAGCAGCTCGCGAGCCGAACAAGCCCTGCAACGCCTTCACCCCGGAGCCCTCGACACAAGCTCTCTCAGTGGCTGTTGCCTCTTAGCTGCTCCGAACTTAGCGGCCGGTAGTAGATCGTGTGCGTTGTAGCTTCTCATTGGTGGAGCTTTCGTGGCGTCCAGCCCTCTCCGTCCTGCAGCAGGCCACTGTCGCCATCCATCTTCAAGCTCCTGCCGGGGTGCTACCATTTTTCCACGATGTAACCCGACCCTAACCCGACCTTACCTCGCGCTGTCCTGCAATTCGCCGTGGTGGTGTGGGGTGTGGTAGGGATTGCCACAGCCAAAGCCTCGCAGCCGCTGCGAGAACATGCGGGCACCTGGCCTACTCGCTGCGGGCTACATCCTTCATGCACATCTCTCAAGATGACCACCTCTTCTCTTAATATCCTAGCGTCCAGTATGCCGCGGCATTTTGCATCCTACCCCTTGGCATGCCAGAGCCCTGTCCGCTAGGTCCCTGACCTTATCAGACGGGGACCAAGCTTCCTTTACCCAGACCTGTCGAGGCCAAAATAATACTTACCCACCGTGACGCGCTTCTTCTATGCTCCATTGAGTATTACCCCTCGTCTTCTTGTCTATTCTGTTTCTACACTTACTATACACGATCCACATCCTGCCGATGCAACGTTGTAGAGTACTGCAATAACACTTCCTCTTTTATTACACCCACCATGGCCGTCTCACCAACTACTGCTCAGCCTGCTGCTGAGGTCGTTCAGAAAGCAGACACCACCGCCACCAACACCAACAACGCTGCCGCTGCCCCCAGGAAACGAAGAAGAAGAGCACCCGCCACTGGAGCCACCGACGACTGCTTTGCTTGCAAGAAACGTCAAGTCAAGTGTGATCGACGCCGTCCATACTGTGGGCCGTGTGTTGACATTGGAAAAGAATGCTCCGGGTACCGTACCACTCTAACATGGGGCGTGGGAGTAGCCAGCCGTGGAAAGCTCCGAGGCATGTCTTTGCCTATTGCAAAGTCGCCTTCTGCAGCTGCAGCACAGGAGCCAAAAACCCAACGGATGAACTCCATAGCTTCTACCAGCACCACTTCATCCACCAGTGCTCACCAAGACCAGCACAACTTCAACCACCGTGCGAGCATTGACTTTGGTGCACACTCACCAAGGAGTCCTACCAGTCCCATGTTCTCTGCACCGCAAGAATATCAGTACTTTAGTCCAACAAGCCCAATACCCATACCCACTCCTTCCACTCCAATGGGATATCCCATGCAACATCATGGAGAACACTTCGAGTTCATGCATCCCCAAGCCTCCAAGTTCAGACATCACCAGCCACACAGGGGCCCTCTCCAAAGACTACAAACCACTCTACATACACCTTTCGAGGACAACGGCATGTCTGCTTCTTCTGCTTCTCTTGGCACCTACAGCGATAGCGACTTCCCTTCACCAAGCGAGTTCCCGAATACCCCCGTCGATGAGTTTCCGTTTGCAGATCCGTCGATACCACGTTATCAGCCATTCGACCAGGCGCCCATGGGCTCTCTGGACCACTACTTCATTCACGAGGCTCCTCGCTCATTACCAACTGGTGACGACATGAGCTCCAGTGTAAGCTCCGATCAGAGCATACACGACTATCCCGAAGTAAGCGCAGCCTCGCAAAGTATGGGCCCTGTCGGCTTTCAGGATGTTTTTGTTGAGGGGGAGATGAGCTCGAGTTTCAATGGATTCCAGCCCGGCTTCTCCTTTCTTCCGTCGGAGGGTATGTCTTCCTATGGCTCTGGCCCCCTGTCTCAAGACGTACTGTCGCTCACCACTTCTATTCCTCAGAGCCTTACCATCGCTTCGCCCCTTTCCCCGCGGATGCTATCCCTTCTGGACTACTACGACAAATTTATATGCCCGGTGCTGGTGGCTTTTGATAGCCATACGAACCCTTACCGGATGCATATCATACATCTAGCCATGCGAAACGAGGAGTTGCAGAACGCCATTGGCGCTCTAGCTACCAACAACATGCGCATGCGCGGAGGTATTGAAGGCCGACGACTAAGCGTACTGCATGATACGCGCCTGATACCGGATCATGCCTACTCGCAGATGACGACACAAGAGCTGCGCGAGATGCATGGCGAAGCAACCGACGAAGAAAAGCACTACAAGGCCAACTCCATTGCCCTTCTCAACAAGAAGCTTGTCGACTACGATGGCTCGCAGGACGACTCCGTACTCGCTACGCTTCTCATTCTT